CGATATCCGATTCAAGGCATGAGCTGCAAGGAAATAGAAGGATCCGATGGAAAGACTGGGAATAAAGGCAGGGAGAGATTGACAAGATACATCAGATATCGCAAACATGAAACCAAAGTGTAGTACAACAAGCAACAGGGGACCACACAGGCAATAAAGACATGTACGCTCGGACGAAGCGCATGCAACCACGACAAAATTGAGCACACTCAAATCTCAGCACTGAAGAACTGGTCACCCAAGAATCTCGAGGTAGAGTAACAGAGGCACAGCCCGGGGACAAATCACATCGTCACCCGAGGGGCAAGGCCTGTTCACTTTAAGCTTTACAGGGGTGCAGGGGAGGCTTGTCCCCAATCGTCAGCAAATTTCACGGGGTCCGTGTCACCATTTCACAGTGCAGCACGATTGTTCAGCTGTCTCTGCGCCGAGGCTACACTGTGTCCAGATCTATTGTTAGTGTCTACAGTAGCGCAGTAGCGTGAAGCACAAGGTGGGGTCATCACGATTTGTTATCACAAGTTCAAAAAGACGGGATTAAAAAAAAAGGAACCCTGTGAGATTCCATGGATCTAAGATGAGAGCATGCAGAAAATGGATATTTCTCTTGGTCATCAACTGCGACTGCGTTTTCGCCTGAAACATTTAAAACGCAAGGGTGCTTTAATGCAGAGATCTGCCCAATCTGGCTGGGGGTTTGGTTTGCGAGCTCATTGAACAATCACCCTCTGTAAGCCCTGGCAACAAGCTCTCACGCTAGAGGAAAGCAAACGACGGGAATACACAGAGCGTTCCTGACGCCAAACGCGGAACAAGGACATGGATTTGAGAGATTTTTGACAATCGCTTCAATCGCAATTGAAACGGAAGAGAAAAAGTGATTCAAAAAGAAAGAAGAAAAAAGAAAGGAAAGAAGCGTTTATGTATTCATTTCTTGGCGGTTCCCTCCCTACTTCTCAAGTGTGCTGATGTATCGGACCCCTGAACTCCTCTCCACTGGCGATTACCACTGTAACATATGGATCGTGAGATAACCGAATAAGAGAATTGACTGGACGGGGAGAAAAATGATCGATTGGAAACTTGAATGCCACCTCCAGCCACCATGTTGCATGAATTACAATTTGGAGCATGCCAATAAGCAGACATACCTATAGCCCTTGCTTACTATACTTCCTACCAATATATACAGGGTCTCATCACGAGGTTCGCTCTCAGCTCAGGATACAGGCGATAAACACTGCAGATACTGTATAAACAAAATCTCAACTGCCACGTGGAGTATGCGTATGCAAGGGGAAACCATACCCGAGTGGTTTGGTTCAGCAAGGTCTAGACTCGTAACAACCAAGCCCCGAAGTTTGTCTACCTCCTCTACTGCCAGATCCCCCAAATCTTGCAACTCTTCCGGATCGAGGCATCGCTACAGCCCACTAACTACCAAAAAGAAAGGGGCCACGAACCTTTTCCATCCCTTGTGATGCAGCTTGCCTTTTTTCTCCTTACTGACGTGAACCACTGAGAGAAGACGTGTCATAAATGAGATACGTCGCTACCCCATAGCCCTATGATGAATCCATGCATGGCATTAATGATATTGCTTTTTTTTCTGCGTCTTCCCCATAATATGCAAGTCAAATACGCAATTAACTGTGATGAATCATTTCCCGCCAAGTCCCAAAGAGCCGGGACCCGTTCCGTTCGGCGCACTACTTTTGCTTTGGAGGCGTTGAAGCCAAGTGGGTTAGCTACAAACAACACTCGACTGTAGTCTGTAAACACCTTGCCCTCTGATGGTCTCTCCATTTTCGCAAACGGCACTCAGAAGTCATAAGCTTTACGGGCGGCTGTGCCGCATTCCAGGTTCCTGGTGCATTTTAAGTCAAGTTGAGTTAAGCTGGGGGATTAATACCGGTACATGTTATCTAGCATTCCAAATCTGATCTGTAGTATTCGCGATGATCTCCCTGCTTAAACCTCCACTGCTGTGCTGGTTCACCCTCCACTGAACTGTTGTAAATATCCTGAAGGATCAGATGCAAGGGAGCTTCTCAAAGACAAAGTGATGATATATCGTACCATTATGCAACCGTTGCGCATGCTTAACTGAGACTCCTTTGCTTTTCCCTCAATTGATCCAGCCGTCACGTTTTGGAGCCCGAGACTTGCATGCCTCATAAAAAAGTATCGTCCTCACAGCTGGAATGACGCCAGACTTAATCCCGCCCGCAAAAAAAAACCATCCAATCCAGTAACACCATACTTCCATTCAATCAGAGATACACCCCGTAGTTAAGCAAGGGAAACAAACATAAGATGAACTGTCACATCCCACAGTCTGCAAATCTGACGTCTCACACGGCTACCCGAAAGACAAAAAAAAAAAAAACTCAAGACCTGATGTAACATTGGATGAACAAAGTCCGATAAACAACGGCACGGGACGGAAAGGCAATCTCACACTTACCAACGAGATAACTGTGCTCTTTGTCCCATTGTGCACCCTTTATCTGCCTAGAACAAAAGCCTGTCTTGTTAGTCACCACCAACTGTGTTAGTATCAGTGCGCATCGCCCGCGTGGAGCCTCCCGTATCTAGGCACATCTCCAGGCGTTTTTGTGGCGTTTACAGGGGCTTCCAATCAAGTGAAGTGGCTTCACCCACGGCTGGGCAATCTGCACAAAGTGGCTTGCGTCAAGGTAACCCATTATTGAACAGAGGGTATTGTCGATGAACTCTGTTCAAAAATTAGCGCTGCAATCAGAATCATCTAGATGTCTTGTTCTTCACCCAACCCAACAGCCATCCGTATTCACACCAACAATTCCACAGACTCTGTCACGCTTGCGGACAATTACCCCCCGCCTGGTCAGTGCCAAAATCAGTGCTCGGAGATGACGCCACGATTCTTTTAGATCTGAACTTCTCAAGCCGTTACTTTTTTATCCCCGCGTACACTTTTCCCACCCAGTAGTCTGTACACTAACTAAATAAGTTCGCCGACCCCATCCCACTGCACTACCAGCCAGCCACGGACCCCTTTAGTCCCAACAGACCGGGGCAGCAGAGAGAGAGAGACTCGGGAAAATGCCAAAATCAGTCCGGACCCAGGAGATTGGGTTGTCAGTGGCAATTAATTGGAATAAAGACACCAGATCGAGGCACACAATTGGCTTGAACGATATGGAGAAGCAAATTACCGCATCGTTTCGGACGACGCTACTTCGGAGTAATTCCGCTTGTAGTCATTGGCACCCGAGTGTTTGGGTCGTGACATTTTATCCACAATTAGGCGTGAAACGTTCAATCAATTACGATATCATGATGTGACGGCAATATCTCAATCCAAAACACCCAAATGAAAATCTCTTCTCTTCTAGGAACTTTTACCAGGAGATCGTGGTTTCACGTATGGATCCTTCAGATCCTTCACCCGCCTCATTTGTCCACACGGGATCTAGGGTAAGCCTGCTCGGCATGGCGCTTACAAGATTAACAACACGAGATGGGCAGACAGTGTTGGTGGCCTCAATGGTGTAAGCTAGGCAGAAACAGGGGAAAGAAGACGAAGCTAGGCAAAGTTGTCGTCGCGTACCTGAAGATCGAGCTACGTTCATTGGGCCTACGAAATCGGAATCTTCCACTGACGCTAAGCAAAGAATCTCAATTCTTGATCAGAACAGGAAGTTGGAAATTGCGATTACTATTGTTATGTTTGTCGGAGCGATATGTGTGCTTCAATTACGGAGAAAACCTGCTCAATTCTCCCAAGGCCAATAAACACATCAGCAAGAGATTTCATGTGTGAAGTATTCGTACAGCTGAGCTAATTGTCGCGCAAATGTTTGCTTCATTCATACGTGCCATTCATGCCACTGACGCAACAAACATCAGCAGCACTCACAGCTTTATGCAAGGTACACATCAGCCCTATCACATCTCACATTTCCCGATCTCACATCCCATCTTTCACAAGCACAATCTCGTAGAACTACAAGGCATCGAAATATGTCCACATCCACTTTAACAAAGTCCAGACCCGGCGTCACCCGCGCTATTGACCAACACAAAGCCCAGACTCCGCCACTGCCGAAGAATCGCGGTAACTAGATCACGAGCTTTTCTTCAGGAGTGACATTTAGCAATTGATCAAATGACGAAGTTGGCCGATGTCCCAAGATACAATAAATGTTAGGAATGCGGGATTGTCCTGGCCACCAAGTTAAAGTGCAATTGTCACCAGATCGGTATTTGAACAAAAGTGGACAAAGCGTCGTCGTGATCGACAGAGCATAAGCGAAAAGGGTTCACGTCAAAGATGCCCAATCCTGCTAGTCTTTTTGCCCGGCTCGTACTAACCCACCACCGGTTCTACCGTTGACAGCGGATAAACCCCTGAATGACAGAGCTTTGATGTGACTAAAGTGGCGATCTCTAGTTGACGGTGTGGCTAGACTTGTTCAGTTGATTAAATGGTGGGTTGGGATAGTAAGCAGGGAAACTTCTGGCCGTAGATCAAAGCCCCATCTAAACATCTACTAAATTTGCCTCAGTTTATATTGAGTTTAGATAAGCCTTTTTGTCATTTAGGATAAACGTCGTTAGTTTTCTTGCCTCGCCTAGGGAGGTTGAGCTACCGTGAGTCCGCGGGTGCCTAGATTGGCTTGGTTGATTGTTGATTACTGATGGTGAGCATCTTGAGCATCGTGTTACCCTACACAAAAGATTGCCGACTGTCAGATATTTGAGGATGGTTCATCTAAACAAGCAGAAGTAAATTCCGCATTTATTTAGTCTTGCCGTGGGCGAAGGCTTTGTATTTTGCCTTCGCTCATCTGCGCAGAACCTTACAATTGACATTCGAAACTTATTGGAACGCATTTTGGGTTCATTACTTCATATCTCTGTTGTTCTCATGTCTTTCTAATCCTAACTGCGCGCCTGATCTACCTATGAGCCCAATGATCATCGGAATGTACCTTATTGACCCTTCTTGACACTTAAACCTGAGGTGCAGTAGCGCGGATCTGATGCATCATGTCGACCAACTCGCCGTCAAGTTGTCTAAGTAGTTCCTTATTGTGATCCGCGTCCAGGAGTAGCCTCAAACGCCCACCAACATAGCCGGCGACGTCTATTGTCCGATTCAAGTTTCCAGAAAGAGCTTGATGAACGGGCAGAATGAAGTTTTGAATGTGTTCTGCACGACACGCGAGTTGTCTCCGGTATAATGGGAGGTATAACCAAGTGAACTTATCATCGACATCGAGTCCGATGATACGACACATGTTCTGCATACACGGAGAGCCGATATGGAGCCCACTAGAGTATGGCTTGTTGGCGAAGTGCCTTAGTTGTTCAAAGTCCGCAAAGTATATCCTTTTTGCATCCATAATCCGTTCCATCAGATCAAGGGTCTTTATGAATCTGGTCACGTCCATGTTCGTGATCCAGTCGAGGACATGGCCCCATGCGAAATGGGTTGTTTTTGGTCTGTCTTCCAGGATCCTGATGACCCTTTCGACGGCTTGGTGAGCGGCGATGTGCCCCTGAGCCCAGGCACGGTTGACAGGCTGGAAGAGCAGTTTAAGTTCGAGGGCATTGGTGTATTTATCGGCGTATGCAATCGGATCGAAGTCGATAGGCTCGGTGGAGAGGTTGGCGCAGGTTGGAAGTCCATCATAGCCAGTGATTAAGTCGGTTGTGTCGATGCCCGGCTTGTCGCGGTTCTTGCGGATCCACGCGAGGCGGCGGTTGAGCATCCGATTCCAGTAAGCCAGCAAGTCGGGATCGATACACACGTTGTAGGGGAAGCCTTCTAGCTGGCGAAGGGTGATGTTGGTCATGATTGATAGAGTGCGGATATATTCAAGCTGAGCAACGATATTAGATGTAGAAATGAAAGTGGTTGATGCAGAGATGGGCTGATGCAAAAACGTGCTGTCTTGATGATCGATTCTGATGATGGTGATGATGAAAGAAGATGGAGAAGCCTGACGGACGTGGAGGTTGAAGCAGTAGTGAATCATGGTACACAGTCAACACACCTTCCCTTCGTTGGTTCTTCAGAGGTTCAACGAACATGTACCTGCCCCCGAAGAAAGCGACTTCCCACACACCGAGGCATGCTTCTTTCAAGGAAGGTACCATTTCAACGGATTGATGCCTCAGACCAGAGTCTTTATCCACGACAAACGACAGAGGAGGAGATACAAGCGATGATTGAAGAACAAAGACGAAGAAAAGGGGAGGCAAGAAAACTTTAGACCTCTACCCTAAATAATGACAAGACTTAGGTAAGCTTAGTAGGTCTTTAGATCACTTATTTTCAACGTCTTTATTAAATATTAGAAGTTTTCTTTCTCTCTGAGGCCAGAGGAAGTCAGCCTCCAGTCGCTTTCCTCGTCGGATCCTGCAGCCTAGCAAGTTCTAACAACAATCTCCAAGTATAAATCGTCATATCAACCTCTCTCACAGCCTTGGTCATCCACTCACTCCCCTGTCTCGCAACCTCCTCCGCCAACTTCTGCCCAGCCTCAGTCAACGTCAAGTAGTTAACCAGCTCTGGAAGTTCCTCCAAGCTTTGACTAACGGGTATGTAATGCACCCACGGCACCAACCGCTCATCATGCCATTCCCGAAGAAGAGCTTGTTTTAGAGGAAGTGTGTTTGAAGATAATAGTTTGTAGTAGCGACCGCTTATCCCGTTGCCGTCGAGATCGAATGCGAGTTTTGATTGGAAGGCTGCGTCTTTGTCGGCCCATGATTTGACGTTGAAGAATGTGCTTTGATCGCGGCAGAATTTACGATCGCATTGGAAGATTCTTGTGAAGCCAACGTCGTATAACCGTCCGTTTAAGAACCATGACTTGACGGTGCTGATCACACCATCTTTTTCCCTCAGATATGTGTGTTGTTGATATCCAAGGTTCTGGGCCACGGTCACAAACCTCTGCCGTTGGTGGTTCCTCCACTGATCATCGAGAGCGTACCCTCCAGTTGTCGAGCCAGTCCAATAAAGGTTGTTCGTCTTCTCCGACCATGGAATATCATGGGTCTTATCGTATTGAAACTCTTCTTCGACATATGCTGGACTTGGAAAGAGAATATCGCCCATTGTTGAGAATGCACCCGTTGACAAGACTGGGGCCATGCCTTGAATGAGGCGGAATGTCTTGGGACTTATGAAAGCGCCGTGCATTTCTTTGTACTCGGGATGTTTGCACAAATCTGACTCAGAGAAGTGGTCTTTGACAAAGGGCAGCCCGAACGTCTCGAGGCTAAATTGATCGTCCCGATAGGTCTTGTGTGACGGGCAAGACCTCGTTAAAGCGTCCCAAGTGGGCTTCATCGACATATCCTTCAGCCTGACGGCCTTGTCCACATGATCCGTTTTCGGTATCACAACTCTCGGCTCGTCAAAATGATTTATGAGAAACTTGACATCCGGCAGAACCCCCGGAAGATTCCACAATAACTTGTCAAACAGAAAGCTGTAATGTCTATCATAAGATCGACTCGGATGACGACATTTTGTCTTAGCAGTCTTTCCCGAAAACTCACAAAGCCAAACCTCGCTTTGTGGCGTTTTATAAACCTTCCCAATCATCTCAGAAACCTCTTTCCCACTCATTTTCAGAAATGGCGATATAGCGGTGTGAATCATGTCGAAGTCATCGATGATGGATGATTCATGCTTTCGTGCGAATTGAAACCATACTTCGAAGCCTGGTGGCGGATCAAGACCATACTGTTGTTTGTATTGTCTCACAGCTGCGAAATATGTTCGAGATTGGTTTCTTAACTTGCTTTCAAAGACTGATTTTACCTCTTGGGCTAGAAGTTCGATGGGGTGAGATTGAGAGGTGAATGAGGCGGATGCTGAAGATGAGGCATCGTGGATCATGTATTCGTTGAAGAGATAGGGAAGAACAGATGCTGATAAGCAGGACCAGAGAAAGAGTTTGCCTTTGGATTGTTTAGGAAGTAGTTGAGTTGTTTGATAGAGGGTTAGTGTTGAAATTGTAGCGTGAGATAGAGCTTGGAGTTGAGAGGTTTGTGAGAAGGGATTTCTGGTGCATGCGAGAGCAAATGTTCCTATCGTGGTTGCTATGCACCAGGAAGCTTGTCGTGCCTGGGTTCGTTAGTTTCTGTATGTGAGCTCGCTGAGGTGTATACGAACGGTTTGGATGGTAAAGAACCAAGACAAGGCTTTGACTAATCCTGTGAAGAATACAAGGATGAGATCGCCGTTTGGAGGTCCAAGAACCAGATTTTGGAAAGCTAGAGAGGCGAGAAGGAGGATAATAGTCCGGCCTGCGATAGCCTTGATGTTTGTCTCGATGTCCACTGATGAAAGTGACAATATTCTCACTTTGAAGTCCGGGATGAGGATACTGTAGACAACAAAGAGAGAAGCCACTAATATGATGGATATTAGGGAGCCGAAGAGATCCCCATTTGAAAGTGAAAATACCGAAAGGACAGCTACTAGTGTTGTGCCCTTGATGGTACGAATGAGAGGTGAGGTAGACGCTGAATCAGATGACATGCTCGACTGAAAGTATGTCCGCATTGTGAGGAGGAGAGGTGTTAAGAAAGGCTTCATCTCTGTCAGTACGGTCTCACCAGATCAGTATCCCATAATTAACTTACATAGAAGCTAATAGTGTTACTCTCAGCTCTATAAAAAGCCGCCGCCACGATACCTAAGGCAACGAGCCATTGTGACAACGAAGAATGCCGTTTTTGCGGGTCATTCAATAACGGTGAAGACGCTCGGGTACTCGGTAAAGCAGTATATCTGCAAAGAAAAGGGAGAACAGCCCAACAGACAATCTCAGAGCACAGCTCTAACCGTCTCGAAGGAACATACTGCGACAGCGTCGTGAAAACAACAGCCGCTGTAGCAGAACCCACTACGGGGTCAACAACGTTAAGGGGCGCCATGCCCATTGTGAATAGCGCCACCTGTGAAGCATGGGGGGACCAAGCTGGTAAGGCGAATGACTTCAGCTGAAATGGCAAAACCTCAGCTGAACTCTACAATCAAGTCAAGCCTCAAATCAACATCTACCAGTAATTTCAGAGGAAAACAACGCAGAAAAGACAGCAACACCCTCCTTAAAGACAACAATCATCCCCTCCAAAAAAGCCAAGCGAGCTTGGCATGCCAAAACATCTTGGCGCCCACGGTGAAAATTACCCGGACGAATTGAATGACCAGGCACCTGCATATTCCGTTGGTTTCGAAATGTCACAGTAGCAGAATCCTTTGGGGCTGTGTCATTCATCGTCACTTTGATGCAAATACCGGGGGGACATCTCGTATCATGACGATTTGTGACAATTCTATTGGCCAGGGGTATGGCTGTGCCGATCATCCGCACTTTAGTTGTTGGCTCATCCTTTCAAAGGACCAACACGAGATTTAAATAGGAAACTGCCGAGGTGCCGAAGAATCTCGTGGTTAGAGAGTCTGGACCAAAGGCTTTGTTTTTCCCGCGGCGTTTTCTTATGCAGGGAGAACGCGTAATTCACCCATCTTCGAGCCAAGGAATTGATCAAGAGGCTAATTCAAGCTTAATAAGATATTCACAAGGATCAGCGCGCTATGCTGCCAGAAGTGGTTAGTATGGGGCAGTGTGCTCTTCGATTCATCTTATTCGTCGTCATGATTTGTTAGAGAGGTCTTGGCCTGCTCAGACGAGAGATTGGGTTGAGCTCATAGCGAACCTTATTCATTGTTTCGTTGGGGAGAGGCGATATTCCTGCAACTTCACAGCCAGGACACTGCTGTCGTTATTTAGAAGTATGTAATCAGCATCATATAACACTCTTCATTTGAAAACAATGGAAGTGTTTAGAAGCTCACAAGAAATATTTGTTATGTCGTACATACTATTTATTATTAAGCCGCGCGTCTCAGACAATCTAGCTGCCTTGGCGCGAGTAAGCGGGGATAAACTACACCAAACATCAAACTTGCTCATTTGAGGTAAAGCCCTGCGATACCATCATGGCGGGCGTTCCTAAAGCTCTAGGTTGCGACGCTTGTCGTAAGCAAAAGAAAAAGGTATGTCATACTAGTAGCTCGCATAGTAATGAATGAGAGACTAATGAGATCAGTGCGATCAGGCTAAACCGGCTTGTGCAAGATGCACACGTCTCAAGCTCAAATGCACAGGAAGTGGTGTAAAGCGCTTCGTGTTCAAATCTGAGAATAGCCAAGCTGCTAAGAAACACATAAAAACTGTGGCTGGACCATCTTCGGCGCTGAGTAATGATAAGACGCTGGTGGCGGGTAACTTGGTACACATCCTTGAGTTTGATAACCCCGGCTATGATGTCTCGACATATGGCTGGTTCGTCAAAGACTTGCCTCGTCACATTGGATCGAGTAAACCGCTCGATGCAGCTATCACTGCCTTCGTAACGGGGTTTGGATCGTTGAAGGATAAGAGGCTTCCAAAGGTTGAGGCGTTGGACAAGTATGTGTTTGCGCTGAAATCGTTACGGGAGTCGATGCAGGATCCTGCTCAGGCGTTTTCGGCGGATAACATGTGCTCAATCTACTTAATCTCGATCTGCCAGGTAAGTCCCCTACTCCGCCGTTGGATACACAGTCTAATTAGGTTGCTGGTAGGAATGGCTTGGGAGTGGTGGTGCTAGTGCTGGTAATGTTAACTCGAAGCACCATGAAGTGCTTGCATACTTGCTTCAGAACGCTATTCTCAAGTCTCAATTTGATCCCTCCGACAAACCGTTCATGCAGACGATATTCTCCATTGTGGTAAGTCCCCCTCCTTCTTTACTCTCATGTACTCACTCACCTGTGTCAGGTTCTTGAGAGTTTCACCAATCCCAACATCCAACTGGGCCCATGGTTCTGGCAAGCTCTCTCAGTCCTAGGTGATGCTGCACGGCCCCTCAAATCAGGAGACGGAACATCCTTTGCAAGTTTGAATATTGGGACCATGGGCGAAATGTCCTGCTTCATCCGCGATCCTGATCGATACCTCTACCAGATCCAGTGTGCCTATGCTCTTATACAGACAGAACATCCGAGACTTATCAGAGCAGCTGAGGAAGCAGTTGCTAAAGCCAAAGCGTCTGGCTCGACATTTCTTCAGAGGAGAATGGGGATGCGTTTCCATACAGCGAATGCGGCGATGCTTACAATGGCTGCTATTCTGAATCGCATTTTACGCTCTTACGATGGCGACCCTGCTTTATTAGCAGATGCTAAGCGCTACGTCGACGATAGTATCGTACTAGGTCAAGACGCTAGTTATAATCGACCTATTGCAGCGGCTGCGGTGGCTTCACCTCTCACGTTGTCATTGGCTGCTCTGGGAGATTATAGACGAGAAGAAGTTGAAAAGCTGCTGGTGGAGTATCAGACTGATTTTCCGGGGTTGAATTACTTTGCTGATATCCTGATGGTCAGGAAGGGCTTTGAGGATATTGACAAGAATAATCAGAGGAAAGTAAGGGTGCTACCATCAAGTGAAGGAGATTTTGGTAATGAGTTAGATGTTGTAGATATAGAGCTCGAGGTAGGACCCGGGTGTATCATACTGTAACGCAAAGTTTCGAGATTACAACTCCAAGAATGAAACAATAGAGAATAAAAAGAAAGGCTGAATATTCCAGTGATCCCCTAATCATGCTCCCTGCTCAATATCCTTCAAAAACGCAACAATCCCCTCAACCATCTGCCCCAACCCCGGATCCTCAAGTGGATAATGTCCCGCCCCCTCCAACATAACAGTCTTGATCTTGACATTTTCAACATCCTTCAAAAACGCTTCCGAGACCCAAAGCGGCGTCCATCGATCCTCCGCAGGCTGCGTCAACAAAATCGGACACGTATCAAAATCCTTCGGTTCCTTGGCTGGCTTATACGTCGTGAACGAAGATAAAAAGCTCATCGATACCCATGCGTTCGCAGAACTGTTGTCGCGCATACAAGCTGCAAGGGCTTGAGGGTTGTTGACGAGTGTTGACATTCGGCCGGTGATGTACATTGGCATTGACATCCAACCTAGACCGAGGGCGTGCATTATTCTCCCCATCGGTGCACCGATACGACTCATGAAGAGATTTCGACACGCGGCGTCTGCAACACTCTGGATCCTCATATCCATAAAACACATCCCAATAATCCCCCTAACATTCTCATTCATCCCCGCAACATGAAACGTCAACCCGCCACCAGCACTTAATCCATAAAGCGCAATAGGTCGTTTGTCATTTTCATACTCATGATCAACAAACTCACTCGCGATATTAACCCACTCCTCATAATCCCAAACATGCCCTTTTTTCGGGACTGTACAGCCATAGCCTGGCATGTCGATGGCGACGAGTTCAAAACCTGCTGTGTGGAGGGGCACGCCGAGAAGCATTGACATCATGCGTCCGTTTGTTCCCATGCCGTGATGCATTATGAGTCTGACGCTGGCGGAGGGATTGCGCCATCTGTCGAGGTGGAGAGCATGCCCGCGGTGATGCCAGACTTCTTCAGTGGGAGAGTGATCAGGTGTGAAGTGTAGACGTTGGGGGAGGAAGGATTGGATATCTCTCCATTCTTGTTGTTTTGCATAAGTTGGCAGTTCAGACATTTTAATTTGGGAGTATTAAAGATGATGGTTTGTTGAATGTTTAGTTTAGTAAGATTTGGTTACTTATATCAAGTCCTGCGGCGTGTCTGTCAGTCCAACGGAGTTCCGCTTCGAACTTTTTCCTGGTGTGCGATTCGCTGACGTGAGAAACCAACGGAGTCAAGGAGATGTTCGCACTCGCGTTAAACCGTGTGGCAGCCGTCCTCTCCAAGATCCAATTACAACCGACAGGAATGTCTAAAGAATTTTATATGGTATAAGCTTAGTAGATGCCGAGGCAAACAATTCTTCTGCATGTAACCCATTCTTCAGTGTCGTTGGGTTGACTTCTTATAATCTGACTGCGGGGTAGGGAAATTGAAGTCTTCTTCCCACAGAGCTCGTCATAGTAAGCACCATATTTGATGTGGCACGTAACAGCTAGCAACCTTCAGCTACACAGAGCTGCTGCCATTGGCCATGAAACTGCTGTGTAGTCATTCTCGGATGCCGGAGTCTCCAGATTCGCATGTGGCTTGGGCAGAGGCCCCAGGCACTGGTAGGATTGGCCGACTCGGGATGAAAGGACCAATAAGAATGGTGAAAAGAGATGCCTTCTTCAAAGTGGAGATGAACTGCCTCGACTGCCCGATTGTGAGCTGTAACAATTTAGATATGAGCTTTAGCCTCATTGGCCCTGCGACTTATGGCGGTATTCCGAAACTGATGATCATACATACACATATGCAAGAAGGTTGCATCGTCAAAAATGTTACAAGAGGGTGACATTTATACGTTGCAATCGATGAAACATCACAAGGATACAGAATAAAGTTATCAGATCAATCAGACGAACATGCAGACATCGTGGGCTACCCTGCAGACACCCATTCGTGTTAGCACTTCAGTCTTTGCCAACCTTCAATCGATCATTCACATGAGAATGACAATTGAGAATTACATGATAAATAGTAAAATGTCATGAGAGCACGCTACGCGACAAAGAAGAATCGCCAAGGCAATGTCGGACCACTTCTCGCCTTACAACAACTTGACAAGCTTGGCATCAAAAGGGCGCCGACCACGGATCTCGCTTTTTACGGATTACCTTCCCCCTCCAGCATAAACCTCCAACGGTCTCGGACATTTAAATTACAGGAATAACCATAAACCCGCCTCACCTCAACCCACCAACCATCCCCTACCACCAACTAGCTTCACGCGTTACGCAAGGATCTTCAAGCGGCCCGTAGCATAGAACATTCCCAGAAGGAATTTTTCTCCCATCCTAGTTTTCATCATGTCACCCAACTCCACCTCACACCTCCGATCGGAACGTCGATGTGGATTTCGCGTATGTAAAAAATGAGAGAATGCCCAGCTTTTTCGGCTCCATTTTCTACGTAAAAGAAATAACAAAACACGAGTAAGGGGGTCGCGGGTTCCACTGTCAGATGTTTTTTGAAGACTGATTTAAAATCAAGGCTGACATAACCTTAAAACCTGCTGCAAGAAATTAACTTTTAAGTTCCTCGGTAGAAGAGGTTTATAGTGGCGGTAGGAGGAAACAAATGCCGTACGGAGTCAAGTCCGGATACTCGGACATACGTAATGCTCCACCGGTTGCAAAATTGAAGGTTGACGGAGGCAAAGACCCCACTTTTCCGGTCCCCATCCGGCGGATCTGCCGGGGTGGCCGAGGACCAATCGGCAGGCAAGTATCTCCAAAACCTCAACATCTTGAGATTACCTACCTTCAATCTTTCGTCAAGGGACCTTCCTATCTTGTGTTATAGACGAGTTTATCACGTAATGAACTGAGCGACCTCAGTTCCCCCACGGGGTCCTTACGACAAGCTATCCTCTTTTACAATCGAGTAATTCTAAATCTTGTAATGCTACAGCTGTAATTGGGCAGACACGGACCCTCGGAGCTCGTTTTCCCCATCGAACCACCAAAAATGTACATCATAGCTCCCGCCACAACCTCCGATCGGAGGTCTTTCGGCCTGGGGTATAACATAATAAAAGGGTGATATATGGAGAACTACGGGCCGCTAATAACGTCAAGCCTGCCCACGAACCTTCCATTGACTTTTCCTTTTCACCTTCTACCTCTTTTCCCAGTTCAACCTCCTCATCCCCCCCAGAGTACCAGTATACGCTACGCGGGACCGTAGCAATGGGCATCATGAACTTCTCAAAAAAGCCTACCGAGCCTTCACCACTAACATCCCACCCTCCCGAATCAAGCGCCTCAGATACAGAGCCCCCAAAAGATGACACCGATTTCCAATCCGTCCCCGCCGGCACCGTCGAAAAGGGCAATATCTTCGATCAAGGCGGCAAGAATTACAGAACCTTAGGACGATGGGACACTGTCTTAATCCTCTTCACAAACCAACTCGGTCTTGGAATTTTATCCCTCCCCTCAACGATAAAAACCCTCGGAATCGTGCCCGGTATCATCGCCATTCTCGGCATCGGCGCGTTATCGTGGTACGCCGCGTACGAACTCCTCCAATTCTACCGCAAACATCCCAATGTCGTCAGCATCGTCGAAATGACCCGCATCGTCGGCGGCCCGTGGTTTGAGTCCTTCGCTGGCTTCGTCATGATGATCCAAGTTGTCTTCATCGTCGCTTCAGCTACGGTCACACTATCTGTTGCGTTGAATACGCTTAGTAGTCATGCGACGTGTACTGTTATCTGGATTCTTGTGGCATGTATCGCGTGTTATCTTTTGTCGATACCCAGAACGATGAAGTTTGTTTCAAAGGCGGGAATTCCAAACGCTGTTAGTGTTGTGGCGGCTTGTTTGATCGTTTTGATAAGTCTGGCTATCTCGGGACCTGCGACTGCGCCGGAGGGTTGGCATAAGGAGATCAAGGTTGTTGGAAACCCTACGTTTCGCGATGGTCTCAATGCGTGCTTGAGAGTTGTTTTCTCGTACGCTGGAACATTCACATTCCCGTAAGTTCCCCCATTCACATCAATTGATCAAAGCTAACAGGTGACAGCTCATACATGGCCGAAATGCGAGACCCTGCAAAAGACTTCCGCTTCGCCCTCGCCGTTCTCGAAATCGTCAGCACACTCTTCTACATCGCCATGGCCGTCGCCCTCTACTGTCTCGCCGGCGATCTCACCACATCCCCCGTCCTCTCTGCCGCATCCTCCATTCCCGCAAAGGTCGCCTACGGAATCATCCTCCCAGCCGTCGTAGCAACAGCCCTCTCAATTGGTCACACAGGCTGCAAATACGTCTACGTAACCGCGATGCGACAAATGCGTGCAACCCACCAAGTCACAGACAACAGCATCAAGTCTTGGGTGACATGGATCCTGTCGGTGACTGGATTTTGGGTTTTGATCTTTGTCATCTCAAATGTCATTCCCATCTTTGACTCGATTCTGTCGATCACGGCTGCTACGACGATCCCGTGGTTTACGTATGGCTTTGCTGCGATTTTCTGGCTGCATCTTAACAAGGGTCTTTATTTCTCGACGTGGCAGAAGGCGCTGCTCACTGTAGGAAATGTTGTCATGATTGCACTTACGCTGTTCATGAATGCGGGTGGATTATGGGCGGCTATCACTGAGTTGCTGGATCTCTTCGCTAATAACAAGGATGGAATTGGAGGAGTTTTCTCATGTGGAGATAACTCCATCTTCTAATGCATGTTATATAGAGCGCAAATAGACTATTGATTGTTCATATTATCTTTGAAATTTGGTCAATGCTTACCCGTTGTGAGCATGGTAGAGTCTCGATGCAGCGTATCACGTCGCCGATCATACATTCCAATCTCATGCGAGTGAATTCTCATCCATTCAACAGCTACATTATGAAATGTATCGACATGACCATCAGATCATCCGAATTACTAAAATTGACGGCCATCATTCCCCGTGGCGTCCTGTGCCCGCACAACTACAGTTCTGTTCGACCGTTTCCCCTTCACCGATTTTGATCCTCATATGTCCTCGATATTCCCCCAAGCCCAAGATAATCCCATACATACAATATGGATTGCAAATACCTGCTGCATCACAGCATCACCTCCAAGTAGCCCTTGAGTTGTTCATTCATCTTCCGAAGGCTCGGCCGATTCGTCGTAGCATCCCGGATATCTTTTAGCTTCATCAACAAGCCTGTTCCTCGGATCCTTCAGTGCGCGGTCTACCATCTCCTCCATAGCAGCATCATTGATGTTCCGGCTTTCCTCCTCCAATGGCATACCAAGATAGCCAGGTAAACCATCCTCACCAGTCCGAACTCGAACTTTCCCCAATACACCAAGCGTCTCGAGCCAGGCCATCCGTCGGTCGAGAAGTTGAGGCCAAACATCAATCATCTTTCGTTTGATGTACGCTTCTTTCGGAAGATCTGATCGGTGTGTATACATCTGGAACTCGTGTGTCCAGAGAGTGCCGGACTTTAAGCTATCTCCGAACAGAGATGTCGGATCATCCTTGGCCGCATCGAAAAAGTTACTCAAACAGTAGCCGCCCGGGGAGACTTTGCAAAAGTTGATTCGAGTAATGGCTTCGGGCATTGCGATTTGGATGTCGACACTGTCTGTGGTTGGTAGTGATGGATGGCTCAGAATTCGCAGATCGGGCATCCCAAGCAATGCTTGTTCAGTCGGAGACAGGCGAAATCTTTCGTTCAAGCACTGAGGCTGTACCATCTTGGTCCCATTGACCATGAAAGGGTAAAGATCCACGCATTCGTCGATGGGGAAATTTGGATCAGTCGCCTCAGCCTCGTAGACAAGATCGCGCACTCGGTCCGAATCAATTTCGGACTCGTCGATAAGTAAGTCACGACTACCGCCCTGTGTCAAGATATCATTGGCATATATACGCTGTATCAATCGGAAAGGGTGAATGTAGGCAATGCACTGAAGATGCTCATGAGCTTTGAGCCAGTGTTCGAAGTAGATCAGAAACACCGCCAGCGACACCTCGGGAACCGGCTCCCTAGCATATGTCTCCTTGCACTTGGTAGGGCTATCTACAATGTCGACCCAGAGCCGAGCAGCGAAGAGCATTGCCGTAGCATTGAGCTTTTCAAGAGGATGAGCTTTAGCGAAGCCAGCTAGGTCCAAGTAAAGTCTGGATGGGTATCTCGTATTGGACATGTATGGCGCTTGGTACATAAAAGTACTAGTTGCAAAGTTGAAGTAGTGGTGTTGTATAATGTTGGGAAGGATTTCTCGAAAGCGGCGATTTTTGGGTCCATGGAGTTGATCAGGATTGACACATTGTTCGAGATTGGGCATCTTGTGGCAAGGAACTTGAACGGTAGTTGGTGGCTTGATGCGCCCCACGACGACAGGAGAATGCCCATGGTAGAGCGACTGAGCCGATTCTTGGGCCAGGTTCTTGGCGTGTTCGACAGTGACGTCCCCTTCAGCAAAAGCTTCCTCCCAGTTCCTCTTAATCAAAAGGTGCTTCACAGCACGAAGATTCCCGGGTACAGTGAGAGAATGATGAAGAATGGCCTCAAATGCTGAGAGAGTCCCTTCAGAGGCAACTTCGAGTTCCAAACCCGAAAGGTCATCAACATGCACGTCCATCTCGAGAGCCGTAGCAGCCGCGCTCGCAAGAACTGGCTCCAGCGTATACGCAGAGTAACCGACCAGTAGCCGTACTCTAGTCGAATCATCACAGGGCTCTTCAGAATGGTGCACATGCATCGATTGATGTAGGGGCGCGAGAGGGTGAAAAAGGTCTCTATCCCAAAGGAGTGTTCCGCGGTTCAGAACACTGGTGAGGATCCATTCGCCTTTGGGATCCTGGTTGCTCTGAAAGTAGCCACCACCGTGAAGCTTTCCGACCGTGTTTGCGATGATATTGCCTTCTTCACTCACGAGAGTGGCTTTCTTTCCTTCGATGAGCGTGCGCGCACCTCTCCAGGGAGGTGGCTGTCGAGGCATGATGGTGATACTGGTGATGAGTGACGTTAGCAAGGGCGAAGATGTGAGAGGGATGAGCACACTTACCTCTCGGGCCGTTGAAGTTGGGCGTATCCCTGAGCAGGCGCTTTTTGAGATATGAAAAGAAGAAAAAGGTGTGCAATGGTGCTTGAGTACGTCGCTATTGATGCGCTCACTTTTTATCGCGTTAGAAGATGTTGCGATGTTGTAGTGAGCGACCAGAATATCCTTCTTGATGTTGAGGAGGAGTGAAGATCAGAGGGGCTTTGTCTGAGTTGAGATACTGAGAAGGAAGCAGATTTGTTGTTGATGAGAGTGCTCACGTGATCCTGAGACTTAGGATGAGGCGGTGCCACGCGAGAAAAGCATCGTAGCTGGCAGTGCCAGGCACTGATCACTGATGCAATTTGTGAGATCTGTCGGTGCCCACTTTGTGAGACGTATGTAGGAACCCCTCAAAGATGTCATTGTACATGGACCTAGAGATGTGAGTCTATTATGTCAGAATATAGGTATTCACCCTATAATATATTGTTCAAGGTTAAAAAGTTAACATAAGAGCCGTATATGAAAGGATAGGGTCAAAGCTGGATTCATTCAGGTTGGCATCCTACTTGAAATACACATGAAATACAGTATCCAACAAACTAAGCCCATTTGAAGATGGCCTCAAAGCAAGAAAAGGTTCCTTAAAGACGGTAATATAAGTGCATTTTGCTCTCTATCTCAGTCTTTTTGAACGCTCATCCCCTGGAGGGCCTTGCTGGCTAGAACATCTTTGTAACGAGTGATGTGCCGCACTATCACCAAGGCCCCTTGAGATACTTTGCATCTGTTCAAGGAGAATTATGCACACTGAACTAGCCCGCCTTCAACATGAAGGGTTTTAGAATAGTGCAGATGACAATTGAACTGTATTCATTCTGCAAATCACGTCTTCTGGCAACTAACCGTCCTATTATTCATCTGCCTTGGGCTTTTCCGCGTACGTGTACCTGGCATTCTGATTATCCCCATTCACCTGAAATCCCACCAGAGCAATGATTCTGATCCCCCGGTCCACCATGATAAAACTGGTTGCCCGACCCGCTATTGTTCAATACTACTTCTGCGCTGCGATATTCTTCCAAGGATGGAGGGAGTTTCTTCACTTCTACCAAAGCTCCCTGTAATGTGTTGATATCGTCTTGAGTCACGAGAGGCTCGACTGCCACAAGGCTCGCGTTGGTAAGAAGCTCCACCATGATCGTCTCGACTTTCTTCCCATCGCTGTTCTTGACAGCCGACACGTAGCGCTCCATCTTTTCTCCATCTTGTGAAACGGTGTCGAACAGATTCTCAATAGATCTTAGTTGTCCACAGCCCTCGTCTGCGACATTGCTTCATAACTGGATATAGCTCAGGAAATTGTGGATGCAGTGACATTCATACTGGACCTTAATAAACAGAAACCTCTGTAGCTCAGCCACTGCATTGGACTTGGCGGTATAAAGCGCTCGGAGCAAGGATTGCGTGCCATCTCTGAGTGGGTGACTCTCAAGGCAGAAACTCGATCCTAAACGACATAAAAGCCTAGGTAAGTTTAGCATGAGCTTAGACGACCTTTTGACTAGTTATTTCTGACAGGTGGGAAGTTTTCTTGCTCTCTGCGGAGGCCTGAGAGGGCTGCATGCCTGGCGAGGGGGTTGCATGCTGACTGCATAAATACCCCCGCTCGGGCACGACGCCATTCTGAAAACGACAAGGCATAATCCAATTGTGTTTGTGAGTTACAGAGATTTTCAAGCCTTGACCAACAGAGACACAGTCACAGCCCGGCCTGGTTGTAAATCTTCTCTACCAGGCAGGGCCGAACATCAACTCACCCCAGCAGCCATCCCATTGCTGTTTTAGTTTGAGGGATTAAATGCAATAACTGCAACTACTTTACCATAATATCGGGAGCAGAAGTTCTGGGCATCATTTCCGGTGCCATCACCGTCATCGAGGCTACGATCACTCTATACAAGACCGCCAAAGACTCCTCTGGTCTACCCCCATCACTTCGAGATGCAGCGTCTCGCCTCCCCCTCATACAAGAGAGCCTCACGATAGCGGCTCAAGGCATCCAAAAGGACTCTCAACCACTAGAATCATACGTTGCGCTTGAAGCCGTACTGAAAGCTTGTAGCGAAAAAGCAACACAGCTCCATCAAACTTTCGAGGCCATGGTGCCCCCGAGTGGAGCGACCCGAACGCATAGATATCTCAGAGCTGTGAAGTCTTTTCCTCAAGTCGACAAGGCCAACGTGCTAGTTGAGGGCATCCTTGGGGATCTGCAGGTTCTTACGTTGAACCATGTTGTCAAGGCTGCTACGAGAGAGCAGATCAAGGAGTTGATGGGTATGGGAACGGATAGAACTGTGGGCAAGAATTCATCAATGGTGCTGAATAATACTGGGATTGGGAGGCAGTATATTCATACAGGACAGGGAGATCAGAATGTTGCGAGCAATACGGCCACTCAGGTCAATGGGACGTTTCACGGCGGAACATTCAGTTTTACGCAAACATGATTGAGATCGAGGTCTGACATGCAAGTGATGGGACTGTGTCGAATATTATCTAGTATATATAATCATCAGGGTCAGAGGTTGGGTCAAATGGTTCAAAATCCGAACTTGAACCCTCGAACTTGGAGTTTGCAGGTATTTCTTCAAACAAATCTCTGATCAGAGCATGTCCCCTAGTCTGATGCCCTTGAGAATTCAGGACATCAATGGCTGACCAACCGCGTGCGCTACTCGCGTGAGGATGAACCCCCTGTGATAATAATTGTCGCGTCTTAAAAAGCTTTCCCAGATGAACAGCCAACATCAGCGGGGTGAGCCCAACATGGTCTTGCACCTCTAAATCTGCTCCTCCTTCTTTAAGAAGTCTAATCGTGTTATTGCTCGCCTCAGCGCTATTAACAGCATGATGCACCGCGGTATAACCTCGTTTGTCTGGTACGTTAAGATCCGCGGTTTCATCAATGATCAAATCAAGACCGTCGTTAAAGCCCGCTATGGCAGCGTGGTGTAGTGCCGTTAAGCCAGCTGAATCCTGGTGTTCGACAGATGCCCCGTTGGCGATGAGAGCTTGTACCATAGGCCTGTTCTGTCGGAGGATTGCGACTATTAATGCCGGATTGCCCTTGGCATCTGGCTCATCGATACTTTCTCTCACAGAGCTTCGTGATGCAAGAAGACTCACTGTATCCTCAGAGCCTCCGAGAACAGCATAGTGGAGTGGCGTGGATCCTGCCGAATCCTTGATTCCAGATTGTGCGCCGTTATCAAGCAGAAACTTTACCTCCTCAAAACGTCCGCTGTAGCAAGCTTCGTGCAATTCAGGCAAGTCCTAAAATGGGTGGAGGATACTAGATCAGACATAAAGCGACGTCCTGTATTATAATCAAGAATGTGACAGGCAAGGAAGAGAACAAGAGGAATCAGGTGTAAATGGCAGGGTTGATATACAAAGCTAAGAAAGCTGCCTAGCATACATCTTCGCTGTGATATTCCCTCAATGGTCCACACAAGATCATGCTGTTGTCCCTGGATGTGACAATCCTTTTCTGTGAACAAGTGATTGCTACATATGCTCAGAGCGGTGAGCCTGCTGTTGGATAAGATGGGAGGCCGAGAACACAGACATCTAGTATCCCTATCATAGCTTGCTAGGTCTTGAATAACCTTGTAAACAGCGAGAGATCTTAACCCCAAACCGTCACTCTCATCTCGGGCAAATTACCTGCCCCCCACGCTTGACCTCCTCCGTCAGCTGTATTAGCGCTGGGAGTTATTGATCAGACAATTTACTGGTGCCAAGGTGCAAATATTGGTTGGCGGCTGAGTGGCGGCGTGATAGGTACTACGATCCCTGCACTTGTAGAAAAAGCCATGATTTCTCTTTCAACCCCCCCGCGCCACCCATTGCCTGGCCTGTACGGAGCACTTTGCACAGAGTGATGGCTAATAAACACACATTATAGACATTCAGAGGGTTCCAAAGCACTAACTTTGCAGGGAGCGAGGTACAGCCAGTTTCATCTCCGATCAGATGAATCCGGCTGCGCAGTAGTCACGCCCTCATTATTAGTTGCCTCGGGATTTATAGGCACACATTATGTAGGTAGGAATCAGGCTGCGTAGTGAGACAATATGTTTCGGACAACAAAGAAGGAACTCGTGTATGCAATGATTTGACCTGCATAAAGCCATATGTAGGCAACCTAATCTGCGAACCAGAAATTCCGCAAGGCCGATGAACAATGTTGATCTGATGCTGTCAGTCGGCTACTATATACCAATACAGAAATGTTGATGGGCCAAACAAGCAGAACATAGCCACCAAATGCCATACTGAGCTTTGAGCAGTGGTTTAAGGCGGTTGACTCAATTGTGCCACGCAATCCGTACTACGCAGTACAGCCAGCCGCTTGGTGTGTATAATGCTCCGCTCGTTACCCCTCTCCATCTCTTACAGCTGAGAAGTAGTGTTACTATTATTGCTATTAATAAACAGCGTTCTCTAAAGAACGTCCCTCACTTGGGGAGGATCGTTGAGTCCAACTACCTATGCAAAGGTGACTGCCCAAGTCACAGTCTCGGCCTGGATACTCCAAGCCTCGTCTTGGGAAAGTATGTAAGCAATGGTCACCCAAACAGCCTCTCGAGGACACGACATGCTTCCAATTGGTTTGGCTGAGACATAAGCAGCCATAAGGAGAGGGCTTGTTCCACATGTTTCAGCCATCTGTTTGCCTTGCCAGCACAAGAAAAGTTACGTGCCGTCCAATCGAGGAAATAGAAATCGGCGTTGGGAAGAAAGAGACAACTACACTAGTTGGCCTGCATTCCGAAGGGTTCCCACCCTCGATGACTTTGGTAAATGGTCTGGTTTTGCTTAAAACAGATGGGCTGCCCGATTGTCTTGTCCAGACCATTCCAAACATATATTTCAGTTTCTCATCAAACTTTTCCACTACTCACTTCGAAAATCCTGACCAATTACGCCACCATGAGCAACAGTGTTCCAGTTCGGTTGATTATCTGCGTTGATGGGACATGGTGTGGGCCTGATGGTGCGCACGGGAATCGGGACCATAATATTACCAACATTTATCGCTTCTACACAACTATCAAGAAGGGTGAATGCGATGACCGCTCTGGAAAGAGGTAAAATGCAACCTTTTACACAAATATAATACTAACCGAAACTACTAGGTTCCATCAAATCAAAAAATACTACCCTGGCATCGCCGCCGAAGAGGGTATAAGCCCTGGCGAGAGACTATTCGCCGGTATGCTCGGCGGTCCATGCATCGAGCAGATCCGCAGCGTCTATGAGTTTATTTGTCAATCATCGGGACCAAACGATGAGGTCTGGCTATATGGGTTCAGTCGTGGAGCCTATGTCGTTCGCGCTGTGGCAGGCCTACTGCACTATATGGGCGCAATATCATCTGCTGGACAGCACTCTTTCATAGAAGATTTCAAGCTCGCCTTGAAGGTTTACAAGAAGCTGCAACAGCAGAACAAGCTTGGAGAAGGTCAGGTACGTAACTTCACTGAGGAAACTGATGATGTGTAACTGAAAAGTCCAGATCCACAATATGTTTGAGGCAAGAACAAGACCGGCTCCGACCATACAGTTCGTCGGTGTTTTCGATACCGTGAAGGTAGTCCAGGATGAACGTTTATACGACATCTCTTTCAATCCTTCGATCCAGCACCTGAGGCATGCTCTTGCATTAAACGAAGACCGCCGGAGATTTGAGCCCGAATACATTTACCCAAACTTCAACAACCGAACACAAAGATTGGAGAAACGAACCTTTGTCCAAGCTTGGTTCGTCGGTGCCCATATCGACATTGGAGGGTCAGCCGACAGGGACGGGCTGTCGCTTTACCCCCTTCAATGGATGCTCATTGAGAGTAAAACCCATGGCCTTAACCTCGAGTTTGATGGCGACTTTGGAGGTCGCTGCCCCTTGACAAGTCCGCTGAAGATCACCGGTCTGGAAGAGAATGACGGAGCATGGGAATGTGTGACAAAAAACGGGCTTGTCGTTCAGATGAAAGACATCAGGAACATTCACCAAGATAAGGAGAGCAACGGAAGATATAGTGTTCATCTACACAGTTCTAGAGGCTCATTGTGGATCAGGCGGCATAGGGAGCCTTTTGGAGATAACGGCGAACTCAATGGCTATTGCAACTTCGGTATGTTGACCTTGTCTATCATCAAACAGGGCTCCTAGGTACTGACAGTAGGTGATTCATAAAAGGTGCACAGGGTACTATCATTCATCCCTCGGTCTATTTGGTGCTAGACAAGTTCATGCATACTAGTTGGGGCTCCAAAGAATTTCCCTTCTATCGATTTCTGCACCAATGGAGATCCAATACCTTAGGTCAAAAGGATGATCTCCGGGCTGGCTGCTTCTGGAATGAGCCAGGTGACCACGTACTCGAGGAACCTGGTGCTATCAGAATTCTCGTCTGCGGAAATTGCGGAGTCGGGAAATCATCCTTGATCAATAAGGTATTTGGCGTCGAAGCCACAGTCGTAGCACATCGGACCCGTGGTATACATCAAATAGACGAAGAAATCAAATGGGACGATCGGCCGGATCTTGTTGTCCATGACTCGGGTGGTTTCGAGGCGGGTGGCCAAGACGAACTACGTTGTGTTCAGGACTTCCTGAAGAAGAGGTCAGCTGAGACGGACTTCAAAGAAAGGTTACACGTAATTTGGTATGTATGGTGATTCCCAATCCAACCAAAACCTCACTTCAACTGGCTCAAATCTGCCCACATCGGCTGACTGATGAATCAGGTACTGCTTTGAAGTCAACTCTCCCAGGCCCGAGCAGGCCGCTCAAAAGATGTTATTCGAAGGCTTGTCGGACTATGCACAGGATGTACCTATTGTGGCCATTGCAACAAAAAAGGACGAATTTCTCGGCGCAAAGCTAATGGAAGGGCGACGCGCCCTAGAACAGCGCCACGAACCAGTTACCCTGGCAGCTCTAGATCTTTATGGCGAAAAAGAATTGGAAGGCCAGTTGTGTCAGATTGACAAAGAGCTGAACGACTTTGGCCGTTTTGATGATCTCGTTGCTGTATCGATACGTAAGTTTGAGACATGCCAAAACTTGAATCCAAGCCTAATAATGTGCAATATCAGACGACGAAACTTCAATCGGGAACCTCAGCTTGGCAACAACGCAGCTTTTCACCCACGAAAGGGTCAGGCTTTTGTTCATACGCGCCCAGGCCACGCGACTCGATCTAAAAGTCGACCTGGCCCTGGGTGAGACCATCAATATTTACAAGAGAATTTTGATCAGTTCATCGGCAATAGGTGGTATTCCTGGCGCAATGACAACGAACCGTACTGTTGCTGCTATTGACGTATGCCGAACAGTAGTCACAAGCTTCGGTATCTCCACTATCACGGCCGAAACAATCTTTTCAATCTGTAAGGCGAATATATGGGACGACTTTGGCAACAACATTCGCACGACGATCGCTGAGATAGCGGCCCTCTGCGGACTGGGGTGCACTATAGTTTCCGGTGGCATGCCTTTCTTCCTGATTCCCATGGCCACAAATGTCCCTTTGGTCGTGTTGGCGACAGCGCGGTTGGTTCTAATGCTCGCTTGCGATGTCATTCTGATCCTCACCCGAGCTTTCAGGGAGGCGGCAGTAAAGTCGATTGCAAAACCTGAAAAGCGAGATGTGGAAAATGCGGCCATGGAGTACCGCAAGCACTGTCGCGAAGTTCATCTTCGTGTGAAGAAAGCACTTCCCCACGGCTTTAAATGCTTCAAAATTGGTCGAATTGAAGCTTTGATGATAAGTATTATCGAAGAATTCAAGTGTAAGGTACTGGAAGGAGTAGGGGCATCGCTGCCGCCGAATTTCAGACGCAATTATTTGGGCGCAACCGTGTCATCCGCGTTTTCTGACGGTTCAAGTGTTTTGAAAGATGACTCCAGTGACAGCGGTAGCTTTCTAGAAAATAATCCGGTGTCTAGCTAGCTGTTCATAGTCTGGAGGTAGAATGCTGAGGGTTTCACTAAGCTCTATACTGCACTCAATGCAACTGCCGTTGTCCTGACGAAAGGGTCACCTACCAGTTACTTAGAAATATAAAGTTGATCGAGGTTCTGAGTAAGAGATAGTTCAAGAAAACGAACTATCGCACTCAATATTCACTAAAACCCGAGCCCGACTTCCATGACATATGACATATGACATATCAGGGTGTTTTTTGACTCCAAAAACTGATGTGCAAGTCCTGTAGCACAGTGAGGTTGTTGATCTAAAATTATTGATTTTAGGGCTTTAGGTCATTGGGTTTCATCTTATTGGCTTTACAATGCCAGTTAAACCATGCATGCATATTTTTGGTTCGAATGGACCACTCTGTTCCAAGCCGCAGGCGCCATTATTGTAAATGTAGGGAGCTGAAAACCTGCTGAATCCGAGCTTTTGCATTTACTAATCTTTGGTCACCACGGGGCAACTGTTGATTCAACAATTTGTAAGAATTCAAGTCTGGCACTCTTGATCAGACAGTCCAAAGGAGCGATATTACTAGCTTTGACTTTTCAAAACATCGTTATCTTAAACAGACATCATCCTGTTCATACCTATTATTCACAGAATCGGAGAACATAACTATCAAGATACAGCGCCATGGATGAAATCAAACCGGGACTTGTCAGGCTAGGTTTCCAACCGGAACCAAAGGACCGAGGAACCATTGGAATACTTATGCCCTGTCTCGCTGTCTTGGTTCTTAATGTCTGGACCTTATTTCACGTCAACATACCCCTGGAAGGGGAGGCTACCTACTTGTCCTGGCTACGTAGGGTCAAAATCTGGGTTATAAATCTTATTGTGCATGATGGCGTCGCGACTTTGGCATTTTCCCAATGGCGCGATGCTAAACGACACGTCGCTAATATGAGAAAGGAGGACACCTACGGCTAGTAGACACTAAAGCATGCATTCTACGCTGAAATGGGCGGCTACCGTATTCGCGATTCTTCGAACAAAGAGTATGCCTTTCGATCAGCGGAACTCTACGAACTGGTTAAAAGAAAAATGGCCTTGCTTCCTAAAATTAGTATCGACGATCTAAATGATTGGAGTGATGCTGATGGCTTTGTAAAAGGTCTCGCTTTGTTTCAATCTACCTACTCTTTAGTTATGGCCTTTTCAAGACTCCACCAGGGTCTTCACCTCACTACGTTGGAAGTAGAAACTATACCTCTTATTTTCGCGACTTGGTGGGCGTATTTCTTTTGGTGGAAAAAGCCGGTCAACATCCAGTGTCGGACTTTGGTACAATGTGAAGAGCTGGAACCCAACACTCTTGCTGACATTGCTCATGAGCTTTCCAAGCCCGCGAACTGCGATTCGAACAGCTACTGGTGGAGGCCGGTTCCTCGAGAGCTTCATCAGGTCGGTTGGGACTTCTACTGGTTCGAAAGCAGACTTGAATTTTCAAGTGGAAAGCTCAAGAGCCCCTGATTCCAGACAAACTCGCGGAATCGGTGAGAAATAACCCTGCTCATACTCTAGTTGTCGACTGATACCTCCCGTCCGTTAAAGAGATGCATCCGTCGCAATGGGGATGGGAAGAAGATGCCATGATCTATGGCCTATGGATTTTCATGGACTGCTTGCTCCTTGTCTCTTGGAAATCGACTTTCCCTTCAGAGCTGGAATCCCTGTTATGGAAGTGCGCAGTATTTGTAATGCTGATCACTACCACAGTATGGTGGCCCATTGCTTGGTTGGCCTCATATTCATTTGGACCTCGGACTCTAGCCAAGCACACATTTGTTATCTACTTGTTGGAGTTACATGATAGGTCGAGCTTACGTATTGGTTGAACCGTTTCTTAGGCTCCGCGCTCTCCCTACCTCAGCTTACCAGACGACCTCTTGGTCAAAGTATATACCCCATTTCCAGTAAGTAGTAGTGCATGGAACGATCTCAGAATGGCAGCTTTAATCTATTAATTAATTAGTGAAGAATGAATTTCGTATTAGCAAGATTATGAAGAATTATACTGCTTAGATTAAATGTACTTTAGTAATGCCCTACTGCTACTACTACCTAAATCTGCATCGACTTGCGGCGCCGATAATTGAGCTTTAGTAGGACATCTAGTGGGCTAGTAAAACGAATAGTATGCTATGCATAGTTAAAGGGTACATAAGAGAGGGTTAAAAGAGCCTTAATTTCTTTCTTAGAGAGTAAAGGTATTAATTACCTTATATAAAAGGGAGCTTAGCTAGTAAGTAATTAAATAAGCTAATTATACCTTTTTATATATTTCTTATTTAAAGTTATAACTTATATAAAAATTAATTATATAATATATAATAGTAAAAGTTATTAAGACTTAATCCTACCTAGGCTTATAATTATAATATATATAATTAAGGGGTATATAAGAGAGGATTAAAAGAGCTTTAATTTCTTTATAAGAAAGTAGAGGTGCTGGTCGCCTTATACAAAAGGGAGCTTGGCTGGTAAGTGACTAAGCAGGCCAGTTATACCTTTTTACAATAGCAGTTAAGAAGTGGACGGGTACCCGTCCTTCTAGAATTGATGTTATGGTTAACGTTTGCGTTCGAAAAGAATGAAAAAATATTTTTAATGCAAAACACTCTAACCATTAAGACTGACACGTCCTAAATTATCATCTAGATGTGCTCTTTGCAATTGAGACCTGTGGCTGAGAGCTTATAATCACCACACAGAACTTAGACTGACACGCCCCCAACATTGATTCTGTCATATTGTTGTTGAGCCTATAGTACCAGGCGTCGGGCTGATTCTGGGTTGATAGCGTTTTGATCTACCTGGAACTGATTCATCTCTTCTCCATGGCTATCTCTTTCATCCATCGAAATGGATGGATGAATTGGAGACATTGGAGGTGCTCGTTGACCCTCACCCAATGTTCGAAATCAATGAGGAAGATTGGGAGGCTGGTATTGGGAAGGCCCTTATTGGCCGCGAATGGCTCCAGCATACCTGTTAGATGACCCATGATGTCGACCCAACGTTGAGCCGCGAAGAGCAGTGTCAGTGCGTTCAGCTTGTCTGTGCGGTGGGCCTGTGCAAAGTCGGTTAAGGCTGCATAGAGCTCCTCTGGATATGCCATGATGAATACTTATATATATGGCGCGTCGTAAGTGAACACTCCGGACCGCCCTTGTCTGTCGAGTAGGAACTTGGCTGTTCGATGGGGAACCTTGTATAGCTACCGGTTCTGCGGGCCAGCTGGCTGCTCCGGTCTCATTAGGCCATTGTAATTTGGCTCAACATGGTTGGGCGCTGTGGTAGTTGATACTGGGTTGATCCTAGTAAGGACCACTGGCTCCCCGCCTTCAAAAAGCGCAAGAACTGGCTCATCAGTCCTAGCCTTAAGATCCTCGACCGAATTATCCCCTTCATTGAATGCCACGTCCCAGTCCTTTGATATGAGTAGGTACTTGGAGGCACAGAAGTTTCTACCCGTCGATAGTCCATGGTGGAGGATTGTGTTGGCGCCGTGAACGAGCTCTGAGAGAGTCTCCCGGAGTTGAAGACCTGAGAGGGAGTTGTCTCGAACTGAACATCGGGCCAACAACGCGATAACCGCTCTGATGCCAGAACATCGATATATTGAACTCGATCCCGCTTGGATCATGGTGTGATATCGGATGTGCATCTTGTTCAATGGAGGGTGATATTGCGAGGGAGGAGATGAAGAGTTCAAGTAATAAATGAGATGCGCAGGAATTTTCAGCCAGAGGAGAAAATCTTCAAGCACACGGAAAACCCCAAAAGGATCTTCCGCCTGGTCAGGTTCCACGGTCTCGCTGAAAGCTGGACCGGATTGGTGCTACACAGACTCATTCGCACTGCAAGGCAAGCCTTTCTGGCCTTTTTATTTTTGTTTGACAATCTGTACAACTGGCTTGCGCCTGTAGCCAGGTCACCAAGTGTTTGATAGAGTAAACAATGAATACGAATGCTTCCATTCGCAAATCATTGCACAGCTTGCCATACGTTTGCGTTATCAGGCGAACTGCCTAGGTAGTCATCAATAAGCCTCTCCAGAATTGCCTCCCCTTCCGTCAAACCGTCCTTTACCCGCGCGATTGCTTTTGGGAGACGCAAGATATCTTGCAGTCAGACGTTCTACGTTTTGTCCTCGCTGTTTGCCCTGAAGATTGCTCGTTAGTCACTCTCCATTTGTCAGCAAACACAAACTATCTTCCTCGTCGCCATCATAAGTTGGTGGGAAGCTAGTTTGGGAAATCCCTCTCGCGCAAGCTATCCGAAAATTGATATCTGAAGCGATGATCAACGATCGCCGGGTCCCCGCTGATCGGCATGCTCCTCATCTATCCAGTCGGTGATTGGCTGATTCAGACCACTATACCAAAGATGGATCAACTGGCGTACGGTAGTCTCCGGGCCCGCAAGCCGGCGATCAGATAACATGATACTGTACCCAATCCAGTGCATTTATTCATACAGACCTGCAGATCGATTTCAATCAAGGAAAGCTAATGAACCTTGGACACGTCAATCAAGCGGGGCATTCACCTAGCCACCCGTAGTTAACTTAACCCTAGTAGGTTATAAACCACCAAGTTTCCTCAAAAAACCTGGATCTCTTGCAACATGGCAATCAATTGTCTTCCAGTCTTTTACCGTGGCTACCATGGCTTCCCAAAATGAGTCCCAAGTGGACAGCTCCGTTGATAAAACAGGAGCAGAGGAATCACAAAGTCAAGTACCTATCTGTGACTGGACTGAAAAGGCTGAAGTCAAGCTGAGAAGAAAGTCAGTCAGCCGGTCTCCTCATATCATCCGCTGGATACTAACGCTTTCCATCAGGATCGACTTCACCGTCTTACCTATTCTCATGCTCGGCCTCTTCGCCCTACAACTCGACAGAGGAAATGTCGGTTACGCCATGACGACAAGCTTCACCAAAGATCTCGGCATCACCAACGACAACGTCAACTACGGAAACCAGCTCATGCTGGCAGCCGTCGTAATCTTCGAGATACCCTTCAACATGGTCCTATCCAGAATAGGTCCTGCTCTTTGGCTCATCATACAGATCTTGACATGGGGAACCATAGCAACGGCTCAAGCAGCTATCCACAACCTATCGGGATTCTACGCTACGCGCTTCCTGCTGGGAATGTGGGAGGCCGGATACCTGGCTGCCTCGCTGACGATAATTGCGTCGTTTTATACGAGGAGGGAGATGGCGTTACGGGCTACGCTTGTGTACGTTGGGAATTACTGCTCTGCAGGTGTAAGCGGCCTTCTCGCCGGTCTGATCTTCAAGATTCCAGAGACGAGCGGTTTGAAGCGATGGCAATGGCTTTTTATCATTGATGGCCTCTTCACCCTGGTCGTTGGCGTTGTGTTCATCTTGGTCATGCCTCGTTCGACAACCAATACGCTTCCACTTGCAGGCATTAAGCGATTCGACTTGTTCAACGATGAAGAGAGGGATATCTTGGCCAAGCGTGTAATCCTCGATGATCCGCGCAAGCATGTAAAGCTCTCTGGCATCACCCCCAAGACTGCGCTGCGCATTCTCTTGACGAGTTTTCCAATGTGGGGCCATTTCAGCATCAACGCCATTTCCATCACTCCCAAAGGAGGTTTGGTTTTCTACACACCTTCAATCATCAAGAACCTCGGCTTCGAAGCATCTACGGCAAGTTTCCTGTCAGCCGTTCATAACTTTGGAGTATGCATCTTGGCAATTCTTGTATCATGGGTCAGCGACAAGACCTTGTCTCGAGGACCTCTATGCCTACTCTGCGGCGTGTACTCGCTCGTCTTCTCTGGTGTTCAATTCGCTGTTGTCGGGAGTACCGACGTCTGGCTAAAGTACGCCATCCTCACACTTCTGACCTCTGGGATGGCAGTATCTCAGAGTCTTAATGATGCCTGGTTTAGCATCAACACTGCTGATCCGCAGGTCCGATGCATCGGGCTTGCGCTGGCTGTTGCCGGTTCTAACGTCGGAGGACTCGCTGGACAGAATATATTTGTCAAGAGTGACGCGCCATACTATCGCAACGGCTTTCTGAAGATTTTGTGTCTTTATGCGGGTAGTATTGTACTTATTGCTGGCATGATATTTTACTACTGGAATGACAACAGGAAGATGCAAAAGTCAGGAGAACTTGAAGATACCGCAGTGATAGAGGGATCCGGGGGAGTGAGGAGGACAAGGGTGAGGAATCAGTTGTAGAAGGTATCTCATAACTTCCGATCCCTGACACTGATTGGGATTCTCAATAAGTTACGATAGTATGATATTCTTGGTGAGCTAACCCAGAAATACCCACGTAGTAAGTAGAAACTGGTTAATATATATAAAGAAATGGACGTTAACGTAGATACATTGGCCAATAGGTAAACCAGGCGCAGGTTTAGACTTCCTCTTTTCGTTATTCTGGAGGTCTTACTGATAAAAGTATGACAAACAGCAATAATATGATAAGTGAATATGTTGATGAAATTTGTGCTTCCTGTCCGCTGACTCCATGCGAGCTATATCACGAAGATATTGCTTCCGTCAAGCTACACTAGCATGACTGTTGAGCTGGGCTCTTGATAGCGTTACCAGCCGCATTAACATACTTCTTAAGCACACTAGTCCTGCCACACTTATACTTGACAGCTTGAACAAAGGTCTGTGTGTTCAATTTGGCTCCATCCCAGTTGGTATGCGTGTTATCGTTAGGGTAGTAGGTTTTGGCCTTCGTAGGTCCCATCGCCTGGAACAAAGCCACGGAATAGTTTGTGTGATTGATGTATTCGACTCCAGCGGCTTTGGCCACAGCCTCAGCATAGTCCGCAAAGGGCCATTTTGATTGCAGTGTGTTGCCCGTCCAGTAGTTGCGGTTGACCATACCGGAGAGAATAGGCGTTGCTCCCTTGGCCTTGACGTCAGCGATCATCTTGCGCAAATACCAGCCAAATGTATGAACGACCTCTTTACTGCCTGTGGTCGTGGTAACAGTGACAGTTTCTTCGCCAGTACCGGGCAGGGTGGCGCGGTCAGATGCAGTGGGATCCCCGTCATCGTTGTGGCCCATCTCAATAACCACAAAATCTCCTGACGCTGTCTTTGACAACAAGTCTTTCCATAGGCCTTCGTTGATAAAGGACCTGGTCGAGCGGCCATTTTTGGCAAGGTTCGAAACCGTCAAGGTTGTATAGTCTTGGATGTAAAAGCCCCAGCTATCATCCATCAATGAGTAAGGGCAGATGTTCTGATGCTTTGGCCGAAACTACTTACCCCTGTAGGGCATTTCCAGTGGCATAGTTTGCCGTCGTGCTATCAGAACAAATTAATAGCTTCGCTGCCTGGATAGGCGCTGCAAGCAATACCGTGCCGAGAATGGTTGAGAAGCGCATGTTGTAGACGACTAGAGAAAGTTGACATGATTTTAAGCATTCAATTATGCGAATATCATCGTCTTCTTAAGCATTTTCAATTCAGGCAAGTATGTCTACTTGGATACAACTAAGCTGGAGAGTGGTGGGAAAATTAGAATCCGGAGTGACCACTTCAAATGCCGAGCTCGGCAGCTCGGCATAGATGGCATCCATGTAAAGTCCCAAATTGGGTATTCGGAGTTTACATCACCTATCCGAAGACTTAATTAAGCCTTGTTACAGAGGGTTTATAGTTTTGCTATACGCGGATACATAAATTTGAAACGGGCTAAGGTAGGAATGCGTGCAAAAAGACCCAAACGGAGAATATCAACCCCACGATTCTCCGTTACTTATTATAGACATACTACGTGTGGGGGAGATCGTCTACCCCACGATCCTGCGATGATTGCCATAGTATGGTCTGAAATTAACAAGATCACTTTGTGCAAGGCTGTTCTCTTTTTACGCCACCTGTGGACTGAGACCACATCTAGAATAAACCCCATGCACTACACGATGACGGTAATTATGCAGGAGGTGGAGGAATTAAATGAGATTAACAGGTCTACTGAGTGGCGCATTCAAAGCATCGGGGTGGAGATTCAGAACCTGCAGGATGGTGATGCTGTGAAGATGGATGAGGTGTTTGTAACTGCGATGAAGGCTTGGGCTGCTACCGTTGTTGGGTATGTTGAGAAGAATATGCGATAGAGACTTGATAGTTTATGGGAATAAGGGAGGGTATCTGTTCCAAATTGCCTACGTGGGTCAAGCTACCATCATCGCCATGGGGAACACTGACTAAGAAAGGCAAGAAGACTTAGGATCTTTATTGTAAAGAAAAAAGATTTCGGGTAAGCTTAGTATAACTTAGTAGGCCTATAGACCAGTCAATCTTGGTACTTCAGTTCAAAGTCAGAAGTTTCCTTGCTCCCTGGGGACTGAGTATATTCCTTATACGTGGTTATATGTGCTCTTTGACCTTTTGTGAGGGCTTTGGACTTCTTATAACCCCTCCTTTGACCTATAGGCCGTCTCACCGCGTTACTCGCTGTTTGTAGGTGTGACTCAACGGCGTGCAAGCAGCTCTACTTAAAGTTCAAGCTCCTGAAGCATAAGAAGTTTGCTAAACTTTCAAGACTTTCGCCACCACACGAACCACATTACATCACGAGTATAAAATGCCCGTAAAACGTAACCATTCATGCATTTTCCTCCTTCCTTTACCAACATCATAACTTCGGAAATCGTTCAACTACCCCGAGATAATCTGACGATTCATTTCACAAAATCTCAACCATGGAGTCCACAAGTTCAACCCCATCTCCCACTGAACCTCGTGTCATTTCCGGTTGGAAACGAGTAGCTTGGCCAGAACTCCGTATACTGCCTCCACATATCTCAGCTGCTAGTCTCCCCGCCCTTATGCAACAGATTTCCCAAGATATTCTCAAAAACGCACATGCCATTGCCAAGAAGCATGAAATTCTAACCCCCGACGACATGGGCAATCAAATCCACTTCCAGATGCGAAATGGAATACCAACGCTCCTCGTCGTTGCCCTCTGGTCTTCCGAAAAGACACCTATCTGGGGAAAAGCCGTGCAGGAAATGGTCATGATTTTGGCTGAGTTATCCCAATCATCATCAATCAGCGAAGGCGATATCCACGTCGAGATCACCGCTCCGGAACATGAGCAGACAATGTATTATGCTGCGCCCAAGGACCCCTCTCTTAGTAGAACCTGGGACTTTGTTCGTCCTACAGTCCACGACTGCCTCCAGTCATTTCAAGCAACTAGAGGTCGCATGACGACTACCATTACTCTCTTCCGGTACGGAGTGCTTCCAGATCTCCGAGACAACCCTCTTACAATTTATATCTCGGTAGACTTTGGTCCGGACGAGACGCGTTGGTATGAGGTCATTTCTGATATCAAGAACATGCTTCAAGGCGTAGCGGGATGGAATCAGGTGCAGGTCCATATGGAGAATAACGAAGGAATGCAATCCTCTTTCGACTAAGTTTGTACATTAAGGGAAGGGGAGTTTTATCACTGGGAATGAATCTATTTTCTAAGATTAGGAAAGGCAAATATTGGCAAAACATACACATCTTGGAACTAGAGCGGACTGTGAATTCTTGAAATCAGATTGTCAAACAGCTAATGTGTACCAACTATGCATACGTCGCGAGGATCGACCCTGCTTCCTTGCCATCAAACTCCAACCAGAACTTCATCGCAGCCTCCCTTGTAGAGATAACAAGATCATAGGTAACCTTCAGCCATTCCCGCCCATCAATACCAATAACCTCCTTGAACCGCGACTTATCCACCTCACTCAAATCGCTCTTTAGAATGCAGTTCAACTTGACATCTCCGGTAGGATGCTGAGGCTGTAGCTGAGTTTCCGACATCCACAGTTCATCTCGAAAGCGAAGGTCCTTCTCAGAGTAAGATTTTGGAATATGCCTATGAAATGCATATCGTTCATTACGGTCACGTCTCAGAGTTTCGCCTATGACGATATACCATGTCATCTAGGATTATGATCAGCTTCAGTGTCTCATATGTATCAATTCCGTCCGACTTACTCTCTCTGTCCTGAGCCGGCCGGTCACGGGGCTGGTAGATGTTGGTCGACCTTTATCGATTGCGGGCTCGTAGAGGGACCAAGCACTCACTCCGTAGTGACGGGTAGCCTTGGTTGATATGACGTTCGTATACGAAAGCCGGCTGAGTGCTGCTCCTCTGCTCCAATGTTAGATCGGAACATAAACTACATGAAAGTCAACCCACTTCACAATAGCCGCCCATGCATCATCAGGTTGAATGACCTAACGGTGTCAGCTGCTGTACTCTTCCGCTCTCACTTAGCTTCTTACTTGTATATCTGGGTTCTCATTCTCAATTCGGCTCTTGAGGTATTGACTGGAACCAAATCCACCGACGAGAAAGATCCCCTGTTTAAAATGATCAGCATAAAAGTATCAAACGGACTCTTGACTGACATTGATAGAGTTGTCTGGCTTTTCCTCCTTAATACTATGAACTTGTTCGTTGACCAGGCGAACAATATCTGCAATTAGGGGTTCAAATATACCATGCACCGTCTCACTTCACGTTCCTCCTGTCAGTGTCTTCAAAGCTTCCTTGAGGATGTGACTTACCCAGACATGAACCAAGAATCTCTCTCCAGGCCCTCATCAACATTATCTTCGAGCCGAGCACCAGGGAAATTGACAATGAAATCATCGTCCAAATCTCCCGTGAATGATGTCTTGATCTCCTGGTCAAATTGGCGTTCGGCAAGCGCCCATGCATCGAGACTTTTCAGACGAAACCATTCCTCGTCTCCAATTAGGTCTCGAACAGCTTCCGCGAAACGCTTATTCAGGCCCAGCGATCCCGACATGTTCCTGTGAAGATTTAGAGCCCAGAAGGAGTCGTAATGAGAGGTCTAAGCCCACCTTTGCCAGGGACTAGTTCTGCAAGATCAAGAGTTGGCTCAGTTGAGACGACTTCGTATGAGATCAAGTCAACAGTTCCACCTCCCGCGTCGCAGACGACGAAGCAGTCACCCGACTAGTTCTTATCAGCTTGACCGCGCGTGATTTGTTGATTCCGTGACTTACGCTTAGTGCTCGCTCTAGAGTCATGAATGTGTAGAGAGCTGCAGCTTCAGGCTCTTTGACAAGAGTGACGGGATAAACACCTGCTTTTTTGGCTGCCTGGATCATGTCAGAGACAGCGTCAGACAAAAGAGAGGGAAAAAAGGTGCGGTAGGGACAGATGTTCGGTGATTCTTACCTGAATGGTCCTTTCCTTGGCTTTGTCAGACCAAACTGCCGGGACACTAAGAACGAAAGACTTCTCACAAAGATCCAAGTATCTCGAGGGACCCTAGACCCAATCTTCTCCAAAGCATGGCTATACATAGCTTTCATGAAATCTGCTGCAACATCAACGACATTTTTTGGAAGCCTCCTCTTCTCACGCTTCGCACTGCTCGATGGAAGGTAAGATGGTTTGGGTTGCTTCGGGTCTAGAAGCAATTTGACGCCTTGGACATGATCATCACGCCAGGTGAGTTGCCCTCCCCACTTGAACTTTGTACTGTCTTGTGGGTCATACAAAATAGCAGTGGGAACTTTGGGCTGAGTGCGGCCCTCAAGTCCTACATACCACGTCAGTATTGATCATGGCTGAGAGTATCGCCGTGATGGGTCAACTTGCCTACCCAGTCAACGACTGGCCGAACATCGGGCTTGCTGGTAGCGTTGCAAAAGCAGTATGCAACACCTGAGTATGTCGTTCCAAAGTCGAGCGCAATGATGACTCTATCTTGGGTGTCGAGGCCTGCAGCGCCTAAGCCGACTGAAGCGTCCTCAATAGTGTAGGTCCTCCTGCTGGACGAGTTATGGAGCTGTGCGAACCGGAATGCCATATCAGATGAATAAAAATGTTAATATACAAATAAAGGTTAATTGAAGTTTCGTTTTGTTTCTTCTGTTGTTTGTTGTATGACTGCCAGGTGAAGTGCTGCGCATCCGTTATAATATAGATACTCAGCTGTGACATCTAGATGATCGCTAGCAGTATCAGTACAGGCAGAATGGTGTAGAATACAGCCGAATGTTTCACCCTCGGCAACATCAAACAGTGTGCGAGGCTGTGTAAGCCAACGTTGGCTGAGTTGTCTAACGTTGGCCAGCAATCCCCTCTGCCTCAGCCAATGACCATATCGTGCAAAGTTTCAACATCGCCCAACAACTTACGGCCATACGCATCTTTTATCTTGCTACCAATGTTGAAGTTGAGATTCCGCCTTATACGGCATACTTGTGCACTTTCACGGTCGCGTCTCCTGCATAAGCGCTCAGCACAGACAAGCGGCCAAGAGTCGGCCACACCTGATACTCTTTCACCACACCATCTCCCCCTCTCATGGCTGTCTAAACTTTCGCCCAATACATTCACTGATATTTTGGTCACACCAAGTCTCACATAATTGCGGGAAATACCAGATTGGAGTCTATTTATGACTGTCGGCGTCCATTAATACCACATGTCAACTCAAGACAATACCTCTTCTTAGCGAGAATCTTCTATATCCTTTCATAGTTTTCAACTCCAAGATGCCAATCTTCTCTTCTTTATCAGGCAGTCTCAAAAGACAACGTTCCTGTTCGCATTTAGTTGGATTTTATCAACAACCACCGCGAACGAAGATGGCAGAGTACAATACTCGCACGGGTGATGCAATGGACTGGGAGCACCTACAAGCCCCAACCAGCATGATCCAGTTCATCAGTCAACTACACTGTGACTTGAGAACCGACTTGGAGCGAGACCTTGCCTCATCCATCACTAAGATGAACGCAGAACACCATCAATGTCAACAAGCCGCCTCAGACAGCATCAAGGAAATTGTCCGGACTGCTATGGAAGATTGGTTTACTGATAACCAGAAGAAGTTTCAATCGCGACAAGAAGAGACCGAACTTGACTCACCTCAGACTTTAAAAGCTGAGGTTCGATTGGAGCCCGATGACTCTTATCATCGCGCGCAAGTCGAACAGTTAACCCGGAAGCTAGAACTTGCAAATTCAGAACTAGCAAGTTTGAAGAGGCAACTGAAGGCAACGGAATCACGAGCAGATCAACTCCGTAACATTATTATTCCCAGTGACGGAAAGCCTATCCTCGACAGCGAGATACAGAAGCTGTTCTCCGAAGTTCGCAAAACAGTGCAAATGGTTGCTTGTCGACTCTATTCCAAATCTGGCACATTTCGGAGCCCCATAACAGAGGATAGTAGGGCCTTTTTTGAAGAGATGGAGGATCTTTCTCCAGAGTGTCAACGAGACGCCATTCATACCAATTTATTCATTTTCATCGGAGGACAATTCTTCCCCAACAATGTTAGAGGATGCAACATCGGAAACCATCATCCGAGGCTTCAGAAGCTGCTCGCAGCAACAGAATGGTATTTGACGGAAGCTGTTCAAGGCACTCATCCTGATGGTATGGCTTCCCTCCAGTTCGAATAAATATACCTCGAGCTAACCATCATATTTTTAGGGTCTCGCCAAAAAGAATTGAGCGATTGGAGCCGTGCCACGTTTAATTGTATCGACCTTTTGAGAGATGAATCTGATGGACCGGACTCATGTGCAGCGTATCTTGAACAATTCTTTAAACCAGCCGAGACAGATATCATACAGGCGCAAGAAAGCGGCAGAAAGAAACTCAGGAAGCTCTGCGAAAAGGCTCATGAGCTTGGAATTCTCATGAGGCGAGCCACAGACACCTTTCAAGTTTTCACTGTCAAGGATGATCTTCCTCTCGCTGACTGTCAGGATATGGTTGAAGAGTTGAGATGCAACGGGGAAAGGGATTCTGGTGGGACGAAGGTCGTTGGCTCGTGCTTATTTGGTGGCTTGAGGAAGATATCGAGCGATTACCCGACCAAGCCAATTTTGCTGGAGAGAGCCGTGGTTTCAACGCGATTTGTTAGCTGAACAGGGTAGATTAGTTCGTGGACAAGGAGATATTTTCATGAGAGATATGGGAGGCCTGTTTTGTCTTTGTGTTTTCCGCTATCAATCTGCAGCTAATGCTTGAGGTCTTTCACGTTAGCGCATGCTAAACAGCCTAATCTCTCTTTAACACCAGGTGAACGTGGCGGAAGACAAGCGATGCGCCTCGCTTCCCCAGAGCTAATTCTGTCTTGTACTGAAACAATTCCTGAGCAAGCACGACAGTTTTCCGATTGAGCAGCCATAATCCAGTCACATCCAGGTCAACAAAGCCCATGTTTCATGCTGGAGATAATTCCCCAATTGTGGACAGACCAGCTTGGCCGGAAGGCGGGCTATACGGTCTGCATAGCCGTATCAATTGTCTATAATTGGCGCTGTTGGTTGATAACCCAGGCGCTGAGAAATGAAATTTCGCGGCTGCATTAGCTTTCGGCCGTGTCAGTAAGTGTTGTGATATTTTGGCCGTGGCCCGTTTCAAACTGGACCAACAAACACCTCATTTCTTGAACTTGCGGCCACAAGGGAGGAACCCATAACACAGAGAAATACTCAGCTCAACCAACATATGAATTCGTAGCTTCTCAATGGTTACTTTATCGGTCTATTTCTGCATGTCTTACAGGACTGGCCTTCTACTGCGCCTCTCATGCATTTCTGTAACTCAGACTTTAAGCGTCGACCTTGATTGACCGTCTGCCATCTCATTATTTCAAGACGCTCTTTATACATCCATATTTGCGCGTAGTTTGTAGGTCTACCTGTTATATCAGCATTAGACATGTGTAATGGACTGGGAGAGCAACAGACCGTCCAGCCAATAGTCTTAGAATTACAAGTCGTGTCTGCCGTGTTGGAACCAAAGTCACAGGTTCTTATCTTGGCTGGTCGCGGTTCTCCGACACTGGTGGGTTGGCCCCCTTTGTTCCTTTCGACGGTGCCCCCAAGAAGCGGTCCAGTGGACTGCTCTGTTTCTTTGCATCCCTATCCGCATCTGTCGGAGGTCCCGGGGGAAGGAATGGGACGTTTGGAAGGATGGCAAGAATACTGTCAAGTAAAGTCATGGTTTTGTTGGTTATGATTTGTTCCTATCTGTTGGCAAGATGTTCCAATGGAGCTGATGGCTGGTAATCGGAGGAAAGTGTTCATCAAGATGTTAATTGATCGGTAGGCAGCAAGGGGAGGCAAGAAAACTTAAGATGTCTATCCTAGGTGACAGAAAAGCTTAGGTAAATTTGATATAAGTTTAGTGTAGAGTTAGTGGACCTTAGACCAAGTTAGACCAGGTATTCTTTTAGCACAGTCAGTGACGTCAGCTGATGCTGTTGGTCCATTTCGTTCACCCCTTGACATGGTCATTCATTGGTCTATCTAAGGGTCCTGGGGGGCGCAGTCTGGTCTAGATTGCTTCCATCAGGCCACAATGCCTATCTGGTAACCTTGGGCTCCAGGCAGCTTCAAAAGAACTATTACCGCGGCACCAGGTGTACTGTCAGAAGAAGTTTTTCCATCCCAATGTTGGTGCAAATGTCCATCTTCATCCAAGCATAAAAAGGTTCGACTTTACTTTCCTGAGAGGTTTCACGAATGAGAACACGACATAAACCGGGCTCATTAAGTCAGCGTTCTTGGGTTTCAATATAGTCTCATATTCGTATACTGAGAGAAGACTAACCTGAGGTGAAATGAGTGGCGTCCTGATCGCAAACTCTCCATAATTTTATGATCGATACTCATTCTCGTCTATCCCACACATGACTAATCCCTACCATGTGTTCTTATCCTCGCATATAGTTCACTCTGCCATTACACTATCAAAGCTCTTGTTCAAATCAGCCCGAAGGTCGTCAAGAGTGGCACGGTAGAAGTCAGCAGCTGACCCCGAGGAAACCCCTTAATCTTTTTCAACCTTACGAGTCCTTTTCTCGCATGCGAGGAACCAAACGAGAGTCCAAACTTTTTAAAGAACCATGTGACAAGCTCTCCGTTAAGATCAATTGCAGTAATACGCATTAGCAGCATAATCAAACTGTCCTCCGATCAATCGTAGCAGACATGAATATCAGATGGGACATAGCAGTGAGTCCAGTTGTTGAGGTCGTCAAGCAAGTCGGACTCGAACCTGGCAATAGGGCTATTCCAACCGTGGTTGTTTGTGTCAAGCTTTTGAGGCTCCAACTTTTCATTCACGGCTGTAAGGCTACAGACAAAGCTTTCTTTCGGGAAGAAGTAGTCCGTTAAAGTCGGCTCCGTAACAACAGAAGTTCCCGAGGGCGGTGTTAAATTGGTTATCAAAGGCTGAAAGCATTTCATGAGCCACTCAAAGGCGTCTTCCTTCTAGAAGTTGTCGATTTCGACTTTATCGGATCTCAAGAGTTGGAGGCATTTGAAGTACTGTTCTGCGACAGAGGGAGATCGAACAAATTGAGTTGGGCAAATGTGGCAATAGAATACATGGCTAGAATTAGATCGGATGATCAAATTGCAGTCATTCTCGGTATCATGCACTTGCCAAAGAGCGATACCGTAGTGCAAGCTTTTGTTCATCGTGATTTCTGTATTGTTTTATGGATGTGAAGAGAGAGAAGATAGGGATGAAAAGATTTTAGATGGATAACGGCGATGCATGCGTTTATGCCTAATGTCTCAAGTAGGATGGAGCATCAGCTACACCAATCAGCGCAACATTGGTCAACTCCAAGACAGCCAATCAGACTAAACCACCAACTTGTTAAACAACGCCTCATCTTGGTTATTAGTCGTTTACCTTGTTACATCTGAGGTTCCACGGCTGGCAAACACTACTAGCACTATCATGTCTATATCTCTGAGCTCTGCTCTTCGCGAACATCTAGCTGAGGTTTCGTAGTTTGGACGAGGTCAGGATGATGTAGGCGTCGCATTTGTCGTTTCTTGTCAGCCTCGTGGCTCAAACACCGGAAACTGTCCCGTGTAGCTTAGAAGTCGCAACATTGTTAATTTCCAGTCCGTGCTTGAGTATCCAAAAGTGGCTTCTTGCGCCGTTGCCGGATATCCCATATATCTGCGGCGCATCTCCTCCTGTCAAATTAGTAACCTTACAGTCCAGAAGAGGGCTTCGAGAATCGATAGCTTTTTCTACCAAGGTAAGATTCTCCAAAGGTCGTGGATAGAAGTAGCCAGTCTGGTAAACAGCATGAGGGTCGATAGGGAAGTCGTCGCTGCTGACTGTGGGCTCTTTATCATCGTCGCCGAGCTTATCAAACTGATAGAAATGATGATTGCCAAACTCAGCAGCAACAAAGACAAACCCACTCTTAAGAATACACAGACTGCTCGCAACTGGGAGAGTATCAAAATACTCAATCTTCATACGCCGCGCCTCTCCTGTTAGACTACCCTTGTTATCTTGCATGTCAAACGCCAGCTTAAAAAGGTCGCGGTCTTCTATCTAGAGCAAGAAGAAGCACGCCTCTGGGCTGTTCTTGAGCTTGTGCATCACCCCGCCAATGATAGTTCGCTTCCGTTGTGGATCTTCTGTAGCTGCTCAGCGCCGGGGAATAGGGACACAAAGAGAGTCCTAGTTCAAGTGTCGGTATGTAATGCTTTCCTCTCCACAGACAAGAACGCCGCTTGGGCCATCGTTCCCGCCGGGGATTTGGAAGAGCAACGATGCCGTCGGGTCTACAGTTTCTGACCACTTGCGGATGACATGGTTCAGGCCTAGATCTAGCTCGTAGTAAACGAGTTCAACGTCCAGAGATTCTTGGTCAGAGGGATTCTGGTCTGACTCTGAGTGGTCTGTCTCCAGAGCTGCAAAAGTAGGGTTCGAATAGCCCACGTCGAGAGCCACGAGAGATAAGACAAGGGCTTCATGTTTCTGCGCTTCGAGCGGAGAGGATATGGTGAGGTCGGCTTGAGCATTGCGATTAAAGACGTAGATGAGCTTGTTCTTCTCGATAGACGCAATGATACAGGCTCGGCCTTTGGGATCGGCAGCCAGGTATTGGCCTGGGACCGTCCGGCGCACGCCAGACTTGCCAAACGTCTCCAAGTGAACGCGAGAGAAACGGTTCTGGGCCACTAGATACTCGAGAACAGCGATGCTGCCAGAGTCAGTTGCAACGATAATATAGTCTAAGAAGTTGGCTTGATCCTTCTGATGTTGGCATGGCCTACCACGGACAGCCCGAAGTGTTCTAGCTTACCTTTCGCGCTTCCCGCAAGACGCAAAGAGGCAATCGATCGAAGTATGCTGAAGAGGTCATTCGAAAGTAATGAATAGATCCTACCCCGGATTGGATCATGACGATAGAGGGTCAGGAGAGAGCCCGAGACTGTGAGAATCTGCTGTTCCTTGGTTCCTGAGAACTGGCCGACGATGGCTTGTGAAATGGCCGTTGGAGGGTTGAGCGTCAGCGAGTACAGACACATGTTCAATGCAGTCGTCATGATGAATATGGCGAGAAGCCAAGTTTGGGCGATAAGCCTTTCAAAAAGGCTCAGGTGTAGGCAACGGGTTCCTGTTAGGTGATACAATGTGAAGTGCGGGGCTGTGTATTGATTTAGTTACCGTTGTAGATATGTTAGGGACAAAAGATAATCCCGGAGTTCTGATGAATTGACAAGGATAAAGTTGGAATATTCGGGTAGTAAGGGAACTTGAAATACTGGTTCATCTAAATATTAATTAAACTTATCCTAAATTTACCCAACTCTTCATAATTTAGGACTGGAGCCTTAAGTTTCCCTACCTCCCCTTGATTTTATAGAGAATACCGCTCAATTTCGCCTTTGTCAGATATAAGAGAGAAAATCAATGCCAGACAAAGATCAGTAGATCATTTCCTAGAATAGGCTTGTGCCAAAGAACCTCTCCCAAACCTTACCAACACGATACAGCAAGCAGCCAACAAATCTGATCAAAAAGCTAATAGAGTTGGCCCACAGCCATATTCGAAAGAACCAAATCTTGTGCCAATACGAGTCTCCAAGCCACCACAGTATCTTGAGGCTATCGTTTAAGACGATGAGACATACAAAGATATTTGAGAATATGTATGACGCGAGTAGGATTGTGCGAAACTCCATCATTGCGTCTGCTGTGGCGAGCACCTGGGGACGCTTCTTCTCACGGTATACTGTCTCGCCTTCAGCTGTTGCTCGAGTCAGTGCCTCTTGATACTCCTTGTTTCTGGCTTCAGGAGATTTGTCACACTGGGTATCAGCTGAACGAATGTTCGGATCTTGATCGGAGAAGGTAAATCGTCGCTCAACAGTTGCTGGCCTTGGTCCTTCTTGTCTCTGACCTGCCTCGGTATCTTCGTGCCGACCTTTTCTGCCCCAGCTGATATCATGGGTATTGCTAAAAACATAGATATTGAGAATATTGACGTAAGACGATGATATGAAGAGGAATTGCGCAAAAGAGGTAAGGAGATGCAAAGGGTCAAGTGCCAGAAGAGCGCTCAGGATATAGACCCCAAACACGGAGAATCCAGCGACGATGATGGTGCTCTGTCCAATATCGGCATAGAACTCCCCGATATAGGCATAGTTACTTGACCCAGTATCATCAGTCTTGTAGTCTGCAACTCGTTTGACCAGATAAATCAAGTTCATGATTAGATAAGCTTGTACGAGACCGAATATGGCGAAAGAGATGATGTAACTAATTCGGTGATTCCTCGGCCGGCTTCCAAGAGCTAAGATGAACTGGAATAGTACTGTTGCCAAGTATACGATCTGGATTACGGCGTTGACAATGGGTGTTGCCTTGCCAAAAGGGAATCCGCCAGTCGGTGCATTCTTTGGGGGATCTCCCGAGATACTATTAATAGTAAAAGTCGTGAGTAGAAATGCCGCGAGAGAGAACCAAGCCAGGACAAGGGCTAGGATACTATGCAGAAGAGGGATGAAAAAGGCCAACTTCCGCTTAATCGTATGATCAGACCTCCACAAGTGTCCGCATCTTTTCAAGACATAGATAGTCGAGAAGAAAGCTCCATTAAGCCATCGTCGTCTCTGGTTGACAGAGTCCGTTGTCGTCATTGGAATATCGGTAGTAGCAGTTACAGGAACGTATTTCAGAAGCCAGTGTGTGTTTGGCTTGCTAATGATTCTGAAGCAAATCACTGTCATCGGCGAGGTGGCGATTGAGGTTGACGGGAGATAGAGCGGGGCGGTCGCGGTTATGGCCCTGGATCCATGTTGGGTTGCCGAGAAGCATGTCCTCGAGTGGCTTTCCGCTACTCCCCACGTATCTAAACAGTGATAGCTGTGAGCGTCAGGATGACTGCTACTGGAAAATGGCATACCTGTAGGCTGAGCATGCTCCTGGGAGGAGTGACAAGAACCCTGTCGCAGATTCAAAGGTCGATCAAGCTGGAATCCAATCTTGTACTCAAAGTTCTGGGCGGCAACAATAGGATTGAGGAGATTGAGCCAGCTCCCATTTAAGGAACAGGTGATCTCTCCACAGGCGGCGGCAAGCATCGGTTCAAGATCAAATTCCTTCCAGAGTTTGAAGAGTGCCTGCTTGCCCAACTTTGTGCCTACATCCAGATGAACAGTGATGTTGGGGTCCAAGACTTTTGCGAACCCATTGTACAGCCATCGGTATGAGTTAAGCTTGCCACAGTTGGAAGCCTTCAATAGTAACATCAATTGAACTGGAAATTTCATTGGCCGTGATTCAAGGTCGTAGGGGCTCCCATCGCCATCTATATAAGCCTCGCAGCCGAGATGAGTTGCCAGATGAGATGTACACTCAAACTACAAAGGAGAGTCAGCTCTGTCCGACAAGCTCAAAGTCCACGGCCCGTAAAAGAGCCGATGTTTTTCATGGAACTCTTGAGGATCAGTTGAGATAGCTGTATCGATATGATTTCATTCAGCGACAACAAATAAAGCCAATCTGAGAAGTGAGAGGGCTCACAGGTCAAATGGGCCATTTCTTAAACATTCTGTTCTGTTGTTGAGTCGAGATTCAGGCCAGCGACATGCGCAAGGTCTGAAGGGATCGGCACGTGGATTTGAGAATCAGAGGTATGACCTTCAGGAAGCAGTATTCGCTCGTCCCTTGTAATGTTTTGAAGCTCTGTGACTGCTGGAGTTAAGAACTGATGAAGGATTGTCTGGCTTGGACACGTACCAGGCTCTGAACCCTTAGCGTAGGCGGGCACCCATGGGAACAAAGGTATACGGTCAGACGTGGACATTTGGTTCCCAGAATCAGCATCCGAGGTGAGACGACGGATCGGTAATTTGGGCTTCCTTGGTTTGCGCGATCGATGGGCAGTCTATTGTCTACGTGGGAGACAAAGCCCTCGCCTAAACAATGACTTATACGGCTGGAACGTCTCGTAGGGAACTTGACGTAGCTCGAAGTCAGCTCTTCCAGAGTCTTCACACTACCCTCTGAGACTTCACGATGCTTCGTGTCAGCCCTGCCTCGGATGCGTTATTTGCAATCTCGTGCGGCTGGAAGATCGTCTCCCCATGCCGTTCAGCCTCAACTGGGTCAACCCTCCAATCACCTTGGAATTACAAAGCCACGAAGATTAGTCAACAAAACATCGAAGTATTATTGGTCGACGAATTGTTCCAGGCCCCTGGTAGTATCTTGTTACGGCTTTTCAAGTCTTTGCGCATTCACGTTAGAAGAATCATGTGCCACCTCGCATTTCTTTTCATTTTTGCCATGTCCGTCTTTCCGGTTTCATGAGAAGGCCAGTATCTCTTTTTTCAAGGATATCTGCACTTATACTTATACATTAAGTCAAATAATCTCGCGCTTCTGCGAAGTGCAATCACTATTGGTGGAAATGTCGAAAGTTGGACATTCGACATATACATGGCGGCCACAGCCTGATTCCTCACATCTCCACAGCCCAATTTCTCACCGATTGCTAGTCCCGTTGTATTAGACGTATTATCCATGATCTGACTAGAGAACTGGTGACGTGGTAAACCATTTGATTGGCCTCAGCCCTTCTGGCGGTCTCCGTTGTTCTGCCTTGCAGATTTTGTGTACCCAACAAAGCTGCACCGCCCGGCCACAGTGTCTCTGGATTGAAGCCCTGCGGTGAGTTTTTAACCCCTCTGAGGCTCTGCTACAAGCATTTAAACAGATGCCAGAGCGCCCGAAATCTGCCTTGTGCGAAAGTCTAACGCGCCAGAGATCGGAATCAGCCTTGAGCCAAGGTAAACATGCCCGAGACACAGTACCCAGACTACAAGCTCCTGCCGCAGGTCTTTGAAGCCTGGCTGCGCAGAAGATTCAACGACCCGTCAATTGAAGTTCAAGTGAGGCCCCCCAAATATCATCGTCGCGAAGGATAACTTGCTAATGGTCTACGAATCATAGTGCAGGCATGGCAATTTTGTTTTCAATTTGCCCGACAATGAAGAGATCACGGAAGTAAGTTTAATGCATTGGAAAACAGATTCGAAACTCACAGCGACTGAAACAGGACGACGACCTGGAGATTCGTAGACTTCGGGGGCAAAGCACTTTGCCTTCTTAATGAGACATGGGGGTGAGCCTAGTAGCGCACTGGAGATCGGCTACAGTGGGCTGTAATTCTTACATCGTTTCAATTGAAGAGCAGTTAATTGAAAGCATACAAGAACATGACCATTGATATAAAAATGATAGATGCTGCTCTGAATTAGAGGCTCATTCAATTACATTGTTCTTTATAATACATATAAAGCTTTACACATGGACACTTACGACCTTCTCGTGGAGTGCTGCAGGCTTTGGCCTACTTATCCCTGCAATTTACAGCGGCCGTCCCGACGGAAGTATTCCCTTGAAACCTTACACACACAACTTAAACAGTCCAAAGCGAGGCTTTTCGATTCAGATCAAGAGGATATATGCTTTATCGAGCCAAGTGAAGGAGTTGAAAGTAATGCTTCTACTATTACGTTCCGCTCGTTACTGACAGCCTACAGGGTACTGTGAAGAAGTCATCAAATGCCCTTCTGATTTGCAAAGACATCTGTTCCAGAACCGCAAAGACCCATACTACTGCATAGTGTAAGCCATCTCGATGTCGCATCTCTAGCACTTCGCGCGCTGAACGCGAGTAGTTTCATTAATTCAGACGACTCACGATCCCCACTGAACTGCTCCCATGAGAGCTTTTCATTTCTTGCCTCTTTTCACCAGATCCCAGAGTCCTTCTTGGACCTTGTCTCTGCTTTTGGGTTCACGAAGGAACCGAAGAATTACCACACAACTGGCTTCGACGGCTTTGACACCCTCGACGCACCAAAATGGTCCACTATAGAGATCCCCAGATTAGGGCGATCTGGTCGTGACCATGCTATCCAATATCTAATACGGTCTATCGAGAAGTCTACAGGCCCCAAGAAGGAGATTACCTGGAACGTTCGACAAATGGCCGTTCATCACAGATACGATTTTGTTACTGGAAAGTCCTTTTGGCTTAGCATGAAAAGCAACGGACTCATGGAGGAAAGAACTAAGCAGGCAATATCGGAGGATCCAGCTCTCAGACCGACTGCAGCTGATGGTTTACCGAGGTCGTTTGCGGCAACACTGCAGATACATCTCATGCATCTTGAATGGTGTGATGAGTCTTGGCAAGAATGCATCGCAGAATTTGAGAAAATGATCCGCAAAGTATTAACTAAAGCCAAAGCGGCCAGTCTAAATCATTCCACAGATTCTCGCGAATTACCCCTCATGAAAGCGCTGAGAAGAAATACTAATCTCACAGAGAGTGACGTACGAGGGAAGAAGACAGGCTTCAGCCTGAAATATTGGCTTGGCCTCAAAAGTGGCCTAATGTCGTGTTTCCGTGCAGGTGGCCAGAAGAGGACTGCCCCACCACCCATATTGCCTGTGGCGGCGGAGAAGGACATGGTACCTCCAGCTAATCAGGTTGACGACTTTTCCAAGCAGCTTTACAGCCTTATGGTACTTGGTACCTTTTCGTTCGAGGAGGTACAGCACCTCCACCACCTTGGTGAGCAGCTCGAGAGCTTTCGGGTCGTGTTACAGCTGGATCGCCAGACACTCCGAGATGTTACAGAGCACTACCAAGACTTGGCCAGCAGAAATGGCTTCACTTCTAAAATGATGAAAGCTTGCAAAGGAGACATGGCGTCCTTTACTCGGCGAGTGGATCGCATTCGAAAGAACTTGGAAATTCGGTTGACCCAGATCGAGTCCATGATGGCCTGGCTGCAGGAGGGAAAGGCCCTGGTAATGAGTCTTTTGTTTAGTCAACTACTGCCAACGCAGCATTCTGACGGGCGTTTTTCCAGTTCGATGGCATCCTGCAGTACCGCAGCGTGCAGGTCAGCCACGTCTTCACCGAGAGTTCCCACATCCAATCGGAGAAGATGGAGCGCATTGCACATAAGACAGAGCAAGAAACGATCTCGATGCATGTGGTGACGTGCGTTACGCTTGCATTTCTGCCTGGGACGTTCGTAGCGGTGTGTTTGCTGCGATGTTTTTCGTAAAACCCGAAATGACTGACTTCTCCCGCCTAGGCTTTCTTTCAAAGTGGACTCGTCGAGATCAACAAAGCCTCAGATGACGTCCGTGGATCTGTGGTTTTTCATGCAGGAGCGTTCAAACTGTTTTCGGTTATTTGCTTTCCCCTTATGTTTATTACCTTCGCATTATGGTTCATGCTGTTCAAGATCTTGGCCTGCAGGGCTTACAAGAGAGAGAAGGAGGAGAGCGTGTAATCTAATATTTGGCATTATGGAGCAGGCCCCGAGTCGCGGTGCCCCAGAACTATTTAGCTATTTCCTAGGGCATTCTTATCTTTTCCGTTACAAGGCATTTAGTATATATCAACACTCAGTTTAGGGCTTTACCCCGCGTCTGCTCGCAGCACGAGGCAATCATTGGCCCCAAACAAGGTGATTTCTGGGGCGAGGAGATCGCCCGGCTTCTGTGATCTGTCAGCGGCAGAGAAAAGAGAGAACTAACCTTATTTCTTGAATATGACTCGCCAGCATGCACCAATACCTCTCAGGCAAGTTGCCCGTCAGCCTTACGAGTGACAAAGTGTTTGCGAGTGTCAATCTCTCCGCCACGGCGTGGATATTGAATCGGAGTGTTGTACATCAGGTACTCGGCATACATGCGTCAAACATCATGTGCTGTCTCAATTGTGTTTCTCTCGGTATCCCCGTTATTTAGGCAATAAGACCCACGATCTGCCTCGAACTAACTGGGACCCGTTCCTGGGGCTTAGCAGCTAACTAAGTTCTGTGTGGTGATTATAAGCTCTCAGCCACAGGTCTCAACTGCAAATAACACATCTAGCTCACTATTTAGACATTATACCGGGGCTTAGCAGCAGTTGCCTTTTGAGGCTCGATTTGGGGGCAGTGAAACAAAATCAAGCAGCAGAAATTCCAAGCTAACATGCCGTCCATTGTTTCAAATAGGATATTTAAAGATGCATCTGTCCTCTCATCGTCAACCTTGAGGCGCCAGACCACAGCATGAGCCAGCTTACTACATCAAGGTATGTTTGTGATACTTACAATTCAAGAGACCCTTCAGGCCCTTGCTATATCCACTCCCAGACTCGCCTGACCTCCGCTGACACAGGTCTCAGTTCTCCAATGAATGAGCTTGTGGATCATTTTCGGGGCGAAGTGGAGCGGGTGGCAATCAGCGGCGTCAATGGTGAGGATCAGGTGGTTCTCTATGTTCCGCTTGCTGCGCTGAAGAAGTACTGGACTGAAACGCGTGTCAATGACATCCTGAACTGTCCTACCTCTCCCATCGCCGAGAATCCTCGAGTCATTATTGAGAGCTACCTCCAAATCTTTTCCACACTCGTCTATAATGGCTACTGCGACAGGATCTCTTGGTTCTTTCGCAGTAATCCCAAGAACTTGGACGACCATAACCTTCCCTTCAATGCACAGGTCTTCGAGCGCACTTCTGATTGGTCAAACTCGTTTTTGGAGCACCAGTGGATGTTTTGTCCTGCTGAATTTGCAGAACGTCAGTATCACAAGCGGATATTCGACTCCAAGGTTATTCTACCCGTCACATACAGCGGAGATATCAGAGCAAGGCGTATTGGGCCCGATGGAGCAACACTGCGCAAGTATCAACTTAACTCCCATTCCAACTCCATCGCACCAAAGGTAAGTGGACCCCAACCAGCTGATGACACCTAACATCTAACAACATTAGGACAAAACAGTTGTCTTCAAGGTTTATGAGGGTCTCGAGGGAGAAGTCCGTTACAATGCTGAGACAGATGTCTATGTGAGGCTTGACAAACACTCCAATGATTACATTGCGAAGCACATTGCGAGCTTCTGCTTTCGAGGAACTCATAAGTTCGTCATTGTACTGGAATACGCGGAAGGTGGTTCTCTTACGGATTACCTAAAGAGGACTCACCCTCCTGTGACCCCAAACGACATTATTATCTTATGGGAGCAGCTATTCAAGCTTACCGAGGCCCTGTATCTCTTGAGCTCGATATACCAACAGAATCCAGCACAGCAACAGACCCTTGTGGGGTACGTTCGAGTCAGCCCTCAGTCTCTGCCTCTTTCTGACAAGCCTTAGTATACATCAGGATATACATCCAGGGAACATCTTGGTCTTTCCGAAGGCGAATGGACGCTCTTCGTTTGACGTCAAGTTCAAGCTCACAGATTTTGGACTGGCTGGCATGGGCAGGGTGTCACCTTCAGACAGGAGACTAAGGACCGGAAACAGAGGGAATAGGATGTATGGTAAGGACCTTCTCGAAGCTCTATATTTGACTATAAAAGCTGACAATAATGCCATAGGGTCTCCAGAGGTGTTCTCAAATTTCCCAGTCCAGGACAGTTGCGACGCACGAATATCTCCGATAGCTGACATCTGGTCTCTCGGGGCTCTATTCAGCGATCTCCTTGTCTGGATGATTGCTGGCGAAGAAGAACGAGAGAGATACTGTGGCAGAAGGGAGGCAGAGATTTCTCAACATTCACATCTCCGAAGTGCAGGATACGACTGCTGTTTTCACGATGGCGAACAGCGGTTGAAATCGATCCAAGACGTCCACAATGAAGTCTTGCGACACAAGAGAGGTAGTGACTCGATATCACCTCTCATCAGCGATATTATTCTGGATCACATGCTTGTTGGACCTCGAGAGCGGATGGATGCTATGCAGATCAGGACCTTCGCCGCAAGGAAGTTTGGAGAGAACCAGAAAGGGAACTCAGCCACCAAACTCGCATCAGATGGTATGTTTTCGATCCTGACTAGTGCGGACACAACGATTCTTCATGCAGGGCAACCGTTGGAAAGAGCTCTTCCAGAGAGACGATCGACAATGCCGGCGAATGGTTTCAGTGGGAGTTCCCTCCCAGACAGATCGCTACTGTCACAACCTCATGTTGGTGAGCCAACGCCAGTGGGGGCTGCTACTGCGAACCACCCAAACCAACAGCCAAACGGAAACTCCACATCACCAGAGAGGGTGGTCACGGTGAAGGAGGTATACCCAATGATAGTGGGGGGAAACCACAGGTTTCACATTAGCCGTCTACTCGGCGCTGGCCGCAGCAAAGCGGATGAAATTATGAATTTGCCTGGAATGCAGGAAGCCCGAAGCAAGATCTCAGAGAACAATGGACGAGATCAGGTTGGTACACGGTCTCAATGATACTCAGAACTGAACTAATCCAAATTCTAGATACTTCTCTTTGACAACTTCGGCTCCATGCACATACACAAGAGAAAAGCAATGAAGACCGCCAGAGTCATCAGTTATGTCGCTAAAGAGGCGGATGATGATGGCATGGAAGTCTACGCTGCATCCAAGACAGCCAAGGGTCCCATAAAATGCAAGAATAGCACTGAGGTCGAAGCGGCGATCGGCAAGTTCAAGACCGTACCAGGGACATGCAAGCTACGGAAGTGTCTCGACGACATTCTCAACCGGGTTCTGAAAGAGGACGGCTTCAAACCTACGAGTATCTACATCTTCACTGATGGTGTTTGGGAACCGGGCGAAGACCAGGTCAAGTTCGCAATCAGCCGGGCCATCAAGTTCCTGATCGAACATCGACTACCATCATCAGCACTCATGTTTCAATTTGTTCAGTTCGGCAACCATCCGAAAGGCGAAGCACGTATGAAGAGTTTGGACGATGAGTGCAAGAAGGAGACCGAAGATGAAAAGTAGTAAGTATACATTCCTCTCTCTGCCTCATATATAGCAAGGCACTAATGGCATCTCAAGTGATGTTGTTGACCACAAACATTGCGATAGCCATGTTCCCTACATCGTCATTGGTAGTATTTCATCATATTATGATGAAATGGAGGCAAGGTTAAACGACAAGCTATAGGGCGTCTTCTACGTTACAAATTCTTCTCCTCATCGACTTCTTTTTAAGTATGATGACTTCAGAGAATATGGTGCTGTTTTTGGGTCCATTCCGGCGTTTATATACAAGGTCTCACGGCACTGGGGAGTTGGTTCTGGGGCATGATCTTTCGGGCTACGAATATAGAATATCAATGATACCACGGGCTTTTTAATGGCAGGAGTTAAATTTTAAACCCGAATTTTGTTGATCTCATTCAACAAAGTTGAGTACATCGATTTGCTTGACCTTTGCTCAGCTGCAAAGCAAAGAGTGCTGTTATGGCCGGATCATAATCTCCCCGACGGCCAATGTGTTGTCCCAAAGCCTTAGCGCCACAAAACGATATTTCCTCCACCGGAGTTGGAGCATGCTGTGAATTCCGGCTCGTAAATGAGGCTAGTGGATTCAGCCGAGGCCTCTGATCTAGCCTGTAAACGGAAAACAGCCTTCTTCCTTACCAATCACAAGTGGCGAAAGCTTGACTCCGTACAACAATTTCATGGAATTTTCGGACCGCGTATTCGAGAAAAGTCTCCGAGGTATTATTGGCTGTACTATATCTTAATCACATCGCCCCTTGTCCTGCCCAACTGAAAGAGCATCAACGATGTCGACAAAAATGCTCTCAATCACGGCGCCGGCTTATACCAGCCCATCAGACTATGAACTTTCCACAGTTCCAATACCAACTATTACTAAGGATACAGATGTCCTCATCAAAGTCCATGCTGCGAGCATCAATCCAGTTGACGTGAAGAAAGCCGCCGGTGTCTTCAAGATGGCGATAAAGGAAGAGTAAGTTGCCTCAATCGAGGCTGAAGAGACGACGGGCTAATATCACGGTTGTCAAGATTCCCGTATAAAATTGGGTATGACGCAGCAGGCGTGGTCGTGGAAATTGGAAAGGATGTGACAAAGCTGAAAGTTGGCGATGAAGTCTATACGAGATTGCCAGAAGTTGGGAGAGGTATGATGAAATGGTACGTCAGAAACAAGGGCACCGACAGCTGACATTGCGAAACAGGTGCTTGGAGCGAGTATGTGAAGTGCCCAGATGGCTACGTCTCCCTGAAACCTAAGAATCTTTCTTTTGCCGATGCTGCGTCATTGCCACTGGCTGGAGTCACGGCATTGCAGGTTCTCGGGCAATACAAGGGAACACTGGAAGGCAAGACGGTATTTATCCCCGCTGGCTGTAAGTCATATATCACTCCTGTTATCAAGAGGAATGCTGATGCTTCTGTGTAGTGAGCGGTACAGGAGCTATCGCATGCCAGCTAGCCAAGAATATCTTCCGCGCTGGCAGGGTCATCACCACAGTCTCTACCTCCAAAATACCCAAAGTCCCGGAGCTTCTGGGTGAGGGCACGGTGGATCAGAGTAAGTTCTGACCCCAACCACCGAGACTTGGCTGACCGATATCACAGTCATCGATTACACCAAACAGAAAGTCTCAGAAACCATTCCTCCAAAATCCGTCGACTTCTGCTTCGATACGACCGGCCAAGCCATGGAGTTTCTATCCCTTATGGTTCCTTCAACCGGCATGATTGTCTCGATCTCAACAACTCCATCGGCATCGACTCTACAAGCGTCAAGTGTCATGCGCCGACCGGATAACCCTCGAATCCCATTTGCCGGTCGAGTATTCCTCGATGCAGCGGATGTGATCCGCAGACTGCGGGCATGGCGATGGGGCGTCACGTACATGTACCACTTCTTGGATCCAAACCGAGAGGACTTGGATGCCCTCACCGGTTATGTGGAGAATGGAAATGTGAAGCCAGTCGTTGGGGCGATGGTTGACATGAGAGATCTAAAGGCGGTCCGCGAGGCCTGTGATCAGACTTACAAAGGAAAGGGCGGGTTGGGAAAGACTGTTTTCGAAGTGATCAAGGATTAACAATAATCGATCAAGTAATATTTCAGTTACAGTTTTGACTTCAAGAACGACAAGTCTCGTGGACTAACCACTTCGGCCTTGATCTTCTCCCTTGACCTTTCCACATCTTTCCTTACAAGCTCCGAGTACAGCTGCTGTATCCTCTCTGTAACAACACCTCTCTTTCCATCGCCGACTACTCGACCGTCAATCTCAGTAACATGGATTTGTGAGGGGAAAGTCCCTGTGCAAAAGGCTTCATCTGCTCCATAGGCTTCCGTGAGTGTAAAGTCTAGTTCTCGAACAGTAATGCCATTCGCTCGGCAAACGTCGATAGTCTTTTGACGGGTGATTCCCTGCATCTGGTTATCCTTGGTAGGAGCCCAGACTTCATCACCTCGAACAATGAAGAAGTTGACAGAGTTGCATGTCTTGACAAAACCGCGTAGGTCAAGCATGAGAGCCTCGTCAACGTTCATCACATTGGCGTGAATGCAAGCTTGAACGTCTGTGGCTTTTGAGATGTGATTCCACTGCTCGTCCTTGACATCAGGGGGTCCACGACGGACCCACGTTGTCGCGAGTCTCAGACCTCTTGACTTGGAGTTGGGGTCAACTGCCTTAGACTCCGGAATGATGACGATGAGGGGAAGGCCGATGTTGACTTTTGGATTTTGGTACGGAGTAGCTTTCAGACCACGACTCACGACAAGTCGGATGTGAACATGCTCATCATCGCCCATGTCATTCGCATCAAGCGTCTGGTGAATTAGGTCGAGAAGGTCGCCTTTTGCTAGACCGAGGTCCATGTACATGGCTTTCGCTGACTGGAAGAGGCGATTTATGTGCTCTTTGGCAAACTGAACTCGGCCCTTGTTTGCACGAATGCCTTCCTTGAAACATGTTAATGGTAGCTTCCCGTTTTCGCAAAGAGGCAACTCACCCAGATGCCATCGCCGACAAGGAAATTTGAGTCAAAGACTGAGACTACAGCTTCCGCTCGAGGCACCAAATTGAACTCTCCAGTCACTCCATCACGAATCCCGACCTGAACTATGATCAGCAACTATCCTCCTCATTTGATACTTTGACTCACTCGGATGGAAGCATTCTTAGCATTTGGCACGGAGCTATGCGTTGAGCCTCCATGGCTTCCCTGCTTTGCGTTTGTCATATTTGCTATTATCAACCAAATATTGTAATGGGATTGTGATTTCGTGATATTGAGATGGAATGGTTCAATCCAGTCAAATATTATATCTCCGAGAATTTTAATATGGCTCGTATCAAGATCTTCCGACCGTGTTGTTGAGCTCGGGGTCCACCGACGGCAAATTCGGTCGTGACCGAGCTGACTCGCGGAAGTGGAGTAGCATCCGATAAGGCTTGGATCATCTGCTCATTCTTATACTAGGTGGTAAAATTACTTTGGCAAATTGGGGATAATTTAGGATAATTCAGCATAAGCTTCAGATGGATTTAGTAGAGTCTTTGGTGAGCTTAGTGCTGTCGCTTGATTCAGAGTCGTCAGTCTTTTGATGCCTTGAAGGTTCTGTTATCAAAATCGGCCAACTACCCACTGTAACTTGACGTGATCGCAAGGCTACCTAATCGTCATCGGCATCCATTCTGGTTCGTTCGTTATCATCCCCAACCCCAGATAACAGGGCGGGGTGATAGGCTAGAACTCCTCTAAGCAGTAAAGTCCTCTCGGTAGCGTCCGAGTAGTGAGCTCGGTGGTGACCGAACGACTCGTTGTACACCGAAGCCTAGGAATTACAGCGATAAACTCCCCGTACCAGCGAAATTGCCCCCACTAAACCCGGGGAAGTGGTAGACTAGCTTTGTAGCAGAGCCATTTGAAGAATTCATAAAGGTCGGGTCATGTAACACTCTGATATTGCAAGGACACCATTAACCTCCAGTGTTTCTGTCTTGGTCGCTGCGATATCTTTGCATCATGTCACTTAAATCAACGACTGGCGAGGGCGGAGCCAAAGACATGGCCCAATCTGTTGCCTCTGACCGTGTTCACGATGAGGTTCTCGAATTGACCAAGGCCCAATCGAAGCGACTGCTCCTCAAGACAGACTTGGTCGTGATGCCACTTGCTGTCTTGAGTATGACGCTCGCTTTCTTGGATAAGGTATGACTGATCACTCAGGTTTGGCCATTCGCTTGCTGACGGGTCGAAGAATGCGCTGGGATACGCCGCCATCTTCGGCATCAAAGAAGATGCCCACCTCAAACCCCAAGAGTACAGCTGGCTCAGCAGTATCTTCTATTTCGGTTACCTAGCCATGGAGTTCCCCAACCTGTGGCTAATGACCAAGATTCCAATCGGCAAATACGTTGGTGGCTGTCTCACTCTATGGGGTGTTGCCCTATGCTTCATGGCTCTCTGCCATAACTTTGCGGGACTAGCGACTATCAGATTCCTCCTTGGTGTCTTCGAAGCTGCTGTGCTGCCTTGCATGATGATCATCAACTCGATGTGGTATTTGAGGAACGAGCAGCCTCTTCGAACAGCGTTCTGGTATAATACATTTGCTGGTGTGTTTGGAGGTATTCTGTCGTATGCTATTGGACAGATCAATGGATCACTATCCACTTGGAAGGTTAGTGAAGGTCCTTTCAAGAGATATTTCTGTACTGACAAAAGACGACAGTACATCTTCCTCATCTATGGAGCCTGCACCGTACTCGCTGGAGCTCTAGTCTTCTTCGGTCTGCCCGACACTCCATCAAAAGCATGGTTCTTTACTGAGGAGGAAAAGAAGCTTGCAATGATTCGTCTCGCACCCAACCAGACTGGTATTGAATCAAAGAAGGTTTGTTCCAGACACATGTCCCATCATATGAACTGAGGCTTACATCATTCCAGAAATTCCAAACCACTCAAATCCTCGAGGCGCTCCGTGACCCTAAATGCTACTGCATCTGGCTCGGCGTCTTTGGCTATGCCCTCGCCAACGCCGGTATCACAAACTTCAATCCACTCATCATTGCTGGGTATGGCTTCAGCAAGACGAAGACCGTTCTCATGGCCACTCCTCAAGCGGCCGTTGCTATGATCAGCCAAGCAATCCTCACTACTATCGCGTTCTTCATTCCTAACCTGCGATGTATCTTCTGGATCTTCGGTGCGCTTATGGGTCTAGTTGGAGCGGTTATGGTTCACTCACTCGATGTTGCGACTCAACGAGATGCTTCGCTAGCGGGCGTTTACCTCATGGGCTTCTATAACGTTCCCTGGGTCTTCTTGCTCAGTCTGTCTTCATCTAATACAGCTGGTGCGACGAAGAAGAGTTTCATGGGTATTTCTATCGCAATTGTCTATGGTATGCACTCTCCTACCTTAATTCTCATAGAGTTCGCTCGCTGACTAACGACTTACAGCTGTTGGCAACATTGTCGGTCCCCAATTCTTCCTCGATAGGCAAGCACCAACATATGCTCTCGGTATCGGCTCCATGCTTTGCGCGTTTGCCTTGATGGCCGCCACTGGTGTGGCCTACTATGTCCTTTGCGCTGTGGAGAACAAGAAGCGCGATAATCAATACGGCAAGACTCACGATGACACAGATGCTGGGTTGGAGGCAGAGAGAAGCGACAAGACGGATTGGCAGAATCCCAACTTTCGCTATACGTACTAATAAATACGAGTACCTTTTCATAGTGTGTTATATATCTCTAAATTTATGATACCAATCTTCTTATAATCCTCATCTTTCAATCCGTAGACCCGTAGCTATCTTTTACATGGTGGCAGCTGATATTGTTGCCTTGAATGACCTTATGTGCAGTATGGTGAGTTGAGCTACAAGCTAGTTACAAAACATATATTTCTAAAACTTGAGAAGTTTAATATATGTTCTGGTTTGAGAAGGAAAGGGCGCAAACCAGGACCCAAGATGTGAGAGACATAATTCACGAGTCAAAGGAGCGAAAAATTGAGAGGTTGAAGAAGAAATGCAAAAAAGGATGCCGGAAATAAGGCATCTAGGAGAAATAACAAGACCTTTGTAATCTATGACGACGATATATCGTGAATTTATTTTGCGCTATTTAGTTTACATATAAATTGATAAAGATATTATCTATTGAAGTCATCGCAATGTTGTGAGCTGGGTGCGTGATGGCTAGGGTTATATGGTAAGTGGGTCATTTGGTCCTCATTGATCAAACTTGCGCTGTTGGGGTATATACCTACCCTAGATATGCTATAAACAGTTTTTTTGAACTTGCTCTGAGATAAGCCGGTGATAAATAGCGCATGTCTTTGAGTGAAAGAGAACTTCCTTAGGGAGAGAAAAAAATATATAAGTATAACTGACTGATTTCACCTCAATTCACTCATAGATATTTAGTCCAGGCATACAATAGGGTTGAGAGTTTTATGCAGAACATTAATTAAGATGCACCTCTTCGATTGCATGATAAGATATCGGATAATGCCGAGATAATGATGGGCTCGGTAATTGCATAATTCCGATCCGTTATGGCGTCAACGGTGATGTCCCCACTATTTTCGGATGGTTGCGAGACATCTCGACTTGTCTGTTATCCTTATACTTGCCGAAGATACGAACAAAACAACTTCCCGTTACCCTAGACAATAATGTTTCCATGCTTTCAAGTCTTCAGCCTTCTGTTTCGAAAGCATGCAGTCGATGTCGGTCACGTAAGGTAAAGGTGAGTTTATCTACGATCAATAGTAGGCTCATTTGGGGCTCTTGGTTGACACGAGGCTTAGTGTGACCTCAAGGTCCCGCAGTGTACAGCATGCACACGACAGAATGAAGCTTGCAATATTACGGACTGTGTCTCTTACCCTTACGCAGTTGTAAAGGCTCTTCAAGATAGGATCAATGACCTCGAAGCAAGGTTGAGATTGGTTCCAACACCAAATGAAACAGTTGCTGAGCCAGAGCCAGAGCCCTCGGACGTGAATCCGGAGCCCCGTGCTGATCTGCAGAAGGAGGCTGAAGAGGTGGGTTTCCTCACAGCGGGAGGATCAGACCTGTACTCAGGGAGCAAGTATGGTGAGTGAAGATCGATCACGATGATCAATTGAAGACCCTGCTGATCGTTGATCTGCTTCAGTCGGCAGCGCGGCCGGATCGACATTTGCGAGGATCTTCTTCAAACAGCTCAATCTTGTTCCCTCGTGGGATTCCGGGCACCAGGGACACGCTCTGGAACAGCACCTCTGGGAAGCAACAGCAGCTTTACCGCCACAACCCATTGCACGGGCGCTGCTCAACATCTACGTCGCCCGGGTACATATTTGGTGGCCATTTTTACAGCTTCCGCATTTGAGGAGGGTCTTTCAGCGCATCTATGAGAGTCCGAGGCAATGCAGTGACCATGAGAAGTTTACTGTGTTTGCTATTCTCGCGTTAGCAAGCTGTCAGCTCACCGCAAAGGATGCTCAATCTCCAGCTATGATGGACTTGAATGACACCAATGCTTACTTCCAAACCGCATTACGTTTCTTCAATAACTTTAGTGACAACCCGCGAGACCTCTTCGGTATACAAGCAGTACTGCTTCTGGCAGTATGGATGCTAGACTCGTCTCACAGCAGCCACAATAATGACCTCTGGCAGGTCAGCCGCTACATTATGTCGGCCGCCATCGAAGCAGGACTCCACCGTTACAACAAAGACTGGGGTTTCACACCTGAAGAATTAGAGATCCGGAATAGGACGTGGTGGTGTGCATACAACCTGGAAAGGTTAGTTGTCTCGCCCAATCGAGAGTTCTGACTCGACTGACCTCGCAAATTAGACAAGTTGCGACTCTTACAGGTCGAGTCTTATCCATTCGGGATCATGCAGTCCACACGATGTTACCCAATCCAGCCGCCTTCGACGCCCTTACACCACTTGAGAGTTCCATGGCACCCATTCTCCACAAGCATAATGTTGAGGTTATTCGTCACATGATTACGTTGCGGAGAATTAGTGGTCGCATCCTTGAGTCGATCTACATCGCGAGAGGGCCTAGCGGCACGGCTATGGATACAACATTCCAGCAGATTTGTGCGACATCCGATCAAATACGGAGGGACCTTGAACTCTGGGAGCAGCAGTTGGAGGCAATGGCCTTGAAACCATCTCGAGAGTACTCTGAGATGAAGATTGAGTACTGCCTTCTGCAGCTCCTACTACACAGGCCATCACCAACATTCATGGTTCCCTCACGTCAAATGGCCTCCTACTGTTCCAAAGCTGCATCTACTGCCATCAGTCAATGGTCAAAGATTGAGGGCGAGTATGGTATTTCCGCTATTTGTCGATGTTTTAGACAACTGCATGATATAATCCTGGTCGGACTAGCAGCTCTTTACTGCGACTGGTGAGTTGGGCAAGCTGAACCCTGGAATGTGACTGACATGGTTATCCTGCAGGCAGGCTATGGCCCTAGCCCAGACTGGAGATGAGGCTCAAAGGCCGCATCGGCATTTCAACGACACCGCCACTTGTCTAGACCTCATCGACCGCGGTGTTACACATATGAGGGTTCCATATCTGGCAAAGTACAAAGACTTGTTCCAGGCTGTCAGAAATAAAGTTTATGCCAAGACGATTTTCACCAGCATTACTCCAGGGGCTATGAACTCGACCATCTCCCCTGGCACAATGTCGCAAGGACTCATTTTTAATCCCAACGACGATATAATGTTCTCAATGGGTGATGGAGTGGAAGCTTATGTGAATCAAGTGAATGAGTTCTTGGATGGTGGTGGATTTAATGTCGATGAGGCTCTTGATGCGTGGTACGATGCTTTGATGGGGGAGATACAAAATGGCGATACCCAGATGATGGAGTGATACTTCGGGGAAGGGACAAACTCAATTGTTGACTGCAAATGAAATAATAATGAATGAATAAGACTATTGTCATTTTACGAGACAACCAATAAATATTAAGTTGTGGCTGATATCAACGTCGTCATTAGTAAGACGTTGAACCGTTAGCTTGTAATTGACAGCTGACAAAAGAAGCAAGCACATCGTTGGCTCCATTATAAACCCCTGTTCAGCTGGAGGAGGCTCGAAATGGAGTTGCTAAGCCGATGCCGAGACATTGACTTCAGCTACTAAAACACTCAACCAATCACGGGGATTCGAAATGACTTTGGTCAACAAAACATAGTGGACATTTTATTAAGTAAGTACAACTAATAGATCGATCTCCCAGCCAGTCAGTGCTTGCCTGAGATGCAGGTAAAAGTCTGAAAGCTCAACAGATCGATTATGATGAGAAGAAAAACCCCACATTCTGACTCGACATGACACCGGATACCCTTTACAGTACGACTAGACGTAGAGAGGATATAAGACCATAGTCGCGAAAAGGATAGCCTTGAGGACAATAGACCTGGCCACCTTAGTCTCGGGTGCGTGGCCAGTAACGACAACGGCCGAGGGACTAGCGTCATCGGAGACGTCAGAAGGAGATGCCGATTCCGATCCCCCTTCATTTCCATCTCCGTCTCCGGCCCCATTACCCGGCGCAGCAGAGGCCCCGTTAGGTGCATCCACAGTGGCAGTGTGAGGGCTAGTGTCCGCACCAGTGGGCGATTCGGGAGAGCCGGTGTTCTTAGGGGCATCGGGTAATTCGTCGCCTTTTCCTGCACCATCGTGTTTACCCCCAGTAGCTTGAGAGGGTTTCTCAGCATCGGGCAATTCAGGACCACCGCGAGAAATCCACGGATACACACTCTCAGCAGGAGAAACGGGCACGACAGTTTTGTGACTAACAGCCGTAACAACCGCAGTCAGAGTAGAACCAGCCTTGGCGGCCCCACCGTGAGACCCCTGAGCAGCTGTGGCTGACTCGATGGGCAGAGTCAAAGTAGTGGTGACCGGGTGCTCGCCACAGACGTGACAGATAACGGCTGTGGTAGTGAAACCAGGGGGACACTCGGTGGAGGCAGGTCTCTGGCAGTGAGACGCGGCGCAGGGGGCAGTGATGGTATAAGTATGTACACCTGGACCATTGGGGCCAAAAGTAGGAAGGGCAGTGGTGTAGATGAGTGAGCCGCCGCCTGTCACCTGGCCATGACCAGAGCCAGAGCCACCAGAGCCATGAGGACCAAAGGTGGAGGTAGGATGGAGACTGGTCACAGTGATAGGGGAAAGAGTGCTGGTGACAGTACAGTCTTCAGGGTTTGAAGCCTGTCCTCGCCTGATGGGAAGCCAAGAGGCATGACTGACGGCGGGGAGGAGAAGAATGAGCGGAGTGAACAACATGGCTAACGAGTGAAGCAGTGATATGTGCGCTGGTATTCTCTAGTCATGAAAAGATGGTTGGAGTATTTATGTTTTTCGCGTTGGCATGTCTCTAACCCTTTGCAAATATCACGCATCAGGTGAACCGGCCTCAATAACAATCACATAAAGCTATCCTGACATGGCACCCGATGACCTCCAAATCTTGATCTAGCTCGCCCTTGACAGGACAAGCAAAGTTAATTACATCGCTTAAAACTCCCAGACTTACTGGAATGTCTCCTGCGTTGGTTCGTGATACTATCACGACTTGGGGGTTCCGCGGGAACAGAGTGATTACTGATGTCTTTCTGAACCACATATCCGAGTTAGGTAGCCAGCTCGTCTAGTCTAAACGATGATTGGAACTGCCAGCAGGCATAGGCAGCTGAAAATCATAACCGGAAGGAGAAAATCTGTCTCGGCAATGCCCTTCGCATCAACGGGGATCGTTACACAAACTCTCCCTCAAGACCTCTCACCCTATTAAATCACTAAAATATCCACAATTTACCCTATGAAGATCCCGCGGGTAAGGATTTTGCCTCAGCTAAGGCAGAGTTTATATGACTTACAGTTCAGGGAAATTCAAATCATCACCCACGAGTCAACCAAAAGATTCCCCTCAACACCATCCCAAGACCTTACGATGCCTAAAGCAGATGGAGGGATATACAAAAAGGATAATATCATGACATTCGAGGAATTCTGTGGCGTTATGAAGCGAGAGAATAACGAATACGGTTGATTTATTCTCGCAATAGCTTCTAAGCGAGGTGAGCTGAAAATAACTTCACATCAAAGGTTCAGTATCTTTGCATTCCTCACGGTATGACTTCGCCCTTTCCCAGATGACTAGAGGATAACTCAACAAGACAACCCTTAGTAGCGAGGTTAAACATGCCATTCTTGCGATATGTTCGCTTAAGGGAACTCATTCATGATGCTCTCCATCCCCTTATTCAGAACCTCATCCATAAATATCAGAGTCTTCTGCAGTTAGAAGTCTCAATATCCATCATCATCACTCTCTTTCTTCATCTCTTTGTTACAACAGTCGTTTTGAGTGTCATTCGCTTCGAAAATGCGTCTTCGTCATTTCATCGCTGAGCTTCTGCTCCTGGGCTCAACTACTCAAGCTCGACCTACGGAAGAGTGCCCTGATGGGGTTTCTATCGTAAAGGTACAGCCTGAAGTTATCGTTGGGCTTCAGCCTGTCAGTATCAGTGCTGTGTTCACTAGTAATACGGTTCTTACTATTGATGGGACTACGATTCCTATCACTGGTGCTCCTACTACCTTGGTCACTTCGTTTACTATCACGAGGACTTCGACTAGGTACATCACTGGGTAAGTTTATCTGCTCTTTGGGTCTTGGGGAAGACTAGTTTAATGACTTGCATTTAGTAACCCGGAACCGTACTTTACTGGTCCCTATACGACCATCACTAGTAATAACCCCGGATCGAACCCCACTACGATTATCCAACCGCCATCTGGCAACAATCCCACCGGAACAGTTATCATAGTCAACCCATCGGGCGGCTCTGGTGGCACACGTCCTACCTTCACTGGCCCGTATACGACTATTACAAACAATGGACCTGCTGGAAGTCATCCAACCACCTTGACTCTCCCCCCTGCGGGCAATGACCCCAGCGGAACTGTCATCGTGGTCGTCCCTTCAGGCACTCAGAGCAAGCCCTTCACTGGTCCTTACACGACCATCACGGCTGACGGGCCAGGATCTCAAGCTACCACTATGACACTTCCACCCTCTGGTACTGGTGGTGTTGGAACTGTCATTGTGATTGATCCTACATCTCCTGGTTCTGGCCACCCTTCCTCTGGTGGTTCAGGTTCAGGCGTCCCTCAGCCTAGCTCCATCACTTCCAAGGGGCCCTTCACTGGTCCATACACCACCATCACTGGCATCAACACTGGTTCTGCTGGAACCACTGTTACTCTTCCCCCCTCTGGCACCGGCTCCATCGGCACAGTCATCGTTCTTGAGCCTAGCACAAGTGCCCAGAAGACCACCTTCACAGGCCCCTTCACCACCATCACTGGTGTCAATACTGGAACTGCTGGAACGACAGTCACACTTCCCCCTTCAGGCACTGGCGGTGTCGGCACTGTTATTGTTCTCGAGCCCAGCACAACCGCGAAGCCTAGTACCTTCACTGGTCCCTTTACTACCATTACTGGAATCAACACCGGCACTGGTATTGCGACTCTCACTCTGGCGCCCTCTGGTACTGATTCAACTGGTACTGTTGTCATTCTTGAGCCCTCTTCCTCTGTCCCTGCAACCACCTTCACTGGTCCTTTCACCACTATCACAGGAGCTGGTCCTATCCCAACCACTGTTACCCTTCCTCCCTCTAGTGGTGACCCAAGCGGTACTGTCATTGTCATCGGCCCCCCTTCAAGCACAACCTTCACTGGGCCCTTCACTACCATCACCGGTGTCAACACTGGTACTGGTTCCTCCACCGTGACTCTTCCACCTTCAGGCACCGACACCATCGGTACTGTCATCGTACTTGAGCCTTCAACCAGCGCCAGTGCCACTGGACCTTTCACAGGACCCTACACCACTATTACCGGCGTTAACACTGGAACTGCTACTGGTGCTTCTACTCTTACCTTGCCTCCCTCTGGTACCGATACTATTGGTACAGTTATCGTGCTTGAGCCTTCTACTAGCGCTAGTGCCGCTGGACCCTTTACAGGACCTTACACTACTATCACTGGCGTCAACACTGGAACTGCCACTGGCGCTTCCACCTTGACTCTGACCCCAACTGGCACGGATACAATCGGCACTGTTATTGTCCTAGAGCCTTCGACTTCAGCCGCAGCAACCACTTTCACTGGCCCCTTTACAACCATTACTGGAGTCAACACTGGAACCGCAACTGGTCCCGCTACCCTGACCCTTCCACCTTCTGGCACAGATACAATTGGTACCGTCATTGTCTTGGAGCCATCCACTGCTGCTACCCCGACTACCTTTACAGGCCCGTTCACTACGATTACTGGTGTCAACACCGGTACTGCCACAGGGGCTTCCACCTTGACACTCCCACCATCTGGCACAGACACAATTGGTACTGTTATTGTTCTTGAGCCTTCCACTTCAGCTCCCGCGTCCACCTTCACCGGTCCTTACACTACAATCACGGGGGTTGGCCCTGTTCCTGCCACATTGACTCTCGCACCATCTGGAACCGACCCTATAGGTACCGTGATTGTACTTGAGCCCAGTTCCACTGGTCCTGTTTCTCCCGGTGCTACTGGAACCAGCGATGCTGGAGCTTCATCAACTTCTGATGGTTCACAAGGTCAGTCAACTTCTGCCCCCGCCACTTCTTCCGACCCTGGCGCTTCAAGCACTTCAGGTGTTTCATCTGAGCAGAGTTCCTCCACTGTCACAGGTGCTTCTTCAGATACCTTGACCAGTGATGGTCCTGGCTCTGCAAGCATGACATCTGATGCCCCTGAAGGTTCCTCGCCGGGGGTTCCCTCGGGATCTTCTTCGTCTGACTCTGACTTGGGGACTTCATCAGCTGGATCAGGGGCTTCTAGTGGAAACCCCAGCGCCTCTGATACGCAGACCACCGATGCCATTTCCTCCTCTGAGCCCACTGATACTTCCTCCTCTGCCGCATCAGGACCCTCACAAGAGACATCGAGTTCATCATCCGCTGAAGAACCTGCTAACACCTCACCAGGCCCTGACACATCTTCTGGCTCTGGCAGTCCGTCAGAGACGTCTTCTGACTCAGGCGCCGCCTCTACCTCGTCAGGCCCCGATGCTTCCTCCACCTCTGATGTTGCTTCTGAGAGTTCCAACACGTCTGATCCTCCTGCTGAGTCTTCATCCGCTGGTGCTGGCGAGTCTTCTGCCACCTCGGGCATCCCCGCTGAGACGTCTTCTGCGCCCGCTGGAGAGTCCTCTGCTACCACATTGGATGCTCCCTCCGAGACTTCCAGTGACGCAGGTGCTAGCTCCTCGGACGCTGGTGCTTCTACCTCTGATACTCCAGCCACTTCTTCGGCTGACGCTGAGTTCTCTTCTGTCCCAGCTGGAGAGTCCTCCTCTTCATCCGATGTGCCTGCTGAGACCTCAAGTGATGCTGGCTCATCTGCCGCTGCCACATCCTCTGATGTACCCCCCGAGACTTCCGGCGATGCTACGGCTGGAACCACTTCTTCACCCGCTGAGGAGTCCTCATCGCCCGCTACCTCGGATGTCCCCGAGACCTCCTCTGACGCTCCCGCTGAGACCTCTTCTGATGTTCCCGTCGAGACTTCCAGTGAAGAGGCTAGCTCATCAGCCCCTGCAACCTCATCTGAGCCCGTTGAGACCTCTTCTGCCGACACTGAACATACCAGCAGCGCAGTTGACACTTCTTCAGCTCCTGCTGAGACTTCTGCACCCGAGACCAGCGCCGAGCTTACCTCATCCGCAGCAGAGACTTCCGCCGAACCCTCCACAACTGAAGCTCCAACCTCTTCAGCAGAACCTACCAGCTCCTCAGCAAGCCCAACCACTCCCGAGCCCCAGTCGTCCTCCGCATCAGAGTGTATCCCCACAGCCAGCGTCCAACCCTTCTGCGACGTCGCTCTCCCCGCTAGCTGTCAAGCCCTCGAGAGCACCAACGGTCTCGCTCTGGTGCCCGTCCTCGCCGCCTGTACTGTCGCACTCGGTCCTTTCGCCATCGGCAACGTTGCTACCTGTCTGGCGACCATCCCCTCTATCTTCACCGTTGGTTCAGACATTGCCGATTGTATCCTCACTGCTTTCGAAGGTCGCTGCATCACCACACTTCCTGACTCGTGTGCGGATCTTGCCAACTCCAATGGTCTCGCGCTTGTGGCTAATGTCGCTACCTGTGCCGTTGCCCTTGGTCCCTTCGCTGCTGGAAGCGCTGCTACTTGTCTCGCCACTGGATCCATTGGCTCGTCTACTACAGGTGTTAGCATTGTTGAGTGTCTTGAGATTGCGTTTGGCTTCGCTTCTGGCACGGGTACCATCACTGGTGCTGACAACTGTGTCGAGCCTACACCTACCCCAACTCCTGAGGCGGTCTGCGCCTCTGTTCCTGAGCCCTGCGAGAATCTCGCCACCACCAACGGTCTCGCCCTCATCGCCGCCATCCCTGTTTGTACAGCCGCCCTTGGTGGCTACGCAGTCGGCAACGTGGCGACCTGCTTGGGTACTGACCTCATCAGCTCAAACACCTTGGGCGAGACTATCGTCACTTGTCTTGAAGATGCCCTCTCTGAGCAGTGTATCACTTCGCTTCCGGAGCCATGTCTCGACTTGGCTGACAATACCGCTATTCAGCTTGCCATCAACCTTCCCCTTTGCGTGACTGCTCTTGGACCATTCGCCGTTGGAACGACGGCTACTTGTCTCACGTCGGGCTTGACCAATGGCAACTCCATCATCGAGTGTCTCAACGATTCCCTCTTCAATAATGTTGCACAAGCAGTGTAAGTGGTGTTTATGGGCTAGTCAGATTGGAGAAGATGGATGATGTTTGAAGCTGTCAGTGTTGGAACTCTTTCTTTTGTTGTATAACTATTGGGGAAGTCTTTGGGTAATATCGATGTCATTTCATATTCAATGTGCCGACAGTAGTCATAGGGCTATGTACAGTAGCTTCGTTAATACTCAATTCATTTCCTTTCTACCTCATCTCACTCGTGCAACACTGTAGTCATCCTGCTTCTCACACTTTAGTGCATCGCCATATCATCCATCTTCTTCTGTCCAATCGCATTCGCACCGACAGGAGCGTCAGGTCCATCAAAGATCTCCGCCACCTCCTCAAGAGAATAACCCTTGGTCTCAGGGAAGAAGAAGTAGATCAAGGTCAAGTGAACCGCGATAGCGACACACCAGACGATGTAGTACTTCCAAGCAATAGCTTCCATCGCAACGGGGTTAGCGAAGGCGTTGTACACACCAGCCAAGTTACCCGTAAGCTGGTACAGCATAGATGCCTTTGCACGTAGCGAGTATGGAGTGACCTCCATGATGTATGTAGCTCCAATGGGAGAACAAGCGTGATACCAAAATGAGAAGACAAAGATCATAGCCAAGACTGCACCTGCGTAGCCCATGTGCTCAAAGTTCTCTTGTTGGTTGCGGGCAGAGCAGATGGTCCAGATGATATATGAGATACCCATGCCCGACATACCGACGAGGAAGAGTCTACGTCGGCCGAACTTGTCAATCATGGTGGCGAAAACAACAGCGGAGAGGAAACCCCAGATTTGCAGACCGGCGTTAAGAAGAAGCTGGGTCTTGTGGTCGGTGATGTTGATCGAGTTGAGGACCTTGGCGAGATAGTAAGAGGTGAGAGCATTGCCGGACCACTGCAACATGGCGGGGATGTAGAGGGCAAGGAAGAAACGGTGCCAGTTGCCTCGACTAGAAATCCATTCAGCCCAGCGCGACTTCTTCTGGACCTTCTCGATCTCAAGCGTCGCTGTAATCTCAGCCATTTCGAAGCGTGCAAGTCGAGAGTTGGGGTCTCCGTAACCATGCCACTTAACCAGAATATCCATAGCCTCCTGGTATCGACCCTTGTAGATCAACCATCGAGGGGACTCGGGTGCAAACATGACCAATGAGGCCTGAATAACTGAGAAGAGGCCTTGAAGAAGACTGGGAAGACGCCACGCCCAAGAGCTCGTCATCTGGAAGCTGCCGTATGTAACCCAAGCAGCAATGATAGCACCAAGTGGCCACGAAACCATCATGAATGATACAATCTTTCCACGATGTGTCGGGTATGTAACCTCAGAGAGAAGAGGTGGCGCCGCAGTGGAAACAATACCGAGACCGAAACCAATGATGAAGCGAGAAGCAACAAACATGCCATAATTATACGAACAAGTCTGAACAATGGCGCCAACAATAATAGTAATCGATCCAATAAAAATCGGCTTCCTTCGTCCAAGCCAATCACACAGCTGCGACGAAATAAGGATCGAGATGAGAACACCACCATTCGGTCCAAACGTCATAGCTCCAAGACGCGTTCCCTTTGGTTCGCCGAAATATTCCTGCCATTGAGGCAGCGACTGCGCTCCATTGAGCATACTGGCGTCAAAACCAGTGGCAGTTTGAGTCAAAAGACCGCTGAGGAGGAGGAGGTTGAGTTTCCATAGTGTCCAGTCGGAGTACCATGGCTTGCGATCGCGGGGGATGACATCGGCGAGGACGAGACCTTGGAAGTCATTGGCGTCGGCGTCGGGGATGTGAGTTTCTTCGGTAGCTTGCTTTGACATTTTGGCCTGCGTTCAATGAAGCCAATGTTGACGAGTTGCTTGTCGGTGATGGTTGTGTTTCGTTTGACGACTCCACAGTCCTTTATATCTACGACTTTGTGGGGTGAAGCCAAGGTTGGTAGTGACATTCTCGCTCCAGTAGATGAACCGAGGAACTCGTACCATTCATCAGCCAAGATTAGCCCCAAAACTTGCTTGTGGGGGAGACTTGGGCCGATGCCCGCTGCGCGTTGGCGGGTTTTTACCCCGGATCTACCCCAGATTCGTTAACGTGCCGTGGGGTCTTTGCACTTGATTTAGTTAGAGGGCAAATCCCCGCACGTGAGTGTGACCAATGTTCTTGGTTCGGGGGAAACGGAGCCGATGGGGGCATTGAACCGGCAGCGGGAGAACGGTCGGGCATCATTGCTCCGGGCATTTCATTACCGAATTCTCAGATCATTAACGCGAAAAAGGAAAACTATATGCAGATGACCATCGAGTTAATCGCAGCTAACTCGTACGCTTAATTGACATAAAAACCACTGATGGCCCGAACGTATTAGTCATCTTCATGGTGCTGGAAAGATACAGGGTAACTGAAGGTGTAGCGCTGAGAATTAATTGACTGCGTTGTCACATCAATTCCACAGAACTGCTTGCCAAACAATTAAGAAAGAAGGATTGAATGACTCTAAGATACTTTACGGATATAGCCGCGTGGACATCAATGCCTTGGGAAAACACTGTCTGCATAAGATCAGTCATGTAACACAAATCGAGGTGTGTACAATGTAGAACTGAAAGGCAAAGAGTTCCCGACGTCAAACAATCATACTGCCCCAGTATCTGCGACTTGTTATTAGCTGGCAATAAAATGGCCATTTAATAATTAGGTGATATAACACACTGTGTATCCTAGAGTTTTTGTTCTAATTAAAATAGATTCTGTAACGACCAGCTAATTACATTGAAGTGCACTTAAGATTGAGGGTTGAGAGTCCTTATCTACGATAAGATAAGATATGTGCGGCTCTCGCTTCAGATAAGGGAAACTAAGCTAAGATAAGCTCGGTCAGGACCTGAACTGTAGATTTCCTGACATATTCAGCTCTTGTGGCGGTATAGCACTTCAATTCGGAGCAAGTACTCCACTGTTAGATAACAACCGAGACACTATATCAATAGTCTCGCTCTCGAAGCTCAGCTGAAATCTCAATGGTACCCAAGCTCTCACCGGTCCTCTTCAAATGGCATACAGGATTGGAGGCAAACTGCATGTCTCAGGCGTTCAGTCAGCCCTCAAGATCTAGACTACTGAATTGGAGCAAGCGGTCACGTTTTAAACATAGCTACCCACTTTTCGGCGAATCGCCATCCTTCTATGGGCTTGTCGGCGATGGCTATGTTTCGTTTGCAGATCACTCTGCCAAGCAAATAAGCTGATGCAAAGAGTCTGGCATTGGGTCTGGAACTGCGACCTGCGAAATGAGAGTCGTTATTGGACGAGTATGCCCAGCTAGCCTCAGGTTATGCTAAATCAAACTCGGGTCTAGAACGCCACGTGCTTATTCTCTATCACATACCGTTTAGTTTTCAAAGTCCAAGTGCATTTCGTGGCGCATGCAATGTGATGACTTATTATCATTATGTGCATATATGTTTGTGATTGAGAGTAATGTGATAGCAAGATACTGGAATCTCAGCCAGCCACTTGAGTGGCGCTGCCAATGATTCATCCATCGCCTGCTCGATGCTGACACAGCCCCTGCTTCATTTGACCTGTGAATAAACGCTATAAGAAGTGAGCGACTGCGACCGGTTTTTAAAGGCGTAAGCAAGCGATCAAAGATCAACACAGTTTCATAATTCAAAATTAAGGAAGCATGGCGTCAACATTCGACCTCACTACGGACGAGTTTCTCACTTGTGAGATCCATTCCGAGAGCACCCTCCCACTTCTGAGTTATTTCATCGCTTGCAAGAAGCATAATCAGAATGGCTCCAGAACCCTCTTTCAGAAAGTCAAGTCGGAAATTGGAGACGCGGACCGTCCCATTCCCGATGAGTCTGAGCAGCTGCAGGATGTTCTGTTAGCTCTAATGAAAGATGGTCCTGGCAAACCTGGGGAGAAGATACCTGGCCGTCCAACAGTGAGTGCACACTGCAAGCATTTTCCCGCTACAATCTGGTAACGATAAACAGGTCACTATTGTCGGCGCTGGTGTCTCTGGGCTTTGTGCTGGCTATGAGCTCAAGAAAGCTGGGTTCAATGTCACCATTCTTGAGGCTTCTTCACGAGTCGGCGGGCGAGTCAAGACTTTCAGAGAACCGACCTTCGCCCATGGCCTTCACGGTGAGGGCGGTGCCATGCGCATTCCAGCCAATCACTACTTGCTACACAAGTACATTGAAGACTTTGGTTTAAAGCCTCAACTGTTCGACTTTGAGATGAAGAACAAGTTCATTTACATTTCCGGCTACGGCGAAACACTCACATACGATCGCTTCAATGAGCTCCTTCAAGAAAAGGACGCGAAGCTGCTTTCTCTCTTCCCTGGTCTTCGGGACTGCGAGAAAGGCAAGACATGCGACAAGCTGTTCACAGAAGCTGTTGGGAAAGTTGTGGATGACTTTTGGGAAGCCTATGAAAAAGCCACAGACGAGGTCTCGTTTCCCGAGAAGATCCAGGTCAAAGCTATCAAGGATGCATATGCTGCGATCACCGAGAAGTATGATAGCTACACGCTACGATCTTACTTGACTGATGTTGCGGGGTGGACTGAAGATGCTATCAATCTCTATGATCTTGGCAACGCTCATGTCGTCTTTGACAATGGGTTCATTGAATCGTTCAAAGATGCGTTTTTGTCGAGCAACAAAGGTGGCGAACAGGCGGGCATGAAACAGCTTCAAGAAGGAATGGATGCTGTGCCCAATGCATTCGTCTCTAGTAAAAGAGGAGAAAGTGAGTCAATGTCACGCCTTGTTTGGAAGTACCTTTTACTGATATGTTGCAGACTCGTTAGTTGATGATATCATCTACGGTGCTCGAGTTACTGAGATTGGTATCCATGAGCAATCGGACCCCCAGATCCCGGTCCAGGCCCCGGTAAAGGTGACCTACGAAGTCACAGCCAACAGCCTGAGAAAGTCTATCACCTCCGACTATCTCATCCTCGCCATTCCGTACACGGCGCAGCGAACGATCGCCAAGTCAAAGCCCTTCGTTCCCATGCAGGAGATGGCAGTTCGAGACGTTCGCTACGTGGAAGTAACCAAGATTCTCCTCCAGTACAAGAAGAGATGGTGGGAGGAAGTCTTCACTAAGGAGGGTCAAGGCCTAGACGGTGGTCTCGTCAGCGATCTTCCCATCCGCTACACCATGTTTCCCAAGACAGAAGACAACAGCCAGTTCAAAGACTCCAACCGTGGTGTCATCATGGCAGCCTACACCTTCGAACAAGACGCCACCATTCTCGGATCCCTCTCCCCAGAACGGCGAATTCAGATTGCCGCTGAGAACCTGAACAGAATCTTTCCTGGCGCCAAGTCACTTGATCTTCTCGAAGCTGGAGCCTCGCAAGTCTTCCCAGCTGATGAACTAGCTGGTGGAAGTGCCTTCTGCTACTTTGGTCCAATGCAGAAGACCAAGTTCTTGGATACCATGCAGAAGCCTGATTGGGAGAACAGGGTCTTCTTTGCGGGTGAGCAGGCTAGCTTTACTCATGGGTGGATCCAGGGTGCTTTTGAAGCCGGGCTTCGATGTGTCCAGCAGATTTGGTCTGTTGCAGTTGAAGGCAAGGCACAGTAAGGTGACCAACGCAAGGCTCTGTATCTCGCCTTAATTCTGACGTGACAGGAGCGGTAGTCTTCCAAATGGTACTCAGAAAGAAATCGTTGACATGTGATAAGCTTTAACTATTCAGAGAGAGCAAAATAATTCCTAACCTTAAATTATGGTGCCAAAGATACCTAATCGAAAGACCTAATAAGGTATCTTAAGCTGACCTACGTCCTTTGTCATTTAAGATAAAGGTCTCAAGTCTTCTTGCCTCCCCTAGCTATTAATCAAAATGTGACCATAGAATGTTGAAGAAGTAAAGTCATCTCACTTCTCAACTTCTGGACAAACCAAAGCCACCTAGACCTTCTTGGCGTTGGGAGCGTTTCCAGGTCTGCCAAACAAACGTCTTCGAATCTTGGGATGAACGCCGTTCAGTGGGCTCACCGGGAGCAGCTTGGTTGGGAGAGCCTTTGGTACAGTCTGCAAAGCCGACGGAAGATCATTCTCAACAAATGCGACAAGGGACTGGTAGTAGTACTGGCTAGTAGGGGATCCCTCGGGTACCTGAGGAACAGTGTGCTTGCCACTAAGGTAGTCAAAAGTGGTGAAGAAGGTGACTTTTCCATCAGGTGTTGTAGTGCTGGCAAGTGTGTTCTTGTTATTGCCAGATTTATCGTCATACCATTCCTGTAGATTTGAGACCGGATCAAAGGTCACGTTGGTAGAGTTATCAGCACCAAATGGAAGGTCGAAATACGCGGTGCCGGTGTATACGGTCCGCCCAGATGTTGGATCCTGCAGCTGGTACTGGAGAACATACCCAATGCCAGCAAACTGACTGCTGGAGTTGATGTTCATGTCTGCGAATTGCGCAGTGGGTGGAGGCTTGACACCAGGAGGAGCGGGAGTGCTGTTCAAGGGAAGAATCGGCTGATAGTCCTTGATACTGTTGTCCGGGTTGAAATGAACAGGACCAATGACGAGCTGGCCCTCGTCCGTGATCTGGCTCTGGTCAAACTTGATTACCCAGACAAGCTTATACCGGGTCAAGTTCCAGACTCTCACGTACTGGAACGTGTTGTGCAGAACAAAGGATAGAACCACGAAGATGACGGCGAGAACGATGCCTGCTTCGAGGAAAACCCCACCCCATTCTGCAGCACCTGCTTCCTCCTGAAGTCAGGGTTAGCAGGATCTTCAGCTCTATCCATATATTGTCCACTTACGACTTCTTCGATGGCAACGCCCTCGCTAGCTTCAGTGCTAATGCTTTCGTTTCCGATCGAGTTCTCCTCCTCCTGTGCTGCCTCCTCCTCCGCCCCCCCCTCAGCAGCCTCTGGGTTGTCAGCCATATTCTGGATGACATCCGCCTGAACATTCGCCACAGCTTCGATGGTGCCTTTAAGAGCGTCGAAGATCTCCTTCAAGGCAATGGATCCAACGATACCAACGCCGAGCCACCAAGACGTAGTGGAGAAGTCATAGTCGCTCCATCCAGCTGTGTTAGTTATAACGCCAATACCTTGGTACGTCACACCATTTATGACAGTCGTGGTACCGTTAACTTTGACGTTGCCGTTGTCGTCAAAGTCGAGGCCATTAACGCTGATCTTGTTGAAGAAGACCTTGCCAGATATGTTATCAGCACTCTCAACGTAGAAGACGGGAAGATTGTTGGCGTCAGTGCCCTGAATCCAGGCCTTACGGCCGTTGGTTTTGAGCTGCTGGTAGACCTGCGCCATGTTGTTGATGCGGTTGAAGTATTCAGTTGTGCCTTGGCCGCCAGTCAGACCATTCTGAACGCTCTGGAGAAGCGTCTCAGTGTTGGCGTTGCCGGATGAGAGTGGAGCTGCAGTGGAAACTTGCCCAAGACCGATGAGAGGAGCCGACATGATGACTAAGCATATGAATGATGATTCAGGATAAAGTATGATTGTTGAATAAGGAGTGATGAGATGATTGTATTAATTCAAATGCGATGGGGGCAGTCCTCCTTTATAATCGGGGTTGTTGTTGTTACAACCTCGCAGATTCCTTACTGGGAAGAAATGAGTGGTGGTAGAGTTCTACAAGAGCAGGCCATGTATGAATAAGAATTTCAGCTTTGAACAGATCGTACGAGAATGTAACTCAATGGTCTGCATGAAAACAAGACTCAGAACATTCGTGACCAGATACTGCGACATCTAGAACGTCAAGATTTGTCTTCAGCCAGCCAGATTCTCAACTGTTTGACCTTGAATACCCTTTCAGTGCAAAAGAAGTATTGGAATGACGTTCTGAAAACAAGCCCTAGCCCCTATTTGTGATTTGGGAAACGATTGTGTAACATGTGGCGGCTGAGTACGAGAGCTTACTCTGCATTAAGACATGCTTGGTTCGCATGGCGCCAGGGAACTATTTACGTCAATGGTCAGTATTTATTTCACATTAGCCTGCAGAAAAATGAGGGGAAAGTATAAACAAACAGCGATTTAGTAGTGGTGTAATATAATTAACTCACCTATTTTACAAACAGCCACGAGGTGACAGTTTACAGCATCTGCTGCATTCTTAACGTCATGAGCTTATGCGGGAGCTAGAGATGCCGGTCCCAGAATCACATTCCGCGTGGAGAACATGTCTCAAAAGCCATGTAAACCCAAGGTCTAGACGTGTGATAGTGGCTGTCTGTGGCTTCTTTCCTACAGATCCAACCCTTCACTGATATTCAGCTTCGTGGCCTGATCTAGAACGACAGTTCGTGGGGTCAATCATGTCCTTCAGCCTTAAGCGCTGAGCTGCATTTAGGAGATCAAGTATTGGATAAAGACCACTGTAGATACCGCACACTCCGGAAACTTCCATCAAGCCAAAAGGCTTGAAGTAAGCCAGGGCGTCCACGACTTGATCAACTGATAATCGTGAGTCTGTAATTTGAGCCGCGATGTCACTAATCGACAGCAAGTGCTGCCACAGAGATTTGTCTCACACTGTAGTCGCCAATGACGGCACGCAGCGATGGATATTACATGGCATTAACTGTTTTCGTCTGTGACGAGACATGTATGTCCCCATATCTGTATCCTTTCAGCTGTAAAAAGTCCTGATATGTGTTGGGATGTCTTGCAGCGGCCACCGTCAGTTCTTCGCTGAAAAAGAGGTTTGAGAAGTTTACCAGTAGGTTTGCTATGCTCCACAAACTACACGATATTTCCGCGTTCCAACGTTCGGCCTGGTAACTGGTAACGCTCCCCGTCGTTTACCTGTCTCACGAGGAGGGTACATACATTCCCTTCATGAGTGCAAGAGCGTCGCACTGAATCAGCGTGGAAGATATGTCATCTCATCTTGGCCGAGGGGCAGAATATTGGAAGGGAGACATATTGGACAGATGCCCTGCATTAACAAACTGGAAGGCCTAGATTCATGGTGTAAGTGACTTTGCTTTAGTTACTATCGGTAACGTCGCAGAACCCATATCCAAACGCTTCAAGAACAACATGACTGTCCTCATGTCATTTAAGCCTTGTTCAGTCGCTTAGCCTCAATCTGCACCGACTCAGGAATCCACTCCTCCAAACTCTTACCCACGGGCTTCCAACCAAGATACTTCCTCGCCCTCTTAGCCTCACCGCGACTATTCAATCCCCATGAAAGAGCCTGGAAACCCAGCTTCTTCTGTGCCTCATCAACATCCAACACCTTTGTCTCATCACTATCGATGACGCCCTGCTTCTTAGCCTCCTTGGCAATTAGAGCAGAAATCTGGCTCCATTTGTGTTTACCATTCTCAGCGAAGAAATAACCCTTTGGACCCCAGATTTCCTGCTCGTCAGATTGTTTCTCAGATGATGCGGCGCGCTCGGACAGAAGTAGTATGAGGTTGGAGAGATCGTGGACGTGCACGTTGTCCCATTCTGTCTCGCCCGCGCCGATGATGGGACCAAAGCCCGTTTCGAGGGTTGTCTCGGTCAAGCCTGGAATTTGGCGACTTCGCTGGTTGGCGGGTCCTCGGCCGGTTCCGTAGATAGTAGGAGGGCAGACGATGGCGACCTTTACAGCGCTGGGATCTTTGGCAGCTTCGCCGAGGACAATCTTGTCGACATCTCGGTGGAAAGCGGTATCGGGAAGAGAAGTGACCTTGTCAACTCCCTCCAGATCGTTGTAAGCTTGCTCGGGGAGAGGACCTTCTCCGTAGCGCTTGTTGTCCATGTCATACCAGCAGAGGATACCTGTACCGCTGATGTGAATCCAGTAACCGGGGTTTGAGCTTGAGTGAGTCGATCGCAGGCCGGCAGCGATAGCCTTGGCAGCTCCTTGGTGATCAGAGCTATCAGCGGTATCTAGTCTTATTAGTACTATGGACAAGAGTTATAGGACTGGCTTGAACTCACGAATGACAATGTCGGCCTCAGAAGCTGCCTTCTCAATGACCTTGGAATCATCCAAAGATCCAATCGCCAACTTCACATCTGGATATAGCTTCTGCACATCCTTTCCCTTATCCTCACTTCGGACAAGGATGGTATACTTCCAATCAGGATGAGCTTTATGCAATGCGTAGAATGCATCACCTCCAATGAAACCAGTGGTGCCAGTACCAAGCGAGGGGTCAGCGTCAGCTTACGGTGACATTGGGATGGACCTTACATAAAGACCTTCTTTGCAACCATTTTCGTGAATTAGTTAAATAGCTTGTTACCGTAAACTTGATGGATATCAATAATGATTTAAGAATAGGTTAAGTTAGGAGACTTATAGAATACGGTTGCTGAGATATCAAAGACGTCAAAAGAAGCACAGTGACGTCATGTTGAGCAAATGGCCCCTCATAACGTTAAACGCTTAGCAATCTGTTAACAATTCCACCGAAAATACATGCATTGACTAACAGTTCGACCTCAACCCCATCTGGCTGTGGATAAGGTCTTTTCCAGAACATTGCTTCAATGGGTAGGCTTGCTTTCCAATCGATCAATCTAACATCGTAGTATGCATTTAAATGACGTATTGTTGAACATCAGGTTTGCATTGAGCTCTCTTCCAGAAATTTCCTGACAGCAGATTCGAAAGCCAAGTCCGACCAAATGAACTGGTTCAGTATCTCGCTTGTATCAGACCATGAGCAGTGTAAGCTGGGTCTTTGGAAAGTCGTCGAATCCAAAAGTGCGGTGTAACCTGAACGTACAGGCCCATCTGGAGCAAACACTCCGCCAATGCATGTAAGCCAAAGCAACAAGTCCGCATTTGCTTCCCATACTGGATCGTCGCGGACTTTTTCAAGTTCTTTAAGAAGTTGCGCAGTAACATTGGACTGAGAAGTAAGCAAATGCTTCCAAAGGCGGCATAGGGGACTTACGGGAATTACTAAAGCGCACCAAACTTTGCAGCACAACATGACCGAACACATGTATGCTGCGAGATGACAAGCCTTGGATATCGGGCAAGTGTTTGGGAGCGCTTGAAGGCGAGATTGTATGGATGCCGTGTGACAGTTGATATTTACCGATGAGAATACACGGCCGGTACGCTGATAAATATTCCTGATACATTGAAGAGCATGGATATCTCTCACGACGTCCAGGAATTCTTGGCTGAATAAATGAGACCGTGTTTCAAAACCTGGTGGTAGCTCAAAGAAGTCTGGAGCTATTGAGTCTCGTTGCCATTCGAGTTCGGCAAAGGTTGTATGGTCAACTATGCGTTTTGAGCCCACCATGATCGATGAGTTCAAGTCCTGCCTGTCGAAGAGTAAGAGGATGACTTGAGATCCACGGATGGGCTTACCAGAATATGGCACGTTTTATGCCTTGAGTTAGATTCACTGCGACTGGCTGACATGCATTCAGCAGGTACTGTATTGCTCCCATGTGAAGTTGAACGTGCGAAGTGGTACCAAGCCGTGCCTAATGGGTCAGTGTAAGCATACAATCAAGTGAAAGATCCAAGTAACTCACCTCAACACCGACGAGCAACAATATAGCGCCGATAGTTGACTCCGAAACGGCTTTGTCAGGCGTACTTATTCTTTCCCTAATGTATTGGATCGCTTTGCCTCGGTATATCAGGCATTCTTTATTAATGGCTCCGCCATTTACGGTGAAAGCCAAGGACAGCATCACAGCATTTAAGAGAGCAGGATCAACGAGTCCAGACCGAAATACTGATTGGAAATTCTGAAAGTCGTCTTCAACACTAAAGACAGGCTCGGGAGCTTGCCTTGCATGGACTGGGAGGCAAGATTAAAGATAGTCGATAGAGGAGAGCATGAAGGGACTTACAATCGCTTAGTAAGATATGAAGTCGTTTGGAGTCTACCGCAAGGCTTTGGAACGGATCGAGCAGACTTGCAGATAGCGAAGCAGGCCACGGAGTTATTCGCTTATTGCAGGGGCCCTTGCAAATACTTGTCGTTTGTTCCCGTCCATCTTCTATTGTTCTTACGGAAAAATGTTGCATAGATGCCTGTTGCAGCTGTCGTTTTTTCTGCAGTGCCTGTTTCACCGCATGTGATCGAGCGAGGCGCTTGGCAGCCTTGTCGCTTGTCTTATCTGGCGTCGGCTGAACGGAGACGAACTGAAAGTGCGTCACTAACAATGGTTAGCAGAATGATTGGCTCAGTAAAACGCAACATACTGTTTCGGTCCCAAATTAGGTCCTTACAGAGCCCTGACTAGGCGTTTCTGGCAAGTATTATGGCACCATTTAGGTTAGAAGAGCTGGCACCTTGGTCGCGTCTCGCTCTCACTCTCACCGTAAACTTGATGATGCTTAGAAATCGTCCTGAGTAAGATCCACATTTCCCTGGTGCAGATCAGCTAAACTACATTTGGCAACATCTCGTTTCCTATTTCGGAAGTATCTCATTTCTGCATCTAGAACAACCTCATTTCCATATCCTGACAGCACGAGATCCAAGTGTCACCGCTTCAATGAAACATGGTTTATAGTATAGTAGATTCCTTGCTAGATTTATCAGCTCGTAATTCTACGATGGTTCCATTGCAAACTTTTGTTTGTCATCAGTCCCAACTCCCAGGATATAAAGCATGCGACATTGACGGCGGGAGGAATTCACATCAGTCAGTCTTCAGTGAACAGCTTTCAACTAATATCAACTACACTCGATACAGCTTCACTAAACCACAATGGCCATGTCAGAGTCACGCCTTTTCCAGCCCATGCAAATTGGCAACATCAAAGTCCAACATCGCATTGGCATGGCTCCTCTTACGCGACTCCGGGCAAGCCCTGATCGTATCCCCAACGCCCTTATGAAGGAATACTACAGTCAACGCGCTTCCATCCCCGGGACTTTCATTATCACTGAGGGAACGCTTGTTTCTCCTGCTGCCGGTGGAGGGTTCGCTAGGACGCCTGGAATCTGGAGCCAGGAACAGGTTGTTGCCTGGAAAGAGATTACTGATGAAGTCCACCGCAATGGCAGTTTCATCTTTCTTCAACTGTTCGCAATGGGTCGCGCTGCAACTGTTGAAGTTGCGAAAGATGAAGGAATCGACATTATTGGCCCTAGTGCAATCCCCATCGAAGGTAGTCCCGCTCAGCCCCGAGAGATGACTCTGGAAGAGATTCATGAAATGGCCCAGGCATTTGTGACTGCCTCCGAAAATGGGATCGAAGCCGGGTTCGACGGTGTTGAGATACACGGAGCCAACGGCTATCTTCTTGATCAATTCCTTCAAGATGTCAGCAACCAGCGCGACGATGATTACGGCGGTAGCATTGAAAACAGGTCCCGCCTCATCACTGAGATCTTGGAGCGTGTTGTCCAAGCTATCGGCTCACAGCGCGTCGGCATTCGTCTCAGCCCGTGGAGCACCTTCCAAAGCATGCGCATGAAAGACCCGATTCCTCAGTTCACAGACATTATCAACAAGGCCAGCCGTCTGAGCTTGGCTTATATACACTTGATCGAGTCGCGCATCTCCGGCAGTCAAGACTGTCAAAACAATAGCAGTGAGACACTTGACTTTGCCTATGATCTCTGGAAAGGCCCATTTCTCGTTGCTGGCGGGTATAAACTGAAGGAGGCGGAACGGCTTGTTGACAAGGAACATCCTGATAAGGAGATCATGGTTATGTTTGGGAGAAATTTCCTGGCGAATCCGGACTTGGTGTATAGAATCAAAGAAGGCTTGGAGCTTAACCCATATGAAAGGAAGACGTTCTATACCAGCGATGTCGAGGGTTATGTGGATTATCCATTTGCCGTAAGGAAGGATGCAGCAGCTTCGAACTGATTTTCGGATTAGTTGGGTGCTTGCTCCAGGTCGCTTCTCGGTAGGGGGTTGCAGTTTAGATTCGCTTATGGGGTTCGGTACAGGGCTGACAGAACTATTGGCCTCGGTTTGGTTCTTTTATATAGCTCGCCGTGTTCTACCTTCTTTCATACTATTTAATCCCAGAGGTGCACATAAAACCTAATTTTAAGACCGAGTATGGTTCTTTGCAATTTCTCTCCCGCAGCCTGAAGGTGTATGCACTTTTTCTTAGTGGCCACTGGCGCCAATGCATGCCCATGTTCCAAGAACCGATAAATGAAGAATGACCTCTTGAATCTTTTCCTCGCCTATTGCAGAAAGTTCCAACCCCATATCCAGCCTTGGTTCTGTTCCAGGAAAGGATTGTCCAGAATTGAGTCACCTGGATCATATGTAATATCTCCAGTAAATAGAAGACCGGCCGCTGTTTCCAGTAGTTACTATCTGTAATATTTGGCAATTCTCCCCTGGAAGTCAAGAAAACTCACCTTGTTCATATTCTAAGAGGGTGTCATTTAATGAAGTGTCAACGCAGACGTTCATGTCTTGATCTGCAAAGTTCATGCTGAGTGTATCAGTTATGCTACCGTTGTTCATCGTAGGTGGCGAATTCAAGTCAGCGTTTGTCTCTATGTCTGCCCGTGGTGGCATCGACGCTTGTCCGGAACATCCTCCCTCGGGCGCTATGAAGTGATTTTCGCTTCGGCCCCTCTGAGGGAGTTCTGGATATACACTAGCCAGAAGCTCAGTCTCTGGCCAATCGTTGCCTTCCTTTGACGCCACAAGACCCATCAATCTTTTCGTGATATCCAGACTCTGTGCGGCAACAATTGACTTATCCTTGAGAAGGGTCTGTACCTGCATTAGCTGCCGTATCCCAAATTTTGCCTCGATCGAGTTGGAGGTCAAAGGATCAAGGGTTATCGAAATACAGAGTGTCACGCCCGCCGTTAAGAGGTGCAGTGACACAACAGCTATAGCATATGTCTCAGATGCTTCCAAGAGGTATGGAGTCGAAGCGACTTTTGATATCTGTAGTGCAGCTTCCCTACACTCTTGTATCGCCAGCCGAAATGGGTCAGTCTTCGAAGTGGTAGTGTCTGTTGAAGTCAACCTGGCCATTTTGAATGATAGAAGAGGCCTGTGGATTAAAATTTTCGCATTTTCGTACGCCAGCTTGAGAGAAAGCGCTTGTAGGCGGAACAGATAATTTTCAAATTCTCGTCCAGTTCTTTCACGGTCCTTCGTAATCTGAACGTCCGACAGAGAGTCATGACTATCAAATCTGAGCTTCGGAGCCAGGCTTCTATGCCACTCTTGGAGACGCCCGTTTAAAGCCGCCACTTTATCAAAAAGGCCTTTTAGGCTGTTCGTTCTCTTTCGATCACCATGCCGAGTGCCGTACAGCTCAACTAATGCGGACTTGGCAATAGCCGACAGTCTCGACATTGAACACTTGTAGAACAACAAGGATGGTCTCCTCGTCTGACGTGACTCTTTAGTTGATCCAGAGTACTCATCATATGGATCCAAAGTCTCGACATTGCAATCGCTATCGGAAAAGCCCAGGGGAAATCCATAAAGCATGGAGCAGAAAGTATCGATCTCGTAGACGGCCCACCAGGCCCGTTTCCGGTCTTGTATCTGCTGATTCAGAGCTTGATCGCTAGGATCTCCAGGTGTCATTTTTCGATGAAGGTTAAGTGCTTGAGCGATTCGCAATCCAGAACCAGATAGTGGCCAAGCCATTTCAGGTTCACCGTGGTAGAGGTAATAACTTCCCAGCAAAACACAGAATTGCACCGCTTCAAGAGACCCTCTCGATACAATATCCAAGAATCTCAGTTTAAGGGCGGCTAGCATCCTGTCTTTCAGTTCTTTCGGATCAACATTATGAGACTTTAACTTGTTTTCTTGCGCACCGATGTGATGCAAGCTGGTCGCGAAAACAGCCAAGAGAACAGCTATAAAGCCTATACCTCTCGATGGAGCATTGGAACCGGAAGAAAATGTTGTGTAACTATAAAGATCCTGGAACTTTTTTCTAAAATCGTCTTGGTGAAAGACTAATATGAACCAGTGGATCCGATCAAAATAGTTTTCGACCAAGAGAGTCGCGGGTCCTAATTCGGGTAATAAAGACATGAGTTCCTTCTCGGCGGTGGACGGCTTGGACTTGATGTTGCTTTGTTGTAGTTCGATGTCTTTAGGCCGTTCAGCGACATGTCTTGGAAAAATATTGTTGGTGTCATTTTCGGCAGTGGTTTTAGATTGAGCCCAAGTCTCTGATCTTAGAGCCGAGAATTCGACACCTTCGGGTGAGACAGCGTCATGCTGCTGAAACGCCTTAAACTAAGCATTAGTGATGAGACAATGAAGGGTTGGGCTTTTTCTTTGCTCACCTCTTCAACTAGCTTCACAGTAGAACTGGAATTCCAAGCTGATTCTACAGCTGAGTCAACAGTAACTCCCGGTGTATTTCTGACTAATTTCCTCGTTGTCGCGGCTTGCTCCGGTGTACTTTGATAGGGTCTCCATCTTGAACTTTCCGATGCGATGCATTCAGCATTTGCTCGTGAACACAGGGTACATGGGCGCTCGATATCACACTATCGAATTCAGTCAACTGATCTATCGTTGGGAGGGGCATATTTACTTTTAGTTTTTGCTTGCGACATCTCTCGCAAGCCCTGGAAACTTTGCGCCGATTGCTCTTCATTGCGATTGTCTGATGCTTTGGGTTGTGAAAGAGAATGTTGCGATGATGATTACAGGGAAATATTCGGAGTTACTCTTTTCCCTGTCGGACAACTATTTATAGCAATCGCCAGAGCCGGCGTATTCGGCCGAGACGCTAACCTACCCGGCGCAAGGTATTATTCCTATTACAATGAAATATTTTAATTACCCTTTATAGGGAAAGCATGACGTAGGAAGTAATGGATTTAGAATATAGCCACAGATGGAAAATAGAGCGTGAAGCTATTGTTCAGAAAAATCTTGATGATTCCTAGATATAATTCATAAACTATTTTACATCTCAACCCCGACCATTCATATCAAGCACTTTGGTTCCCTTTCCGGCTAATCTCAGTATCCTCCGACTGAGCTATCGACCATGGGCTTGAACGTAACCGCAGTAGGCTGGTCCGTGATTCCCCTCTTAACCGCTTCCTCCATAATTGCAACTGTAGCTGTAGCGCCAATACGTGTAATGCCTAGTGACATAACATGCAGCAAATCGTCAAGGGTACGAACACCTCCGGCAGCCTTAACCTGGACATTTTTGCCAGATTCCTCTACCATGATCTTTAGATGAGGGATAGTAGCACCCTTGTAATTGTACATGCCGTTTGCCTGCTTGACGAAACCATAGCCAGTCGAAGTCTTGACGAAAGCCACTCCAATATCCGAGCAGATCTTGCAAAGGCGTACAATGTGTTCCTGATTCAGGTAGTCATTTTCAAAAATGACTTTCAAAATAGCCCCACGCTTGACAACGACATTGTTGACTTGACGAATCTCATCAGCAACGTAGTTCCAGTCACCGCCGAGTGCCTTGCCGATATTGATGACCATGTCGATCTCATTACCGCCAACAGCAGTAGCAACATCAGCTTCGAAGACCTTGACGGCAGTGCTGCTGTTTCCATGAGGAAAGCCTATGACGGGACAGATCAAGACATCAGTGCCCTGAAGTTCCTGCTTAGCCATGGAAATTGCATAAGGTTTGATGCAAGCTGTGGCGACGCCGTACTTTTTGGCGATGGCAATGCCTTGAAGGATGTCGGCGTCTGTCATGGTGGGGTGCAGAAGAGAGTGATCGATCATCTTGGCGATTTGTCGAAGAGTAACTGTGATCTCGTTGGTGTTGGAACTCATGATGGCCTTGCAAATGGTTGATTGCTGTAGAAGTGACTTTATTTGGAGGAGGAGTGAAGATCGAATGAGATATCTGATATTCTCTCGGGGTCCTGCACCCTTTATATAACAAGTTCTACAAGTCTCATATACAAGAACGCCATTGGCAGTCATGACAGCGAGCTTTCGTTTCCCTTTATGGTAATTTGTTCCACCGGAAGACAGAGTGGGGCACACACTTTTGGAGTACTGACCCTCGGCCACCGGAGCGGAGAGGCTATCGGGCATGCCTAATTGGGTTATTCCGTTAGTCTCCAGGCGGAAGGGGGAAAACCTCAAGGGCGTCGTCGGCTTCATCAACATAGCAGGATTTGTCTTCACAGCTCGAGGCAAGAATGCCATGAGCACTGACGATGACCCTCTTACTATGCCCTACCACAAATTCATCAACGAAACTTGCGGTGATGATGGACACGGGGATGTTTGAGGATGTCCAAAATTTCACGGGCTTGGTACTTAACTTAAATGATCATAACTAAAGCTTGCTGGAACGGAAATCGAACTGTAAAAATAACATTCGAAATACAACTATAGATAAATAGAAAGAAGCCTAGATCAGATAGATGACAGACGCCTGAGTGCTTCCATCGAATGATTGCAGCGACTCCCCTCCTGTCTCGTCATTCAGCAGCAAGTCCCTCGCGGTGCCATATGCCATGGTCCAAACTATACGTCGAAATCGGTCTCAAGTTGGGTCCCTTCGTTTGAGCATCATGCAGTCAAGCGTTGCTTCGTCCATGTCAGAGTCGTCGGCGTCTAGCCCATGCCTCCAGTGGACAAGGTAGAAGACTTCATTCTCAAAACGACTTCGGTGCGAATCAGGTATCGAGGAGTCTAGCCAGGCGTCTAGTTCTACGGTTCTGGTCGCAGGGGCATTATGCTCCCTAACGCTTGCTGAGATTGGTATAACAGCCTTCCAGACGTCTTTCTTGTAGAGTCTGAACGGTCGAAGCTTTCCAGTGACTTTAAGTTGGAACATCGGAGACTTCAGTGAAATCCCAAAAACATCGTCCAAGAACAGTTGCTTAGGGTGGTTATTGTGTGGCCCGCTGTCCATGGTAGCACATTGGATCACGACCAAAATTCCCATGGCGAAAGGGTCTGATGAGTTGATCTGCCCTTTCACGGGGGCCCAAGAGAAGGATGGAGCGTAGTATGAAGGCTCTTCGCCAAATGCGTATCGGTCGCGATCTGGGTACATCCACTACGCCAACTCTGCAAATAGACGCTTCTTCCACATACCCGCATAATAAGTGTCTCTGATTGAGGCTTTTGTATGCCGTACAACACCAGCGATTGCCACAAGTTTATCCTGGGGGTAAGTGAACTGACATTAGGTGTGTGCTTTGATGATATCGTCCCAAACTTCATGTGGCAGGTCTTCGATGGGAAAATCTTCAGCACCAGCCCAGTCAAAGTTCTCCCATATTCGGTCGGTAGCTGTCTGAGAGAGACTGTCTAGCCAAGGTCGAGAACCTCATCAGATGGTAAAGAATCTGGAAAGCTTTCGCAACAGAAGCGTTCCAGACACTCCCAGAATATTTCTTGACAACAGAAGAGTATGACCCTAGGTGCTAGGAGTCGCTTTTGTAAACCCAGCCGCGGCTGTTTAATGGCGAATCTTTTACCTCACCAGTCCACATGTTCCTATCTACCGAGGTCTACTCGATGATATCGCCCCCATCATTTCTTGTGGATATCTATACTTGTCAGTGAAAGTCTGGATCACGATCGAAAAAAAGACCTTGGGTGTCTGATGAGTTGTGAGCCGATATGTTACAATAGCCATGTTGGTAGATCCAATCCATGCGCAAGGATTCGGCAGCCCAATCGCGCCCATTATCACCACTTTGAATGATACATCAACGATGTTTTTAACTTCTTTTAGATTCCACGCCAGCTTCTTGGCGCTGCTCAGTGGTACTGGAACACTATCGACAACCTTCGAAACCGGGGTCCCACTAGCGATGAGAGTTGTTTCAGAGCGCTGTTCTCGTTTAGAGATTGTGGCGGTTCAAGTCGTAGCTGAAATTCCACCCTAGCAAATTTCCATTGGTTGCTCTGTGCGGTAGACCGCTTTAGCGCGTCATCGGGAGTGTCCCGTTACGCCATTCAGAGAATTGAGACATTGATAAGAGTCGAGAACTCAATAGTGAGACTAGCGTTTCAATAGCTATGTGATTATGTAGGAGACACAGTGTTGTGGCTAAAGGGCTTGAATTATTGAGCATGTGAGCGACTGACTATGGAATCATTGGGTAATCAAAGCTGCGGGCGTCGACGCTTTATAAAGTCAGTGCCGCATCCAGCAATACCTAGTGAAAGGAGTCTGATAACGCGAGTATCTCCACTCCCTTGCTTTCTCAGACTTTCTGGGCCTCACAGAAAGACTTTGGGCTTGGATAAAGACATTTACGTATCCCACCAATTATCAACTGCCATCAGCCACTTGCCCAAAAGAAAACAAAAACATCTATTTACTTTGTTCCATATATCTACCTGCTGTTTATAAACGCAATGTCAAACCCAAACCTCCCAACTCCCACGATTGATGCAGCAACTTACTACGACGTGAGTAGCCAGCAGTTGCATCTTGTCATTACATACCCCAGCGGTGTATCTGTCTGGCCAAATGACATAGTGGTCGACCTAATTACAACCTCATCTACAACCCCAACCAAAGTTGGTAATGGCGCCCCCACATTTCCAGCAAACACGAAGACGGGAACTATAGTGATGCCAATGGCAATATCTTTGGCTAGTCAAGGAGGACAACTCACCGTCGCTTCTCTAGACTCATCTTGGCAATCGAGTACTCCCAGTGACCCCTGGCCGATCCCCGCAATCAACTCGTCGCCTTTTACTAGCTCCCCCACGGCCAGTCTTACTTCTCTCGGATCTGTTGAAGTAACCTGGTCATGGATTGCGGGAATGGGTGCAATCGCACAACAAGTCACTCTGACTATTGCGGGACAAAGTCCTATCACGACCATGGTTAAAAGCCCGACTGCTATCGCCACTTTCACCATGGCCCAAGTCAACAATTTATTCACGCCGGGCCGAAAGGTCACTATCCAATGCACTCCCATTGCACCCGGCCTATGGGCTAGTCCTGTGAATACCACCTTTCACATCCCCAAGTCCAGTGGGATGACGTCTTTTTCATTAAACAACTCACCTCCTATATCATCCGAATGTACGATGACGAGTCTTTCCGCACAAGGAACAAACACTATGCAGGTCTGGTGGGGAACCCCTGAAGGAGCCATTGAGACAGCCCAGTTCCCTCTTGAAAGATTCCACCAGCAACCACAGCAATTCGCCAATGCGTCGACAGTCTCTGATACAGGATCTTGTCTGGCTTCCATATCTGTCAACTCTACAAACCAACAGGTTTGGTGGATTGCGGAAACCGGGGCTATTGATGGGCAAGTTAATAGCGGCCAAGGATGGACGTCACCCGGCACCGGAGCTGGGGAAGCATATCCCTTCAACAAGGCTGGTATAGCTTCAACAACTAATGGAGGTTCCATGACAAGTCTCTTACTAGAGTATAATAATGGAACCATCCTTTTCTGGGTCGATCCTAAGGGTGCCATCGGTTGCTGCAGATGGTTTACTGGCTCAGGTTGGCAGGCTGTTTTTGATGCACTTCCTGCCGGCACAGCAAGCGCCACTACCCAGCTGACTACACTGTCCGTTGGCGGTAGTGCCTATCTGTTCTGTGTTGCTCCGGATGGTGCAATTGTCGGTGCCAGTTGGCCCGACGCCACCAGCGCTACTTTGGGTCCCATGTCCCAATTCGAAGTTGCACCATCTGGCAGTGCAGCGCCTGACGGAGGATTAGCTTCTATCAGCGTAAATGCACAGGAGATTGCGGTCTTGTGGACAACACCAAAAAATAACATCGACATGGCCTTTCTGTTTGAGGGGGGTTACTCATTCCGCAATTTCCAGCGACCCATTACTGTGGCTCAGTCAGTTCTAGGAGGGACAGGTATTGCAGCTTATTCTATGGAAGCGAACCAGTGCTCAGTTTGGTGGATTGGACAGTCAAGCGATCTCAGGAGGTCAAACGTGGATTTCACCAAAGTCGCAGCAACGGCGACGCCCGACTGGCCAGTGTTTGAAGAGCTTGGCCCTGATTCTTGCAAACAAACGCGGTCACTTATTGTTCAGAAAGTATCTGGAACTCAGATTGACGTCTTGTATGTAAATGCGAAAGGTGCTGTTGCAGGGTTGTCCTATGAGTGTTAGCAAAGGAGCTTGCCTCTTACACGTCTCGGTATTTTAATTAGTTTATTTCATGTTTTGCACTGTACAGCCCAATCTATTAGACTAAAGTGGTAACTCTACTTCACACGCAGGGGAGAAATAAGTTAATGGACGACAATAATATCTTGCGATGCTATTAGATTATGCTCAAGCTTGCAAAAGTGGGAGGCTCAAGCTTCGACTGTAGGTCAAGTCGGGTCTAAGGTCTAGATTATGCCTGAACTTCACGTGTCTCTTATCTCTTTTTACTGATGTATCAATCAATCAGCTTCATCTTATCTTAGTGCGTCCACCGCTGATAACGAATGGACGAAAGGTCGCTCACGCCATGCAATAGCCCCTACCTACCCTACAACAACGTCTTATGGCTGCGTTTCCACGTGTCTTTTGTCCACCAGAGCCCCTATCCAACTGGCTACTGGACATTTTCTGCTGTCAAAAATGCTACTTTGAGACGATTGAATTTTGACCGCGTAGTTCGTTTAGGAGCAGATCGAGGCCGACCGTGTTTTCAAACTCTATTAACATTAATTCCTGGTATTATGATTTATAAGTAGCTCCAAGTGATAGCGATGTATTACATCCGTGTTTGCTCTGTCTATGCATAGCCATCTAGATACTTCGGTAAATAGGTATAAGTGTTGTATTATCGGGTGATTATGGTCATTGGAATTATTACTATAAAGCTCTGTCTACGATGTCAGCAACCAGTGCGGCTGAACAGACCATGGCATGCTGACATGCTACTTCCTGACTTTCTGACAACAAGATTTATTAACCTGATTCTTCAACAGGCCAGCATCTTTGTGTTTCTCAGAGAGAAGTCAACCGCTCATGTTTCTTCATCTCCGTAAAGTACATCATATTTTTTTCAATTCACCCTTGTCCTTGACATATTTTATATTACCCCGCATCTTGTACGCAACAGCGGCGATTTAGTAGAGATTGAACGAATGGAAAGTCAAAGCAAAGCTGAAGATTCGATCTTCATATACCGCCCTACTGCACATCTTGCCCCCGATGACACACATAGTCAAGCCGTGGACTGGTTTGACCCTGCCACAACCGACGAATGGCTTAACAAGGAGATCGAATCACGAAGGAATTCTCTCGCCTCAACACCCAGACATCTTCAAGAAAGAAGAATGTTTTGTGAGCTTTCGAGGCTCATTTTACAACAATATCTACGTTTTGGAACAGAAAAGTCTTTGAATGATGCAATCGAGTTGGAACGAAAGGCCCTGGAATACATCAGCACTGGCTTTCAACGTGCAAAGTGTCTGCTGGTTCTGGGAGACCTGCTTTGCCTCCGTTTTCGCCGCAAGAAAGCTGTTTGGGACATGGAATATTCCATCAGAGCCGCAAAACAGCATATCTATCCACTTCCTACGCAGGGAGCTCCGTACACTTACGACATGCTCAGCTTTGGTCATGGAGATGAAACCCTTGAACAATCAGATCTGGGTTCGGCCTTTGCCGACATAGACGAAGGCATTGATAAGTCACATACTGCATTTGAGCTCATCCCTGACGACTTTCCCCTTCGGGCCGAATGGTTGGACACCCTTGCTTCAGTTATTCTTCATCGCTATTCTTTGAGCAAAGCACTCGAAGACATTGATAAAGCTGTCGAAATATGCATGATTGCATCTGTGGATGGCAGTTTTGGTCCCTCAGAAACGCTCATAGAGGCACTCCTTATACGGATTGCTGCCAAATGGGATGAGTCTGATATTCTTCAAGTCATAGACCTCTGTGATGAAATGTTGTCGGAGTCTCTGGGCGACAGAAAGAAGATCCTGCAGTCCCGTGCTGAAGCTTTCTACTTCCTCTACTGTTCAACAGGGATGGTGGAACATATCAACGAGAGCGTCAAGGACTCCAAAAGAGCAATAGATTCGGGACGTGGAAGCCTAGAGTCGCTCAGTATCAGGTGTCACAGATTTAGGAGTGGACTGTTGTATACTCGGTATCAGCAGACTGGGGATTTGGCCGATCTTGATGACTCGATGGCCTCAGCAGCGACCGTGGCCAAAATTCTCTTTACTCCGGGCCCCAAGTCAAAAGCTACACTCTTCAGCCTGCTGGCAAGTGATTGGGTCAGTAGAACTGAGGCCACAGCAGACCAAGCACACTTTGCTGAAGCCATCGAGTGGCCTGCATGCATCCAGCTATTTGGTACGAGCCGAATGGATTCTCTTCATGAACTATGTCTACGGCAATATGAAAGATACGAAGTAAAGGGCAGGGGTGGTGATCTTCAGGATGTTGTCAATATTCTGAGACGGATGGTCGAACTGGTGCCTAGTCAAGCGTTGCGGAGCAGTCTAGGTAATCGCGTCATGCAATTATATTCCGAGTTCACCTTTCTGGAGCACCTACTTGTTGAGGCAAAAACCATTTTTCGACAGTTGGTTCAGGAGTCAAAAAGAGATTCAGCAGACCATAGGCGGTATTCTTTACAGCTGGCATACTGCCTTTGCTTCCAGCACGAGCGAACCGGAGGTACTGTTCACCTCACTGAAGCCGTCAACATCGGGACGAGAATTTTCGAGACGGCCAAAGCAGATGAACCAATCTATGCACTAGCGTTGAACACTTTTGGCGAAGTAATTTATCAGCAGTGTCGCGTCAGCAAGACAGTATCCAATATTGATCACATCATCGATCTATTACAAATGATGAGAGATACCACCATGTCGCATGCTCCAACCAAACCTCTAAGCAAATTGGTTGAGTGTCTCCTCTGGAAGTATCGCATAACCGACGAAGCTAAGCATCTAAACTTCGCAGTTGAGCTGGCAAGACTTGCTGAAAGCTCACTCCCAAACAGATACCCTAATCATCATTGTATCGTTCGCCATAGACTTGCAATATCACTGCACGAGCAGTACTCGAGGAAACCAACGCTGTCTGACCTGAATGAAGCTATTGAACTGGAGAGGCAAAATCTACAGCCTGGCCAATTCACTCGTTATCTTTCTCACGCCAATCTGACGTCGCTGCTTTCTGAGCTATACGTCGCGACAGGCGATCGAGAGCACCTCCAGGAGGCGATAGAAATGGGAAAAGAAACGCAAAATATTGATGGCCGCTCCATCCGGTGCTTCAGAGGTGACCGCGTGTATATCCCATATATTCTCGATATCGAGAAAACAACCGAGCTTTCGAATAAACTGTACGAGCACTTGAAGGCCATGTCAAACACCTACCATGTCAGGACGCGCTACATTAGTAGCCTGGCATTGATGCTCATGGGTGGAGATCAGAACGACCTAGCAACACGATATGCAAGAGAAAGTCTGGAGCTAGTTCCAGCAGACAGCCCAGACCTGCCCTGGCACTTGTGTTGCCTCGTGCTCTGCTTGGAAGCTAGCCTAACAACTTCAAATAACGCCTCCGAGCTAGAAGAGATGATCAAGTCAGCGGAGAAAGCCGCGGAGGTCTCGCCAGAGGATCATCCTGGCAGACCATTCTATCTTTCAGTTCTATCTATTGCCCTTCATAGACGATTCATGAAGACAGGGAGGTCCCCTGATCTCAACTTGGCGATCAATTACGGGGTAGAGGCTTACAACCTGACACATGGAGACACACTCCAGGACTATGGTAATCGATACTTGGCCTCGGATCAGCTATCATTCTGTCTACAGCACAAGTACCTCAGAGAGGGCATTTCGAGCGATCTTGAACAGTCTAAAGAACTTCATCAAGAGGCTCGTGACTGTAGACAAAGGCTGAAGAGGAACGAGGCATATTTCAACTGGATTAGAAGTTCTCCTGATGGGGCTTATACTGTTCATCTTGGCACTAACTTAAAAGGGTCCTTGACACTCGCCAACAAAAGACGTGTGTATTCCTTACTCCCAGACAAGCTGGACTGTCACCCTCGACTATTTGCCGTTGCGGAGCAATACTTCCGATACTACGAAGAGGCAGACGATGAGAGATACCTCGCCGGGGCTTTGGGTGCTTCGATCTCGTCGCTCGCTTTCAGTCAAGAGGACCATATCACGCACTCTGCACGACTTCACCTCGTTGGGCGATGTTATGAGGAGTACTACAAGAGATCGATAGCATCTGATTGCGGCGAAGGAGATCAAAAAGACCGCCTTCATCATCTCGATATGGCCATCTCAAAATTCCGAGATCTCATCAGTCACCTTTCTTCGGAAGATCCTCTACGCCCTGATGTTCTTGGCCGCCTTGGCCATTTATACTCGGACAAGCTGTTCTACAATTACAAACTTGATGACTTGAAGATGGCAGTGGAAGTACACCAGGAATGTCTCAACCTCGCACAGGAGAATAGCGCCGAACGTGCAAAATGGCTACGCCATCTTGGGTGCTCTAAGCTTATCTCCTACCACGTCTTCAAGGACGGAAGTGACTTACAAAAATGCATCAATCTGCTTGAACAAGCAAAGGATGAGAATCTACATGACCCGGCCTTCACCAAGGAACTTATCCCCAGCCTAGCCAGTGCCTATCGTTGCAAGTTCATGGTTACAAGAGACATCAAAGACATTGACGCTGCCATTGAGATGTATCTAAACTCCCCTCTCGGTCAGGCTATCACGATTCCATGGCTTGGTAGTGCCTACCTTGCCCGGTTTGAGCTGACAAAGGCGCCGGAGGACATGAAGTTGGCCATGTACAATTTGGAGAAGGCCCTCGAGCTCACTCGCAAGTACATGGAAATCTCAGATGTTGTCCAGGTGCTCAAAAATCTGACAAATTGCTATCTCATGAAATATCATTACGGTGGCAGCCTCCATGACCTCGAGCAAGCCATTTGCTACACACAGGACGGCGTGGATGTTGAGCCACATGAAGCTTCCCAAGTTGTTGATATTGCAGGCCTGTTGGGGCTCTGCCACACGACCAAGTACAATGTTACAAAATGTGAGCATGATCTTCTCAAGGCCATCGATGCAGATGAAAGCGACTTCTGGGTCTTCATGCCAGTTGCGAACATATCAGACAGTTTGGTGCTTGCACAGCGACTGATGGAGTCATACAAAACTCTCGGGAACTGGGAGAAAGGCTTAAAGATTGCTGAATACGCACTCGAGCTTATCCCTGCCTACGCACCTCGTTACCTGCGTTGGTCGGAAGCCCAAGCCCTTCTTTCCAGAATTAGTGGCCTTGCATCTTTCGCCGCTGCCTTTTCGCTAGAAAGCGGGAAAGCTGAGGGGGCTAGTCTAACTCTGCTCGAGAGGGGTCGAGGAGTTGCCGCGGACCTTTTGTATGATCTTCGTCTTGACTTTGACAGTCGGAAGTTTGCAGATCTGGAGCCGGCGTACAAACAGAAGCTTTTGAGTAGTATAGGACGACTTGAGAATCCTGTACAGAAACTCACTCAGCCACCAGGTCTTATTTCCGGTGACCCCAGGTCTGGCATCGCGGAACTTACTAGGAGGCTAGAAGCAAGCAAAACTGTCGACGATTTCATGGAGAGTTTTAACACACGTCTGAAACCAGACAACACCAGCTTCACAGCGTTTACGAGGAATGGTCCTATTGTTATTATTAATGTCAGCTTCCGTTGTGATGCTTTCATTGTTAAACACATAGTTGAGGCTATGCCCTTGCCTAAGCTGTCCGAGGAACAAATAGAACGGAGGCTCCGCGATGGAAACTTGGGAAGCCCAAACACTTTGGAATGGCTCTGGGATACTATCGCGGGGCCTATTCTTGAATACCTTGGTTGCACGAAGATGCCTTCTGGTGAATGGCCACAGATATGCTGGATCGCTACGGGAGCATTGAGTCGCTTTCCGTTGCACGCAGCTGGCTATCACAAAGATGAAACTGGACGTACCGTCATAGACAGAGTCATGTCGTCCTACAGCTCATCGCTGAACGCTATTTTAGAAGGGCCAGTGAAGAATGAACGAAACTCCTCGACCAAGGCGGTTTTAGTTGCCATGCAGACAACGCCAGGGAGTCCCAGCCTTCCGTATGCTCCCAAAGAGCTATCGATTGTTCAAGAGGTATGTCAGTCAATGGGGCTCTGTACTGTGGAGCCAAAAAGACGAACCCAAGAAGTACTCGCGCAGTTGAAGGACTGTGACATTTTTCACTTTGCCGGTCACGGCGAGACGGATGAGACAAACCCCCTGAATAGTCAATTACGTCTTGAAGACTGGCAGACCCAGTCTTTGGCAGTGTCTGATCTGTTGAATCTCAAGCTGCGCGATAATCCACCATTCCTGGCATATCTTTCAGCTTGTGGAACGAGCCAGATTAAAGATAAACGCCTGTTAGATGAGAGTCTGCACTTGATTAGTGCATGCCAGTTGGCTGGCTTTAGGCATGTGGTAGGAACACTCTGGGAAGTCGGTGACGAGGCTTGCGTTGATGTTGCGGAGACAGTCTACCAGGAGCTGAGAGAGTCTGGCATGGATGATCAATCTGTGTGCCGGGGGTTGCATAAAGCTGTTCGGAAGATTCGTGATACATGGGTGACAGAAGCGCGTATGCGAATGGTCAAAAGGGGTCTTGATACCTCGATTGTAAAGGTCATGGATCACAAGAGCGGCTTTGAAGACGGGTTAAGCGACGTGCGATCAGCAAGGGATATTGTACCGCTGGACGAGGACGAGAATGAAAGGCCTGCTCCTTGGGTCGCTTATGTGTATCATGGAAGTAGATAGTGGATTACTTGGTATATAGACTGTTGGTAGAGGTATTTATATGTCTTATCGAGATAGAAATACTGTATGTCAATTACAGTCTCGGAATCAAAATACTTGTCCATCTGAGCCAAAAAAAGCCCAAGGACTCACCCATGCTGCAAGCCCCAAGGGACATGCATTCCCAGCGCGACCAATTGGGGTCGAAGCGGCTGCAAGGGGTCGCAGATCACAAGCGACAATGTTTCTCAAGGGGTAAATTGTACTGTTTCAGGCGAATACTAGTGGCGTAAAACCGCATTTTTTATGTTCCAGTCATCCAGTACAATTATCAATCTAAAGACACAGTTTTCTTTCGCAGAGCAAACAATTAGCATATTACTCTAGTGGCGTTGGTGGCTGGAAATAATGGTTCAGCCCTGCTTATCCCCATTCCAATACTTGGCTCTAAAAAGAAGGTTGTTTCATCCCTTGCGTTCAATCATTCGGCTATTTGAAGCCATGGCTTCCTCCACATAATACTGGGACCTGTCCGTCTCTTTCCCTTGTAACAATCTAGTATTCGTCACAATGGCTGTGTCAACTTCTGGTCAAGCATACAAGTTATGGTTCCTGGCGACAGGTATTGTTTTTCTGTTTTTTCTTCTTTTTGCCTTTTACACCGATTCTATAAAGTCGCCTTTGGAGTACGCCCATTCCAAGGCAGCGGAGTTTTGTAGCGAGTGAGTACCAAGTTATACACATGGCCCTGGACGTTATTGACCACTCGAGACGAACAGGTCCGCGGCGTCACAAACTACAACCGAGCCCGATCCCACAGAGGGAAAGTTCGGCAACTGCCAAGACCCCTATCGACGCCCAGGCTTTCTCGTCGTCCCAGCAGAGGAAGAAAGATACCGAGAGACCCAATGGATGCCATTTACTAGCAAGTTTCTCAACTCTGAGGATCCAGAAACTGCAGCGTATCCTCCCCACCCAGGCGAGCTCATCTTCAACGATACAGACGTCCCACGAACATTTCTTAAAGGATCGGACATACCCATACAATGGATGAAGATAGCAACAAGAGAGAACCGGCGTCGGCAGGAAGCGATGAAGCATATCAAGAACGCAACCGCAGAAGACTATGTCAGGATGAGAAACGATGGTGACCTCGGATGGCTCTGGGGTCGCCGAGTTGTGTCATTCGGCGACTCTGTTGACAGGCGAGCAGCCAGGTATGCCTGTCATGAGTTCGGCAGCGACATGGTCTTCCCCAAACTTCACCCGATAGAGCAGTGGCCCATGGGTATCTGCGAGATCCCGGCGCTCAACCTGACCTTCACTGCCTTTCATTCCGCAGGTGGCTTTACCTACAGGCCCGACTGGTTCTGGTACAAGCAGATGCGAATCATCCCCTTTGAGCGACGCTGGGAAGAGCTCTGGCAACCACATCAACGAGATATCCAGGGACCCAATGGCAGACCTGACCTGATTCTGTGGCAGAACGGCCTCTGGGATCAACGAGGATTCCAAGTCGGCGGGCAAAAGCTCCACGAAGGACAGAACGTCACCCTGAATGGAAGACACAGAAAGCTAGTCTGGGACGAACTGCACTTCTTCCTGGCTCGCACGAAGAAGTATGCCGAGATGATCATCAGAGAGTTTCCGGACACGCCCATGATGTTCAGAAGTTTAACGTATCACCAAAAGACTGGATCAGGAGATATCATGGTAATTGAGATGGATCGCCTTGGACGGGCTTTGGCAGAGCAGTATGGACATGAGGTGTTTGAATGGGGTCGTATTATTAGTCTAATGGGGCATTGGTATGAGGATGGTACACATCCTGGTGAGGGGGCTTTGAGTTGGTTATGGGGAAATATGATTCTTGAGTATCTTGCAAGATCAGCGGGATCGGGGCTTGGGGGCGATCATAGATTTCCGTATTTCGAGGGATGGGATAGGTGCCACGATGAACTCGTTGGGTGGGGAGGGCGATAGAAGAGGTTAGTCATTTAATTAAGCAGCGACTTCTTCTCCACCTAAGCTAAGCAGGTGACCCGTGTTATTAGCTAGGTAATTATACTGAGGATACTTATGTACCTATATTACTATGGGGTGGGGATGGCTTCCCCGCGTTGTCCCACCCTTAGCGCAGCCCGGGAGACTAAGAACGAGATCCGAACTCCACTGATCTGATCGGATACCCCAGAACTATTAATACATCCTGGATACCTTTACCATCACGATGATTCTAATCTGGTTTTCACAACCTGTACATGCTGAAGCCAATCTCTGGCATTATTTCAAGTTCAAGCCATGCCAGAACAAAATCACAAGAACAACGACGAGGAGCCTAATGCGGTTGAGGTTGAACTACTCACCGTGGACGAGGCTGACAACTACCAAGGTCTGACCTTGAAATGTGTCCTTGTTTACTTGGTACGAGACCTATAGACGACTCCATCGAATGGCTAATCTAACAGCCTAGTCCATACTCAGTGGTTGCTTTGCACAAGTCCTTGCAATTGTTGCAACTGGCGCAGTGAGTGTTTTGTTCGAATGGGCAGTCTTGTATTGTACTGATGACGATATAAGTTTGCCAGAAACATGGCCAGCGCTTTGGGCGGACGTGACAAGTATATTTGGATCCCTCAAGGCCTGATCATCTGCAGCACGTTCACGGCAGCCCCCATCGCGCAGTCGTCAGATTTCTGGGGCCGCAGATCACTGATCCTGATTTGCACCGCTCTCTGCATCACTGGCTCTGTAATCATCAGCAGAGCGTCTTCCATGACCATGGCCATTGCTGGATCGTTAGTGGTCGGTGTTGGGTCAGGGACAACTTCACTGTTATATGCAGTTGCATCTGAGATCATGCCACGACAGTATCGACCAGTTGCCCAAGCTGGGGTCAATATTGCCAACTCACTTGGTGGGATATTTACGTTACTACTTGGCTTCGGACTTGTCAGGAAAGACGACGAAAACTTTCGAGTTGTTTGGTATGTTGGCACGGGGCTTTTTATCCTCAACTTTGCGGCCATCTTCTTCCTCTTCAAACCACCCAAACGACGCCTTGAGTCATCCCTGACCTGGAAGGACAAGGTCAAGGCTCTCGATTTGATAGGGTACATTACTTTTTCCATTGGAATGATAATGTTCAGTGTGGGATTGACATGGGCCAACAACCCGTATTCTTGGCAAAGTGCCCCGGTGCTCAGCACATTTGTTATTGGCGTGGTCTTTATCATCCTCACAGTGCTTTGGGAAGTTAAGAAGAAGGATGGATTTTGCCATCATGCTCTATTCCAGACAAGCCGCAACTTTGCACTTGCCCTGGTCTTTATTTTCATCGAAGGATTCGCATTCTATGCGGCAAACAACTTTCTTCCTCTGGCGTACTCGATTTATTTCGAGAGTGACCTTCTTAAGGTTGGCGCCATGATGTCCCTTATTTTCATTGGAGGAGCAATCTCGTCCGTGATTGGCGGTCTCTACTCCACCAAGGCGAGGAGAGTCCGACCACCTTTGACGGCCGGGATGGCACTCTTTGTCATCTATTTTGGTGAGTCTTGTAACATCTATGATCAGTCGCCTTTTGCTAATTGCAGTCTACGTCAAGCATGTATGGCTACTCTCAAGCCCAGTCAGCTAGCTGCGATGTGGGGTTATACTGTCTTGGCGGGCTTTGGCCTTGGGTTCGGTCTTGTCATCGCCGTCACGACTGGACAGATAAGCACTCCGCCTGGCTTGATTGCCACAACCAGCGGCCTGATCTTGACTTCAAGATCTTTAGGGGGTTCAGTGGCTCTCCCTGTTTATACTGCTATTCTCAACTCCTTATTGTCTGAACATCTTGGTCAAAAGATAGCCGAAAGGGTTGTTCCTCTCGGGCTCTCTGCCAAGAACTTACCAGCCTTTGTCAGTGCTCTTGCTAATAATGACCAACGAGCTCTGGCAGCCATTCCAGGTGTCACTCCCGACGTAATCTCGGCGGGAATTGTTGGGCTGAGGTCAGCTTATCACATAGCCTTCCGCGGCACCTGGAGTGCAGCAGCAGCAGTCTCGGCGGTTGGTTTAATACTTGCGCTTTTTGTCCGCGATCCTCGCGACAGCTTTAACATGCACGTGGATGCGCCGGTCGAGCATGATATTGCCAGAGGGCTTGATCAATGCTTGGAAGGTGGGAGCAAAAACGTGAATGGGACAGAACATATTGAGTCAAGCAGTGTCAACGAAAAACCTTGAGACAACGCTTGAGCTGGGAGTTTGGCTCAGCTAAGTAGGTTTGTTGTTTTGGCAGATCACGTTTGAAAGGAAAGATGCCAATAGTCCTTCCGGGTTGCTTAGAACCAGGGGGACCGCAAGTATGGAGGCGAATCTCTGTGCCAATTCAGTTGTCTCCATTTATGAACGTTCAAATGTTACTCGCAATCCTTGTCTAGGCTTTAATTTAGTAGTAATGCGGCAGTATCTTATGGCCAGGAACCTCTTCAATCCTCCGATCCGTAAAAAGGTATGTTACCAGTGCGCTTAAGGTGGAGGGAAGGGACGTTGGAAATCAGCTCAGGCTTATGCAATGGCCGGCAAGCTTGTTCAGTGGTACTTCACCTTTGAAGTGAACTCTCGGCAGCCACAATGAAGTATCAAACCGGCAACAGGTGATATCAGTTACAGCTACACATTGACTAGAACATCGTTACGCACTTGTATGAGAATCCTTGTGTAAGTTAAGCAGAAAATAAACATGTTAGTTTAGCGTTTACAATTCAATTTTCAACATGCTCTTCTCTCCTTAACCTTGATCAAACACAGCTCTCAATCTGTCCTCCCTCGAGCCAACTCTTGGCCAACCAGTACAGCTCGTCATGATTTTCGAGGTTAACCGTCCCGATATGCCGCCTATGTCCAGGCATGTCCAGCAACACCTTAACACCCATAGTAGCTTCTTGCCAGTATGCAAGATACTTGTAGCCTGGTGGATATGTAGCCAACTTATCCTCATTGACAGTAACCTGAAGGGCCTTTGTTGGGTTACAAAGGATCATCTTATCTTTCTCATACCAATGCCTAACCAAGCGCGCCCCCCATTTGCCTTGGACTCTTTCGAAATAGAAGCAAAAGCGGCAGTCTGCTTCAACATCAAACTCCACGCCTTCTGCTTGGAAGCGCTGTGTAATAGTAGCCTTTAGCTTTGTGACTGCACGGGTTCCTTCAACATTGATATCTGTGCTTGAACCGTGGCACCGATGCATGATAAAAGCACCCTTATCCATGCCAGCTTTAGAGGCAGCGATAAAGTCCTTGTAGGTAACACGACCTGACCAGGTAGTATATACATGGGCTCCGGGATGGAAGATGGACTCGAAATTATCCCATTCACAAGAATCTCTAATGGCGGAAGGTTAATTTCTTTGCTCCAAATGCCATGCAAGGGCCGTATTACCTGTATGAAGGCCAGCCCTCAGCTAGTTCTCGAAGTTTAAGCCTTTCAAGTACCAGGTGGTCTGGTCCATTGTTCCGAATTGCGGCATCGGGCCTTGATCCTGCTGGCAAGCTATGCAGATCAACCATATTGCTTGGCTAGAATAGTTTTACAAGTCGTAGACAGTGGCGAGTGCTGATAAGAACTGCATCTTCACTGACGAGGCAATTGTCTAATATAACTAGCTGAGTTATCTTTTGTGTTGGCAGATTCAGCAATAGATTTTCATCGACCCGAATGGACCATCGGTTCAGTTCTTTCCCGCTCGCCACCGGCCTGCAGCTGTGAGATCACCGGTGGAGCAGATTGAGTAACTGGGATGGAACTTGTGCCTTGGGATAGCCACCGATTAATTGCCACTCCACTCAAGGAGATGGCGGGTGGTACCGTCGATGGGGACACCGGTTTGTCAAAATTAGGACGGGACAGTCTCGGCCCGTTACCAATTATAGGTCTCCGAAAGCCAATAGTCTGAGCTGAGCATTCCCCAGGAGCTTCAGCTGGGCGAACACATGGCGACTTATTCAAATCGTGGACTCAAAACTGCAGGGCCATGGAGTGATAAGTGAAGGTACATATGGTTGATGAAATCAACCAGGAAGTAATCATTAGTCGCTGTACGCGGTATTATCAAATTATCAACGCACTGTGTTACTACAAAACCAGATAATAATTGAGATGTCATAGAAATAGAAGTTTGAATTGCACAGAATAGTACGCAATATCAACGTCCTATCCGCGATTTAAGTATAAACGTTTCGAAAATCAGACGGGTAACACAAGTGTTGCTAGCACTTGTGCCATTGAGACCGGGAGACGGAGAAATGATGAACCCAATCGACGTATCATTGAAGTGGTTGAGACATGCTCTTTTGACTATGTAACCCCATGAAACTGTATTCTAACCTGCGCGACAATGGACCACTATGAGGGGTTGAAGATCTTGACCGGTCCAGATTGGGCGGCAGTGATGTAATAAATCTTTCCTTCAGGAGTAAGCTCGTAATGAATCAAGAAATGGGCCTCGTAGCCTCCCCCTTTCCGTACGCCTGATCCAAAATGGAGGATGTCCTATCGATTAAGATTAGCCATGGCTCACATCCGAAGGGCCTTGCCATACCTCTATGTTCGTAAGAGCGGTGAATTTGATGTCTGATTTCAGTGCGACGCCGGTTTTGTCGAGAACTATGGACTTGACCTTGACATCCTCGTTCAATTGATTGCGCGCGTTGCGAAAAAAGCTCACCGCCTCATCCTTGCCCTGAAGAGTTTGTTTGCCGTCGAGTACAATGGTTACGTCTGATGTATAATACCGTGGGAAAGTGTCAAAGTCGTTGGTGTTGAATGCATTGAGATAATACTTGAAGTCATCGTGGGAGCGAATGACATCTCTCGATGCCTCTTTCTCAAGATAAGCATCTTCAGTCAGTTGGATGATATGACCGTCCTTGTCCAGAGTGTACCAGACAAACATCTTGACAAGAGGGCCGTTTCCGGGCCACACTGGCCCCCATCTGTCGGCAAGGTTGTCCGTTTCAAAGCCGTTGATGCCTCGGAATTGGGTGTGCATCTCCGTGACAACGATATCCTGGCCGAATACCACCCTTTTCAATTCGAGGGTCTCACGCATACCAGCATGGATTTGGTCCACCCACGACAGAAACTCATCAATAGTCCTGTCGGGGAAACCACTAAATCTGAACTAATGGGAGGAGAGTGAGGAAAGAACTTGGGCAGACCTGAGAACATGCACTTACCACTGCATCCTTGGAGTAGTAAGCGGTATATTGAGCTTTGTCGTTGGCGTTGAAGTGATAGACATAGTCGTCCAAGTCGGCTCGATTTCGTATCGACTTTGTTCCAATACGGAGATCCGGAGAAGAAGACATTTTTTTTGAGTGTTTGCTAAAAGTATGTAGATTTGTCACAACAGATGCTCAAACCTTGAACCTCTGTCGCCCTTTTCTAGCAACCTTTAGTTACCCCAGATTTACCCCAGACGGCAGCTGAGTTAACTGGATCACCAAAATTGTCCACTACAGCCAATAAGGGTTATGTTTACAGGTGGTAACCAGTGGGATTCAAACTTGTCAGCGGGGTTAATGGGTTCGTCGATGGATGGGTGGGTGGGTAATAGGGTGGAACACCGCTTTCCTCAGCTCAAGTACTCGAGGCCCCTTCATCGGCTGGTATAGCTTGTGACAAATATGGATAAACGGCTGGCTTGGTGATTGCCACCTCCCCACGCTAATACCGTCATCTGACCTTATTCGTGTGGAGCCGTTGATTCTATCTAAAGGCTAGATGCTTTCCCCACAACCTGGACTTGGTACTAGAAGCACAATAATCAAGGTAGATCTCTCAAATGGTAAGAATGTGACATCTTTGGCAGGATTGGTAAGATATGAATGTACGCTGTGGAGGGGCATAGCCTTGCCCTCTCTAAATCATAAACTTTGAACGATAAGCAAGGAACCGATTAAACGAACCGCCACAATGGCTTCTTATAGTAGATCAAGTGAACAACGGATCTGGTGAAGTAAATCTACGAACAGAGTTGGAATCTCATCTCTGACAGTCTCTCATCTTCAATAGGTGATAATAAACTTAGATGTCTATGCTAGGCCAACGGGCATGATAGAATGCAACGCCAGATGAGGATTACAGTGTACAATTCAGCTTACGAGATATGTGTTTTCATTTGGAAGTTACTGAACCTGATTTCAGATGCAGTAACAAAAGGTACATGACAATCAGCATTTGGAGGATTTTAAAGAGTTTTTGCTGTTAAGTTGAAGCCATAATAGAGGACTAGAGCCTTTTTATCACTTATGGAATATATTTAGAGTTCTCTTATATATATTAGACCTAATTAGATAATAAGCTAAAAAGCTTATCTTAGGTTATTATATAAGTAGTTAATATATTCCCTAAAGTATATTTTTAAGAGTATTATTTTAAGTTAATAGACCTAACAGCTGATGCTTGCACCGCGCGCCTTACCTCGACAATGAGCATGAGACGTTGGGACAAGAGTGATGTAAACACGGTTCTTTAGCAAATATATTTGACATGAACAATCTTGAAAACATGACGGCTCCTCCTAAGACTACTGTCGAATGAAAGAATAATAACAGCCATTGGGTGAGCGCCAAGGCATAGTGTATCAGGCCACTGCCTCTTGGTCTCGCAACTTGAATCGGCCGTTGTAATGAGGATACACGAACCATGCACAGTAAGTGTCCAATGGTTTGTCCGCATCCTCAATAACAAGATCGAACTTGCGGACAATTTGAGGCACCATCTTGGTCAACTCCAGCAGACTGATGTTCCTGCCAATGCAAGTCCGGGCACCACCTCCAAACTATAACGAGAATTAGTCTCCTGGGCCATTCTGACAAAGAGGAATGTACGTACTGCAAACATCATAGAATCCATAATGCTCGTCTTCTCGTCACCCAGCCAGCGCTCTGGCCGGAAGACCTCAGGGTCTGGGCCGTAGATTTCCTTGTCATAATGCAAAACCCATGCGTTAACGCCGACCTCAGTCTGGGAGATTAGTTAGTAAAAAACCTATGATAAGCTCGTAATTACCTACTCCTTCAGGGAAGTAAATTCCCGATAGTTCCATACCACCACGAGGCACGATGCGAGGTAAAATCGTTCCCACGGCTGGGTGGACACGCAGCGTCTCCTTGATGACAGCTTGCAGATACGTCATGTCTTGTGCTTCCTGGAAGGTAATAGGGTCGGAGAGACTGCCTTCGGCTACTTTCTGGTCTATCTCTTGTCGCAGCTTTTTCAGTTTATCTGGGTTCTGGAAGAGGTAGTAGAGAGCGGAACTCAGTGTCACGGCAGTGGTATCAGAACCGGCTCCGATGTTGCTGCCGCATGCGTCAAGAAGATTGGGCGTTTTAAGACGACCTTCAGCCTCCCCTTCTAGCAGCTTCTTCAAGAATGTGTCATACTTGGTGTTACCCTTGACTGTGGATTTGGCGTTTGCTTTCCGGGTATCGTCGATCTGCTTGAGGGCATAGCTGACAAGCGTTGAGGTGTTCGACTTGGTACCCAACGCAGTAGCGATGCCAATGAGCCATGGGACGAGGTTGGGAACGATGCCCCAGAATGCCAAAAAGTCATTGGCCTCTCGAATACCCTTGATCATTCCGGTGGTATCTCCTTCGTTCTCCATCATGTTAAAACTCTTATTGAACTAAATCGCATTGGTTAGTCAATCCCTATGATGGTAATAATGGGGGGCACTTACGGTAATGGCGCCAATAACATCAAAGGCGTAGTATTGCATCCAATGAGGAATGTCAACCAGACAGCCTTCTTTGGCAAACTCGTGTAGCTTACGGATGCACACATGGGTCATCTCGTCTACAGCAGGCTCATATGATACCATAGATGACATAGTGTACATCGGCGAGATCTTTCTTCGCCTCTCCTTGTGTAGGCCATTGTTTTGGATGGCAAATATATTTTGCTCGTCGACGACCGGGCTGAGCAACGGACTGTAGTAGGTTGTCTTGACGTACTTGCCTCCCAATTCGTAGATCTTTTTGACGTCTTTGGGCCGACTGACACTGTACCGGTTTGGTCCTACTCGTACAACTGGGCCTGGGCATCTCAGCGTTAGAAAAGATGTCGGGAAGTGCTCAGATAAAAGACCAACCATATTTTTTGTGTAAACGGATGAATTCCAAATTTGAGTTGCCTTGCTTAACCACCCGATACTCCCACCAACGTGTGACACGGGCCAGAAACGGACCGGGAATGTTTCTCAGAGGTGAGAAGAGGAGGCTGTAAAGTAGTGCGACGAAGTAGTAAGAGATGGCAAGACCGAAAAAGGCCAACGGCAAGCCAACAGCGACGGCTTTGGCATTGACATGCTGTAGCCTTGACAAGATGGCCTGCACCATCGGATTACTCTCAGGATCTCGCAAGAATGCCATGATTGCTGTCTGAGAACACAAAAATAATATTCGATTGGGGTGTAGCGTATTCCAAGTTGGTGGAGCATCCGGTAGGTTTTAACAGAGGCAGTCAAAAAGATTCCTGATATGGCTGAGCGAGATCAAGTATGCGGGGCACCAAGGGAGGTTCAATCTCGGTGGGATTATGAATGCCGGTGGGGTTGCTCGTGACCACGTAGAAGTTGTTACGAGGTATTCCATCAATTGTCTCACTTACGAGCAAGCCCTTCAACTAGCAATTGCCGCTGTAGTGATCCCCACCGGTATAGGCGTGCTGTCTGCTTCTGGAAAATTCATGCCCATCCCCACCGAAAATGAATTTCCTAATGTTTATCCAAATATTATCTCCGTCCTAGCCTCCCACAGATGAAGGTGTCCTAAAAGTGTCTGATATCCTACTTGCTAAGAATCCTTGCCACCTATCTGCTCTTCTGCAAAACATCAAACCAACCCAAACATACACCGCAGCATAATATGGGCGACTACACTGCAGAGGTGGAACAGATTTACGCTGGCCTAGCTGACCAGCCTCCTCACACCAAGGAGCAGATAGTCATGGCCAAGAAGATCATTGAACTTCACCTGGCAACCTTCAAATACTATGACTACAAGAGAACATTCGAGCTCGTGGATGAGAACTATAAACAACATAGCCAGATGGTCGCCGACGGCCGCGACTCAATCATTGAAGCATCCAAGGTCCTCAAGTCAATCGCCGCACAGCATTGGACGGGCCCAGGAGAACCGCACTTCAACATGATGTTCAAGAGGGTACTGGTAGATGGAGACTATATTGTGGCGCAGATCTTTTCTGAGCGCTGGCCTGGAGACGCGGGCGAGCATGTTTTTGACCTTTATCGATGGAAAAATGGCAAGGTTGTAGAGCATTGGGATGTTATACAGCAGGTTCATCCCGAAAACATCAAGCATGGTAACTCTGTTGCTTAGCTTCAGGGATCCGGACACTAAGAGCTTGTCGAAGCCCAAGGGTTTTTGCCTGTATGTAGACGTCAGAAAAACGTTATATCAAGGTATGCAGGCATTCAGTACCTGTTTTGTATTGGACATTGTAAATTTACCATGCGGTCCCTACCCTTTAGCTACATATGAATTGTTAGAGGATATGTATTTACTACCTGGGTTTCTTGACCCCAACCTTCTTCCTTCAACCTACTTCAAAGGCGACTCTTTCGTCGACCCCTGCAGGATACCATGCTTCAATCATCCATCGCGCAGTAAGTCATCCGACCCGACTTCTGGCCGCAACCGCTAACAGCATCACAGCTGCACCGTCACGATGACTCCTATCCGAAGAAGCTGCAGCCACCCAGGCCTATACTTTTTATTATAATTATAATATTATAAATAACTTTCTTTTAAATATTGATAAATTATAATTATTATAATAAGTTAATTTTAGTATATTTAATTAATAATAACTTATTAAAAGGAAAGCCTAAAATAAAACTATAATTAAATTTATTTAAGCTTAAAAGAAAGTATTAATAGGTCTTAGGAATTAATTAAAAAGGCAAAGAGAGATATTTAAGTATAAGTAAGCCTTTATTAATAGTATTATATTAGCTAGTAGTAATATATATTAAATATAATTTTTGAAGTTAAAATATACTACTAAAGCAGTTAAATTAATAATATAAATATTTTATATATAAAAAAAGGGTAATTATAAGGTTAAAAAAAAAAGGAAAAAAAGATAAAAAAGGGAAAATTAAGAAAAAAGGTTTTTATATTTAGGAAAAAGCTTTAAAAGTTAATAAACTAAAACTAGCTTAATAAATTAAGAATAAATTAAATTATATTATAATATTATATTAATATAGTATAATAATATAGAGGTTTATTTAATATATAAAACTCTACTCTATATAGTATTTATAGACTTTCTTTAATAAAACCCTAAGGAATTTAATTATAGTTTTTATATTAAAGCTATAAAGGATTTATATAGCTAAATATATTATATTAAAACTCTAGCTATATTAGCTTTAGTTTTACTTTTATATAGACTTTTTAAAAAGTAGTATTTAGGGTAAATAGTGGGATGTACTGCTTGCTTGTTTATGCCGCTTACTTATTATATATATATTATAATATTATTAGCTAATTCAATAATAGCAACTAGATATTATGTTAAAAAATTAACAAAGGGCAGGTTATTATAATTAGGTACTGTAACATTATTATAAAGCTTCTATAAGCAGCTATATGCACTACTGTCATTGCTATAAAAGCTGGTATTAGCTAACTTTTTGACCGAGGGGTAGTGGTTAGGTGCAACCGTTACACAGGTGCGCTTGGGTACTTCTATCCCTGCAGTAGTGGCGGCGCTACGTAGGGAGGGCGGCATCTGAGCCGTCCGCCTGAGTCCTGTTCAAACGGGGCTGTTCACAATGGGTGGGCAGTTTTTAACCTTGTTCTTTTCTCGGAAGCAAAAACTAAAATCGTCCATGGATCGACCACCTGCCACTGTTCCCAGTTATCGATATTTTTCCATTTCGCATACGTTGACGGCCTCTCTATGTTCCGACTTGGTTCACCGTAAGCTCCTATAAGCAGCTGTAAACACCCCTGTAACGGCTACAATTGTGATTATTAGCCCACTCTTTTGCCCTGTAGCGTAGTGGTTAGGTGCAACCGTTACATTCTGGGTACGTGGGATAGGCCCTGGCCTTATTATTTTGAGGCTGCATTCACATTCATGCGCCACAACTGATGGCCTCAGCCAATGCCCCGTCGGTTTACATACGTCGCATGTTATCTCGACAGGTGGGGAGAACCCAGCCGGCTCCGCGGTAGGGTGATTCTTCAAAAGACAACATTAATCGGATGACTTCCCTCCAATTAGAAATGAATTATGCCAGGAACCATATTTCTCTCATGTTACACAGACCAATTAATTGGCTTGAAGAACTCCCTGGCTCATGGATCGTTCTAGCTCACGAGGAAGCGTGGCCCGTGAATTCCTTATCAGTTGTCCGTCCTTACACAGTGCAAGGACTGATTGCCTTGATGCCGTTGCAAATCTTTGCTTATTCGCCAAAATTCTGATTCACGCCATCCTCTTCCCTCTTCCCTCTTCAGGCTAACAGACTCAAAAATTGAGATTCTTTACACTTGGCAAGTCTGTGCGAAGAGAAGGATTACTGGTAGGATGCACACGTCGAGCCCTGATTTGTTCAACATAAGGTTTTGACTACTTGATGGTGTCCGCGTTAGCACCCGCCTGTTTGGTTAAACCGGCACGTATTATCCGGTCTTTCGATCTCCTGCTACGCATGCTGGCCGCAGAAAGAAACGATCCGACACCATTTGAGCCTGCTAGGGTCACATACATCGATGGTCTCGTCCAGACTGGGCTAATGTAGGCTCAGCTTGGCTGCAGCATTACTCTTTCGTCCATTTCTGGACCATAGGGCGTAGCCGCTCGCATGTTTCACTCCAAACGGAAATAGATCGTCACTGTCGTCGAGTTTATGGCAGAAGCAGCAGCTTTACGCGTATCACACGAACGCTTCCATATAGGCTGCTGATGTAAGTATTTCTAAACAACTCAAGGGGTCAAATAAGTAACCTATAAACAATCATGGCAACTCTGTAGTGCGCTGATATTCTGGTAATATAAGGCCGACTTGTCATTGTTTATAGTAACAAGAAATGCAATTTCACTCGCCTTCACTATCATTATCTTCGCCTCTTTTCTCGAAAATATACATCAGAAATAAACCATCGCTAAAATCTCTCAGTTGTCAGTTTTCCCCTCTCCTTATTTTTCTCGTCCCTCGGTTGGCGCTTCACGTTGTACTTCTAGGATAGAAGCCTGGAGGTTGGTGGATTAAGTGATAAGCACGCACGCACATATACTCACACGTGCATGGGTCCGGAACGGGAAGCAGAGTAGGGGAAAAATATTCTGAGAAGATGAATGGCGGACTATCAGTTGGGATAGTAAATCGAAGCCCCTGACTAATCGTTGGATGCAGAAATGGTCGAGTTCTCAAACCCCATGAGCTTGGGCCAACTGACAGTTTGAGCTTCCCGCTTCGTGTGGTTGCATTGCAGTTTTAAGACTGCGCTCGAGCTACACAAAGATAACAAGAAAAATGGGGCGCATGACGGCATTTGCCGACTGGGCGATTTAGGCATTCAGAGGGTCGTATTTCGTAAAAGCCACTAGACCACACGGCCAAAAGTGAAAGGTCCCTACGCAAGGGGCCGTGCCTATCAGGGCTCTTAACATCTTACCAAACCGAATTGCTGGTTCTGCTCGATTATAACTGACATCGGTTCGTATCTCCACCATAATCCTCCACTTTAGTCTCCTGCAGTGCCGACTCGCAATACAAGGCGCCGAAGCTTCGAACGCGGAGGAAGAGAGCAAGTTGAGTTAATTCCGTCCATCTCATCCCATTCTAAACTATAACGTCTGAAGCCGCCTATACAGAGACCTTGATGTGTCCTTCATTACATCAGCATAATGAATTGTAGCTATGTGGACTCTGGGCGTTGTAGTACAGCAGTATACCTGTCCAAGGATAAATCCACACTAAAACGAAAAACGATCTTGGGGACCGTGCGGACCATGCGGACCATGCGGACCATCCCCAAGCGCCGACCCACAGTGAATCAAATAACGGTTGCTCTAGCCCCTCCTTAATGGCGGCCTATACCAACATGGAGGTACGCAGATCATGCCATCTTAGTACTGCAGAAGCAAGTCTTCGGCAAATAAAGACAATAAGGCTTTATCAACATTTCAAATGAGCGGTGTGCTTCTAGACCACGTCTCGGGTCAGTAATTCTTGAGTACGCGGAAGTATATGTGAGTGGTTGGGATTGGGCCACCATGACTGCAAGGCTTGACTGATTTATGTGAGGCTTGAAACATCCAGCCTAAACGTGCAAACTATGACGAATATAAGGGATTCCGGGGAGGCGGCTTCGACGTTAATGTCCGCAAGCAGAACTCCAGATTCTGGACCTAACCCCCTAGGGAAGCAAAAGGTTAGACCACATCTGCTTTTGAGACAGGAGGGTTGGTTGTGATGTATCAGCCCCTTTAAGTGGGAGCCCCCTCTCTATGGCTTACTCTTCAAGAGGGGTTCTTCTTGATATACATCAGAAACATATATATCAGCCCCGTGTACGTGCAAATAACTCATCAAATTAGTTTGTCTTAGAAGACCTTAATTGTCCTCTTTCTACTTGCCACTTAATTGCACTTTAATATTCTTCGTCCTCTTAATATGACCAGCATCACCAAGCACCTAAACAGGTTATTAAGCCTCAAGTGGGTTCGCAAGTACCTCCACAAGGGCAGCACTACAAGCCTACATACAGAGGATAGCTCGCAGAAGTACCCCTGCCAATGCTCTGAATATAAGGTCATCGGATCAGTTAGTTCTAACAGATCTTCACCTGGGACTGTTAACGACCAAACCGAACCTGTGAGCTCCTATGAGGAGACCTATCAGTACCACCAACCCTCCGATACAATCTGGGAAAACCCCATAGCTGGCCCTGAGGAGACCAACAAAGGCATCAATCCCCGCCTCCAAAAGCAACACCCTGCCTTTCTATCCCCTGCCCAACTTAAATTGCTGGAACCACCATTACCACCACCCCAGAATAAGCCGCTTCCTAAAATCCCAACACAAGGTCGACCCCGTAATATGCCAGACAGGGTTGGTCAAAAGGTACAAGATCCTGGACCTCCTCCTCAGAACTTGTCAAATACTATAAGAAAAACTACAACAACCTACTCCCCCTTCCCAAAGCTTGCTATAATACCTCCTCCAAGGAGTTCATCACTTCAACATTTATTACAGCCGTATGAGAAAACCTACAGATCACAGAGATTACCTTACGCCAATACCACTGTCAACAAGCAACTTCATTGTCATGCCGCTGAACTCTATCAAGGCACCTCTATGGAGAGGGAGAATACTGTCAACAAGCTCCGCGATGTACCTATTGAAGAGCTCTTGCCACGGGTCACCAGGAGCCCTTCACTTCAGAAAAGGGTTATAAGGTCTGAAATTGCACCTTGTGAAGGGCGAGTCTCTATTGCCTTGAGAAGTAGTAGATCAGTAAACTACCTTTCTATGCATAAATCCGAACCTTGTCCCAGGTTTACCAAGAAATCGGTGCCGAATCTTCGGAGAGCAGCCAAATATGACTCTCTGTAGCTTCACCAATATCCACAGGACCCTGGGTCTCAGACTCGCGCAGCCTTATTAGGTTGATACTCCTATGCGATCTGACTGTGACGCCGATGAGGAGGATAAACATAGTCGCTTCGATTTTCTCCGCGTTTAAAGACATAAAAGCAGCAAAGGCCTGCAGGGATTAAGCAAGATCGTTTAAGCTTCAAAGGGTGCCATGCCAAGAGTGACTAAATACTAAAATCGGGTCTATGAATAATCTTTATTCTATAAGTGTTTTAGATTGCAGTTGGATTTATTCATAATAATTGCATTTTATATAAGGTTAGGATAGGGTTAGGATAGAGTTAAGATTTAACTATTTAAGCTAGTCTGCTTTAGGGGTTTTCTTTTATACTTATTTAATATTAATATTTATTAAACTTTAAGTATTATTTATAGGCAACTTAACTTAAATTATTTAATAAAGTAGGTAATAAAGTTGTTATATTACAACCCTAGCAGTTATATCACATATACCCTATAAAAACCATAGAAAGCACTAGCCTTAAAAAGACCTATTTATGCTATATTAACTAATTACTATCCTTATTATACTAGAATAATAAATATTAAAATATAATAACTTAGGAATATAGCACTTTAAAATAACTTATCCCTAGGACTTATTATTCCTTATATAGTAAGTATAATAATATATATAATAATATATATTTTTTATATAAAACTCTATTTAATTTTTATTAATAAAACAAAAATATATATAAGTTAAGTAAAAAAAGCTTATAATAGTTAGTAATATATTATATAATAGAAAATAATTAAGATATATTAATCTTAAGGAAATTCTTCTAAATATATAACTTAAAATTATTTTTTTTTATTAATTATAATTAAATTTTTAAATATTTACATATAAAATAATATATTAAAATATAATAATAGCTTTAAGGATAAGTAATACTAATATAAACTAAAATATAAATATAAATATATATATATATATATTTTTTTTTTAAAAATATTTTAATAAAAGACTTAAAAGCTACTGTAGTAATTAATAATTAAATAATATTAAAGCTGTTATTTTTACCAAAGGCCTTAATAAGTATAAAAAGAGACTTATATTTAATTAGACTAGTATTCTTTTGTGCCCCTCTGCTCTGCATGCTACAGGGTGGAGTGGCCTGTCTCCTGTCTCCGTATTATGACGGAGGTGGGGAAGAAAGGGCGGGGCTTGTCTTCTTGGTGGAGACTTTTACGAGTCCGGACCTTTTTCGGACTCCGAGGACCCGTGCAACGTAATGTAATCTAATTGACGAGCCAGGCATCTCTACATACGAGTGTGGTCCATTGACTTGTGACACCTATCATCATCTCGTAGGGATATCCAGGAGGGTCGAGGTGACACTCAGATCCTGTAGATGGAACCACTCAACTCGGTGGCACAATGCGTGGGTGAGATTTGCGCTAAATGAACCTACTAGCGAGGATAAAAACAAAGTTAATCGGCCCAAGTAAACCCCGCCGCCAGGAATCCCCTTGCTACTCATCCAGGCCCAAGCTTTAGACGTTGTACTGCACCTTATTACTGTTACTGTAACATCCATGTCTACTCAAGTCAAGAATGTCGCACTGATTGGTGTATGTATACCTATTGGCTACCTAAGGGGACTAGATACACGATACTGAACAATTTACAGGCCAGTGGTAACCTTGGAGTTGTCATCCAGGACCATTTCCTCGCCCAACAAGACTCACCTCTTCGCCTCTCCGTTTTGACGAGGCAGAACTCTGGTGCCAAGTTTCCCAAGGGCTTGAATGTGATCTCGACGGACTACAGCCCCGAGTCTCTCGAACGAGGCTTGAGAGGACAGGATGTGGTCATCATGCTCCTCCCCCCAGAGTCCACCGTTGACCATGAAACTGTCATCGACGCAGCGGTAAAGGCAGGCGTCAAGCGCTTCTTCCCCTCTGAGTACGGTGTCAGAACCTACCACCCAGATTTTGCCGACGGCGTTCTGCTCGCGACCAAGAAGCGATCTATCGTCAAGCATCTAGAGAAGACCCAAGATCTCATGAGCTGGACCGGTATCATGTGCAATCCTTGGGTAGACTTTGTGAGTCTCCTCACAGGGGCATCAAGCTCAAAAGCTGATTGAAACCTGTAGTGTGTCATCGATGGACTTCTGGGCTTCGACATCACCAAACGAAAAGCGCGCATCTACAATGGTGGCGATGTGCCGTTCTCCACGGGTCTCCGTGACTTAGCTGCCCAGGCTCTCTACGCGCTCATCACCAATCCGGATCGTCTCAAAGAAGCAAAGAATCAGTACATCCACGTCGCCTCTTACACAGTGACACAACTGGAGATCCTTGACGTCGTGCAAAGGCTTACCGGCCAGGAATGGCAGGTCGAGAATGTCACCTCTGAGGGAGTTCTGCCAGAAGCCCGAGAGGACATCAAGAGAGGCTTGAACTGGGGCCTGGGCCACCAGGTCCAAGCTATTCTTTTTAGTTACGGCTCAGACGGCCACGCGATCGGTGATTTCCGCCCGTTGGGAATCTGGAATGAGAAATTGGGCCTGCCGAAAAGCACCTTGGAGCAAGACCTGAAGGGCCCTCTTACGGGCGAATGGAAGGGGATAGTTCACTGGCAGCCAGAAGAGCTTCCCAACTATGAACTCAAAAAGGATCGCGGTTAATCGACACGCCTGTAGGTTCACAACCCACAAGAACTTCTCCATGGAGGTTGCTCTCGAAAAGCACTACATGTACACGCAGGTCTCGTGATAGTATGCAACATGTTGGTTTCTTGTCACCGCTTTACAATGGCCTTGAGTAGGACCCAGAGATAACACTCTAATCAATCATTACAATGCATGTAATCTTATTGGCGAAAGGGCTTCATCCGTTTCCACCATGTGCATCCATCTCATAGTGAGATTTCCAAAGGCGAATAAATAAGTGGAATGTCAGGAGTACTACTAAAGTATTGAAATAAAGAGCCTTGTTGGAATTAGTAACAAGAAAGCCTTGATAGCCTTTGAAAGATCCAGTAGCGGATTTGAGGTCGGATCACAATTTCAATGGAGCTAATTCTCACAGTTTCAGCCCATCACCGTCCGTAACTTAAGTAACGACTTCAGAACCTCTTGTTATGTCTACCAACACAGGCTTTAAAATTTGGGAGGTCTTGATTGTGAAGTGGAATATCTTCAAGGTAGGACATATCGTGTCTTCATTATCTCTGTTGGCAGCCTAAAGTTTAACCTTATGACCAGCAATCATTCAAATAGCAGGGTAGGACATCTGGCAGGTATTTACACCGAAAGCGCCTTTTTTTTATGATACAGCTACCATATCAGATAAGACTCAGCAGGTAGCTAGAGGGGCAGCCTAATATAGAGCTTGAGTCTCTGGTGGGAAATGTCGTGTTCTATACCATCTTGCATACAGCTGAATGTTGGGTAATGCGTATATTATCAATAATGAATTATATTAAACGTTGCATCACCGACATCACCTAGTATAATCGGAAAGTTCAAATCTTAAATCACGAGATTGAGTTAATACTGTCTTCTCAGGTAGTCGAATGGCACTCTATAGCCTGCTTCCTAGGCCTTTCTTGCCGTCCAAAACACTGCTGAAACCCCGATGGCCAATAAACGCCTCTGAAGGATCCCACTTGTTCCTGATCTCAAGCCATTTCTTCAACGCAGAGTCTGTCATGACCTTGTTACTAGTCAGCATTGAACTTGAAGCTCTAAATATTGACCAGACTTACCTTTGGCTTTCTGTGGTTCACGTTGAAATCGGCCACATACACACCACATGACACTTGATCTGCCTTGGTATATGCATCGAGCAGCCACTTGTCCACAGCCGCGTCCTGGTTGGGGTCCTTCCAGCAGCACATTGTAGAGACGTAAGCCTTCTGGGGTAGGCTCAAAGCCTGGTCAGCCTCGTCGGGGTAATAGTCCATAGGACACAGGGTGCCCGACGAGAGGCGAGACGGCAGGTCGTACAGAGCCGGCGTGATTGCGTCAATAAGCTGGAAGGTCAGTGGTTAGCATGAAATTAAAGATTCGACACTGGGAGCATTTACCTCGTCATCCGAAGCTTTGGGATCGACTAGGATACTGTCCACGTTCCACCTCTCACCATTCCCCTGGGGCTGGAAGCTTTCCTGGAGGCCCCAAAGCTCAACCCAGGTTCTCTCCACCAGCGGGACCGTCGTAACGATATATTTCTTAAAATCGTCGGGGAACGACTCTAACGGGCTGGCCAGTACTGCGGCCTCATCCAAGGAGTCGGCAAAAATGGTCAGGTTGATGGCAAAGAAGACGCGCTTGGCCGCTGATTCGTGGCCTCCATCGGGGTCATCCTTGTCAGCGTAGAATGTGCAGTAGAAGAGATCAACACCGTATTTGGGCACCTTCCTGGACATTTCAAGCGTCCACCTAAGTAAGGGCTTGAAGATATCGGTCGAGTCGACTATAACGGTCTTGTCAAAGAGCTTTCTCGTTGGGATCGTCTTGATCCAGATCCTCGTCACAACTCCAAAGAAACCCTGTCCGCTACCTGGGGCCGCCCAAAACAGGTCAGAATTCTGAGTCTTGCTGGCAATAACGGTCTCGCCCTCCGAAGTGACGACTTCTAGCTGCGTGACCCAGGTAGGAGCAGTATAACCCCATCCGCGCATGAAGCAGCCCTGCCCACCAGCAAGCAAGAAACCACCAACAGCGACGGATCGTGAGTGACCAGCGGGGAAGAACCTGCCGCGGGCTTCGAGGAACGTGGTCACATCCTCAACCCTGTGGCCAGGACTGACGGAAGCGATGTTTGTTGCAGCATCGTATTCGATATCTTTGTTCAAATTGCGCGTGTCGATGAGAAGACCGCCTTCCAGAAGTGCGTTGCAGAAGAACAGGTGGCCGCCTGAACGGACGCCAATCTTCCAGCCATTCTCGCGTGCCCTCTTGACGGCGGTCACGGCCTCGGCAGTGGTTGATGGTATGGCTATTTCGGTTGGATGAATATCGGGGACTCGCCCGTTGAAAAACTTGCGGCGAACTTGGTCATAGCCTTCAGATTCCTGAGACAGGGTCTTTGGAAGTGAGACCATAATGAGGATGAAGATGGAGATGAAGATGAGGGTCGGTAGGAGTTCTGATACAGAAATAGAGAGATATGTGGCTAAACTTCAAAAAGGTCAACTTATTTAAAAGCCAATTTAGTGGGTGTCTCGGGTCAATTGTCTTTGGTACTTTATTGCGGGAAACATAAACTTGGAAAACCCACCAAGTGGCCACTTGTAATTGAGTGGGTTTAGACACTGGGGACGCCCACCCAACCCCGCCGTAAGCTGTGTTGAGTCAAGGAAGTTTGGATGATTTAGCAGACGATGTAATGTAGTTAGCATATGATTGGTCAGCGCATCAGGTAGAAGGCCAATGAAATATGTAGAAACTGAGAGGATCAACTTGAGTGAAGGAATTATGCTTGATGCCTTATTCTGTACTATTCGGTAGAGATGTTATATAATGTTATTAGATCAGTCAATCAAGCAATGTACTGCAGTTAGAACGCTTCCCGAAACAGAAGACGCTACCACTGGAAGCTATCGTGCAGCCTACAGCGTCATGACCATTTGAAACTAATCGTTTACAATATTCGATTTATTTGGCCACTTAACCACGTCGAGAATTGACCCCAAAGTATTGACAGCATTTGAATGTAATAAAATAAGGTGGGCTTCACATAGCTCACTCATAGGTTCCTGATGAATGGTTTTCGCGTAGTCTAAGTCTCTCCCCGCAGCCAGCTCTCATCTGCATTGCATAGATTACGACCGTCATTACTAAACTATTCTTGATGTTTCTTATTCTAACAAACTTGACCGGCTTCCTTAACTGGCGACTGATGCTGTGGCCGTTATACCGATCATGTCCAACTGATTCCCCAACAACGTTAGTTTGTGAACCCAAGTACAAGAGAGCAACTCGAAACCACTGACCTCAGCGACAACATCGTACCCGTACACAAAGTCTTGTGCGGCTGGATCAATCCTGAAATGCAAGTCAGCACCATTTCTCCAGGCATGAGCGGCACCTACCAGTAGAATGGATAGCCAGGCTGCTGATTGTAGAGTTGTGATTCTGCAAGACGATCCCTCGCTTCTTGCTCAGGGCCATCAGGCAAGTGGTTGATGTGTCTCTGCAGCAGAAATTAATTATCCGAGTTTCTGATTGAGTATTTGTTCCACCTGTCATGAACTTACCTGCTTCATGCTCCATCTCTGCAATGCGCTGCTCCGAGGAATTCTCAGGTTCTCATACGCCTTTAGGGCTTGAGGAAGCTGCTCTCTTCTGTTCACCTTTGAGAGGATGATACCCAGTGCAGCACCATCTTCAATTGCGGAACCAGCTCCTTGTGCCATATACGGCAGCATTGGGTGACAAGAATCGCCCAAGAATGCGACGGTGGCATCGTCGTTATACCAACGCTCCAGCTCGTCCACTATCAAGTGTTAGCTGCGGTGGAAAGCCAAGTTTCCGTTCTACTTACGATGCATCAGCTTCCATTTATCAATTTTATCCACTTGAGAGAGAAATTTCTGCAGCCTGAGAGGATCAGTCGGCGTCTGTCGTAGGTGATGGCCGCCAACTCACAGCGGATCCCACTTCTCAAAGATCTCCCTCATTTCGGAGAGGTCACCCGACATCTTGGCCACGTTGTCGGGCAGATTGTCTGGAACTAGAAGAACAATGTTTGCCATGGTGTTGTTCCTGAGTGGGTAATAGATGGCGTGGCATTCCGGGCCAGCCCACAAGCACACACGGGGCTTGTCAATGAATTCGCGCAGCTCAGGGTCTTGAATGTCTTCCTTCCTGAGGACAATCCGATATGCGAGATCTCCGGTGGCTATAGGCTGGCTGGGCCTACCGAGAACCTTGGACCGGGTCTTAGACCAGAGTCCTATTGCATATTAGAGAATGCATTGCTGAGGGTTTGGAGAGGCTCACCATCTGCAGCTATTACCAGATCCCCGGTGATCTTGTCACCCTTCTCTGTTGTCAGCTGGGGAATGGCAAGATCTACATCAGTCACCTGTGTACCGAACTTGAAGCGGATGCCGAGGCTCTTGGCCCTCTCGAACATGGCGAGCTGTAAATCTGCTCGGTGCATATCCCAGTAAGGTGACTTGTACTTTCCGAGCATTTCAGCAGCAAAGTTTACGCGGTGACCAAGGGCCTTGCGACCGTCGAAGCGACGGATGAGGAATTCCTCGGGACTGCTGGCTAAATTCTCAAGGCTGGGCTTCAAACCCCACCTTAGGAGCAGCCGCGTGGCATTGGGTGTAAGCTGAAGACCTGCACCGATCTGAGTGGTTCAACATGTCAGTTTCCACTGTATAGAAATACAAGAATGGCCTCAACGAAACGTACCTCTGCTAGCACGGGAGCCGATTCCACAACTAGAACGTCATGATCGGGCGACTCTTGCTTGATGGAAAGGGCGGCGGCGAGCCCACCAAGCCCGGCTCCGATGACAACAATATTTAGAGACATGATGAGGATTGTTTGGTAAATTTCTGTAGAGCTCTCATTTCGACACGAAATACTTCCTTTGGCTCGCCATGGCTTTTTAAATGGTTGTCCCAACTTGGCTCTAAACCTCCACTCCCCACCCGGGTGGGTGGGTGTTACTTTACAGCAGCCCAGCTAGTCACCACCCGAGTAGTGATCTCAGACCTCATTAGAGGCAAGGTCCATTCACCACTTCGTCTGTGTACCCATCGACATACGAATATATCCATGATATATAGATGGCGTATCCCATAGTATCTAACCGGGCCGCAAATACATCCATCTCATTCTCCAACTATCGCTCTTTCTGTTCCAAAATTTCCCTTAAAAAGCCTTCAAAATGCCATCACTAGCCGGTAAAGTGGCTCTCATCAGTGGCTCATCGGCAGGACTCGGGGCAGCCATTGCTCGTGAGCTGTCGAGCCGCGGGGCTTCTGTGGTCATCAACTATCCCAACCAAAGCGAAAAGGCAAACGCGGACAAGGTTCTCAAGAGCCTCAACGGGCCCGGAAAAGCCGTAGCTGTAGAGGCAGACCTCTCAACACCGGAAGGGCCGCAGGTGCTGGCCAATGCGGCCGCCGAAGCTTTCGGCAAAATTGACATCCTTGTCAATAGCGCTGGCATCAATCGCCCAACGTTCCTCGACGATCCCGACGATGAAAAGGTCAGCAAGACGTGGCACGATATTGTCAACCTCAATGCCAGAGGAGTCTTCTTCCTCACTCGCGCCGTTCTCAAGTATTTGTCGCGAGAGAACTCCCGTATCATCAATATCGGTAGCTCCGTTTCCCGTACTCCAGGGCCGGAATCTAGCATCTATGCAGGGGCCAAAGGACTTGTCGAGGTCTATACCCAGTGTTGGGCCACGGAACTGCCCCGGAAATACGGATGCACCGTCAACGCCGTTGCGCCTGGACCTGTTGGAACAGATGCCTTCTACGCTGCACCTAGCGCCGTGAGAGAGGCACTGCAACCCATTGTAGATTCGACTCCTGTCGCCCCACGTGTCGGTACTCCTGAGGAGGTAGCATGGTCGGTTGCGACTCTGGCTGAAGAAAAGGCGGGCTGGATCAACGGGGCCTATATACCTATCAACGGAGGATCCAGTATATTTTAGATCGGCAAGGATTACTAGATTGATGAGACAAGATTTACGCTCGACTCTCAATACATTACCACCTAGATGGAAATGTGCGAGTGGTTCCTGAACGTGTCAATCCTTGATAGCTCATTTTCAATATTCACAAGTCAAAGAAGATCAAATAATGCTTTTAAGTACAGCCCATTTAGATAGCCAGTCGCCATCAAGCAAAAAGTGTTCCTTCATAAATCTAAGCAGAAACCGCCGCAAACCTACCTACTCAACTTATATCTTTGTGCAACCAGGCTAGGCCGATGCGAGGGGACTCTAAGAAGCCGTCTCCTAATGAAGATTACCACAACAGAGTTTACGGAGAGAGTAGGATGTATTCGCTATCTGCCTAAGTATACATGGTCACCATCTCAATACAATGATACCCGTATTCGATTCTTTGGCCTAGGAGAATCTCGTAGAGCTCCTCGTCCTTTGCATCAGCAACGATGAAATTCAGCCGTGCCTCAAAGACATTGGTTACTTGACAAGAGATTCGAAAGCACTTAGAGTTGACAACGAGTTCAATAGAAATATATTCTAGTACGTCAACCTATATCGCGACTACCTTACTTTCCATTCACAGTTCCATTCGCTTTTCGCGCCTCGCTCGCCTCCCTGGCCGCATCAACATCCTTGCCATCTACCCAACTACCATGAAGGCCATCCATCAACTTGAACGGTAACTTGATCTCAGCAAGTGGGCCTTGGGTTATGTCCGAGGCTTCAAAGAGCAGCAGGACGTTGCGGCCTTCGCGATAGCGGTCAGCCACAACGAGGATATAGCCATCCTCGTCGTCAGCACCCTCATGCCTCGGAACAAAGACGGGCTCTTGGAACGTGGTGTCATCACCGTGGCGGTAGGATTGCATGTCTCCTGTCTCAAAGTTGTAGCAAACCAGGGTGTTGAAGCCAACGTTGCCCTTTGCCGCCTCGTGGTCATTGAGCTTGACCTCGTGTGTAGGATCGACCTTTAATATCCAGACGCGGGAGTATTTCTTGCCCAGGAGACGATCGTCTATGCGACCAAATTCGTTGACGCCGGTAACAAGCACAGCCTCAGGCTGGATCATCTTATCTGTACTACCATTGGGGTCAAACCGGTAACGGGTGATAGGTGCCGTGACTTTCCTGGGGTCGGTAAAGAACCTCTCGCCCTTGGTGTTGGGGAAGAAGGGAAAGTGTACGTCGGTCCAAACGTTGGCATCTAGGACAAGCTTTCCGTCCTCCTCATAAGCGTTGATAGTGTGTGAGTAGCAGCCCTGGGGTGTCTTGAACCACTTTGCATCCTCGGGCTTGGCGCCTCGGCGAGGAATAACGCCCAGCAGCTGGTAGTCAAGATTCTCATCCCAGTAGAAGTGGTCGCCGCCGTTTTTCATCTGCTCCAGGCTGGCCTTGAGGCCGTTGACGGGAAAGACGACCCAGTTGTCGGTGGCCCAGAAGTCGTGGATCATGCACGGCCAAGGCGCCTTGAACCAAACCTCCTCTGAGAGCTTGCCATGTTTGTCAACGGTGAAGGAGCAGATGTCGGGTGATGCTTCACCCGCGGCCTCATAGGAGTAAGACACCAATTCCCCCGTCGCTGAGTCTGCCTTGGGATGAGCAGTGTGCGTGGGGCAACGGAAGGTGCCGTGGTAGTCAATGTAGCCGAGGGTCTCAAGAGTGATGGGGTCAAGTTCCATAGGCGGTGCATCCTCCTTGAGGGCCATCAACTTGTTATCGTGGAATACAACATGAGTGTTGGCTGTGGTACCCTTGAGAACATTTTGAACGCGTGGATCATCTGTGTACTTGTTGCGATATCTGCCAAAGAGGGCACGTCTGGCTTCACGCTCGGCGATGAGCTTAGGGGTGCGCACATAACGTTGCTTGAAGTCGACATGACCATCCTTGATGTAAAATGAGCTGACGTTGCCATCACCATTGAGCGGGATTTCGGTTTCCGCAAAGATAGGTGGGAATGCATGGTCGGGCTGGACGCGGTAGAAGGCCCCGTGGATGGTGCTGGGGATTTCTCCTATGACTTCAAGCTCGTAGGCATCTGCCTCGAACCGCAGATGGTCTTCGTTCCACTTGCTCATAGCATAGTGCTTGGGGAAGCGGGTGCCTGGAACTCCTGGAACAACATGTGCCATGATGGGCGGTATGGGACTTGATAATGTATGATGAGTTGTAGTGATGAGAATGTATATAGACACTGCAAAGGCGCCAAAGTAGTCCCGGTATTTGTGCGATTGGCGTTCTCTGCTCAGAAGAGCCTTGAACCTTTTTATAGTTGTTAGGTCTAATTGTCGATTTGCTGTCTGCTTGGGCATAAGGTTCACAATCCAAGTTGCTATCCGCTAGCTCCGTTGCGGGTGGCGCCTCCACCCAAAAGATTGGAACATTAGAGTGGGTAAGCTCACATCCCCACCAGTGTCTTTCGATGTGATACTGGCTTACAGCAAACGTATACCACTATGTGTACCACCCGGGAGTGCCCTAATTGTAGTTGTAAGGCCGCGGTTTAGGGCGGGGTGAATGCTCACAAGAGACTGCGTGAGTCCCATAAGGACCTGCCCGTCCTTCAAGAATGAGTGAAATGGACAAAACCAGAGCCTAGCTTCGCGTTCCTTGACCTTGAGCTATCTCATCATAATTTTAAAGATTTCGCCCTAAATGGTTCAGTGGTATGCATCTCCTGAGCTGCAGACGCATCATGACAATGCGTTCCGCTCTCGAAAGCCAGGGACGCGAAGCCTTCCTCCAGGTCACGATGAAGCCAGCTTCCAGCGTGTCGTGAATGAGTTTCAAGCTATCATAGGCCAAGAAAACGTCATAATTGATGAAGGGCTGGCCAACTTTCGTGACCCATATCCCTTGTTCGAGGAGGGATTTGAGGCATCTGCTGGATTATGGTCAGACCCTTGAATCTATAATGCACACTATGGCGACCTTACTGACGCGGCTGTAGCCCATCATCTGTTGAAGAGATTCAGGCGATTCTCAAGGTAGCCAATCAACACCAGGTTCCCCTGTGGACATGCTCGCAAGGAAAGAATTTCGGGTATGCTTCAGACAGACTCCATGATGTCATTGACAATTCAGCTAATCTGTTGGTAGATATGGCGGACCTGCCCCTCGAGTTGCGGGCTCCATGGTGCTCTCTCTTCATCGGATGAAGCGCATCCTGGAAGTGAACGAGAAGCTGGCCTACATTGTAGTTGAGCCTGGAGTCACCTTTTTTGATGTCTACAACTATATCGTGGAGAACAAGCTTGACCTTTGGGTCTCTGTCCCGGCTTTGGGATGGGGAAGTGTCGTGGGCAACGTAAGTCAATTCTCGCTGTTGGATAGTAGTAATGTTTGCTGACGAGTTTCTAGACTCTGGACCGGGGTCATGGTTACACCGTCTCTGGAGACCGCCAGCACTTTATTGGCAGTCTAGAGGTTCTTTTGGCCTCGGGAGAAATCCTCCGGACAGGCCAATGGGCCGTGCCTAATTCCCCCAGCGCACATGCTTGCCCCAATAGCTTCGGCCCCCAAATCGATGGCCTCTTCTTGCAAAGCAATCTGGGCATCGTGACCAAGATGGCTGTGGCTCTCGACGTGGCGCCTCCGTCTTTCATGGAAGTCAAAGTCCACTGTCCCGAGGTTGAAGACATTGCGCCCCTCATCGACACGCTGCAGCAGCTGGACCGTGAAGGCATCACCCAAAGCCACCACATGATCACCAATATCAACCATTTTGCCTCTCACGACGCCCCCAAGCACCAACAGCAAGATGTACCAGGGCCTCTAACCCAAGAGAGCATAGCTGCGCTGAAGAAGAAGTACAACACCGGGTACTGGCGATGCTCGGTGTCTTTCTATGGGCCTAAGCAAATGGTTCTTGCTCGTTGGAGTAGGTTGCAGGAGGTCGTCATCCAGAGAGTTCCCAATGCCTGGGTTGAGAACACGCTCTTCGAAGGCGAGGATGGCAAGCCGGTAGACAACATCCAGATTGGAACGCTCGCCGCGGGTATTCCCTCAATGGGCGCCGTGAAGCTCGCAGAATACAACCTTCCGGCGGACGGGACAGGGGCGGGAGCTCATATCGACACTACCCTCATCCTTCCTTGCGAGGGTGAAACAGTCCTGACATGGTTTCGCAAAGCAAGGGCTATTATGGAGGAGCAAGGAGTTGATCCTTTTATTGGTTGTCACGTCTTCTCAAAGTACATCCTGTTTGTTCAGGAATATGTTTTTGACAAGTCTAACAAGAAGGCGCGTGAAGGTGGCCGCAAGGTGGTCAAAGCCCTGCTTGCTGAGGCAGAATTGAATGGGTTCGCCAACTATAGATCTCATGTTCAGCACATGGGTAAGTACGGTTTCCAGACTCCGCAGACTCGTTACTGACAATGGCCAGATGCTGTTCAGAATTTGTATGCGTACAATGGCCACATTTATAGGAGATTCGTTGAGACTTTAAAGGTACGTTCGCAATCAAAGCTTTAAAACGTTACCAATTCTAACGTTCTACTACCAGGCTGCCGTGGATCCAAATGGAATCCTATCTCCCGGTAAGCAGGGAATATGGCCTCTCAAGAGTCTAGTTCATTTACCACCTCGTGGGGTTTGAGCTGAGTATTTGGCTTGGAATGGAGATACCAGATATACAAGACTTGATAATGCATACACGATACATATACAAAGTTCGAGTAAATTATCTGAACATAATTGCTAGTCTTGCGTGATATTTAAGAAGTAGTATTGGCTGAACAGCTTATCAGACGTGTTATTTGCAGAAGTTAGATACAGCCAAAACTTTGATACTCTCGCGCGCATGGGTTACTTTAGCTTATGAGCAGTAGAGCATTTTTAGACGCATGCGCGATGATACGGCAAGTAGCAGTCTTTTCACAGATACACAGCTTCAGTGAATGAGTAGTTGCTTATGACTTTCTGGGCATCTATCTCAATAGCTCAATAGGTGATTGTACCATCGACTACTTTCACATCATTGTCAAGTTTGCCAGCCGACCTGACTGCCTCTGCATGCCGTAACGCCCCCACCTCGGCTTCTGAGGCGAGAGAAAAGTCGTATCTCAGCAGTTTAGTGGTTCCTGGTACTCCATACTTTTCCGAGAATCCCGACACCTCAGATACAGTTCCCAGATCCACAATGAGAGACTCCTTGACACCAAAGACGGCATCAGAGGTCTCATACGGGTCGCCACGAATATAAAGTGCCCTGGTCACGTCAGTATGAGAGTCTTGACTGTTTTCTTGGGTATGACTTACGTTATTAAAAGGTCATATCCAGGCTTCTTGAGTTTGAAGTGCATATGGCTGGGGCGATAGATATGTCGGTTCAGAGCCTTCAAAAGATCTCCGACAGGCCCGTCGCCGGGGATTGGGTAAGGGACAGGCACAATGGCCTTGAAATCAAGATTTCCTTGACTGTCACTGTGTAGTATAGCTCTGTTATCGAAGCCTTGCCGGTCTGCATATTGCACATCATAGAAACCCTTGGAGTCGGTTTCCCAGACATCAACCTCGACGTCTGCTAGTGGGTTACCTTGAGAGTCTCGTACTGTACATACAACCAAGAGTGGTTCTCCATCAGGATCATGAGAAATACTATCCCCAGAAGCCACATTCTCAGCTCCGTGTGCATGGAAGGGACCAAGAACAGTCCCCTCGGTAGACGTAGCTGGCTTAGGGTGATCGATTGAATCTACCAGAAGTGACAGTCCTAGGACATCAGATAGAAGAATGAATTCTTGTCGGGTATCGCTGCAAATCTTTCCAGTTCTGGTGAGGAACTGAACGGCTGTCTCCCACTCAGATGTACTTAGACGAGTCTCACGCGCAAAGTCATGGAGGTGATGGACTAGCCTCTCAAAAAGGAAGCGTGTTCGGGGGTCCTGGCAGGTGGAGTTGATAGCCACGACATTCTCGGTAATGTTTTCAGTTGTGAGATCTTTTAGAAGGGGGATGCCTGGATGAGTGCGCGACATGGTGGACGTATATGTGATATGACGGATGCTGAGTATGCTTGGAAATGGAGACTCTTCAAGTTTCAGGTGCCAGGCTAATGAATGAATCTGTGAGTTTTGGCAGCACAGTGACGGATGCCTTTTTTAGGCCGATCCCACCGAGGCGTACCTGTACAATGGCGGAGGTGGGGGAGAGCGGGTGGGTGCGGAAAAGCCGGGTGGGTTGGTGGGTAGGTACATCTCGACGCTTGGAAATCGGAACCAAGATAAAGCGAAGAGAGTTGCTTTGATGGCATATCATGATACAGCTATCAAATCGTGTTCCCAACACAAGACGCGCCTGTGCAAGATGGAGCCCTTCGTCTATAGCCCTCTCCCTCACAGGATCATCTTTGGACGAGGTTCAACCCGTCAACTTCCACAATGCCTTCAACAACTTGGCTTCCGTCGGCCTCTCGTCCTATCGACTCCTTACCAGGTTGACCAAGCAAAACAAATCACTGACATTCTCGAGTCGCACGTGGATGCCATTTGGATTTTCTCCGAGGCCACCATGCACACTCCCTTGGATGTTACCGAGAAGGCCCTCGAGTTTTGCCAGCAGAACGAGCCCGACGTTTTGGTGTCTATTGGGGGCGGCAGTACCACTGGACTCGGCAAGGCGATCAGCTTCCGCAAAGGGATATACCATATCTCCATTCCTACAACATACGCCGGTAGTGAGGTGACACCAATCCTCGGGGAAACCGTCAATGGCATCAAAACAACCAAGACTCACCTTGAAATCCTGCCCAAAACTGTCATATACGACGTCGACTTGACCCTCACGCTCCCACTTCCCATGTCGCTTACCAGCATCATTAACGCTATCGCGCACGGTGTCGAAGCGCTCTATGCCCCCAACACTAACCCTATCATCAGTCTCATGGCGGCCGAAGGTGTGAGGTCTCTCGCGAATGGAGCATATGAGTTGCTCGACGATCCCAACTCCATCATAGCTCGATCGGTTTGCCAGTATGGGGCTTGGCTCTGCGGAACTTGCTTAGGCAGCGTTGGAATGTCTCTCCATCACAAGCTTTGCCACACATTAGGTGGCTCTTTCAACCTGCCCCATGCCGAGACACACACAATTGTTCTTCCACACGCCTTGGCGTACAATGCTCCCAAAGTCCCGCAGGCTATCAAGGTCCTGGCTGGAGTGCTTCCAGATAGCCAGGGGGATGCTCTACACGGCCTCAATACGTTGCTCAACAAGTTGGCTGTTCCACGAAGCTTGAAGGCCATTGGATTCAAGGAGGAAGATATTGATAAGGCAGCTGATATAGCCGTCAGCAAGTCTTATGCTAATCCAAGAGAGATTGACAGAGATCTCATCCGGGAAGTCATCAGGAGGGCGTGGGCTGGTGAGGAGGCAAGGGCAGATTTGTAACACAGACTTCACAAGAGCTATCAAGATATTACGATCCTTTAAAGCCTCTGTTTCGATTTGTGTGATATTCCGGCGTTGTCTTCGTGCGCCTTCGATATGACGTTGTGCCTACAGGGTATTTGAGTAATAGATTTATGATCATTCCTCTAAATCAACCAACTGTCGGGCAACATAGCAAATCATGACTGCCCGGAGTTTCTGGCTTCCAACGTATGTTTAACGAAAAGGAAATCAAAAATCAGATATTTTCATTCAACACACTTTCTATCTTGTTTAAAGTTGTCCTACACAAGACATATCCGATTCCCATAGTCACCCAGCAGCATACAATTTTCTTCACGTCCCCGCCGTCTTACTTCCAGAAGACTCAGTCTCTGCGGCCATTTTCTACTCAAAAGTTCTTTCTACTCAAAAGTTCGCTGCTTCTGCGCATTCTGTCTTGATCAATGCCGCATGAGCCGGACTCCGAACGCCGATTCTGACCTCGTAGGGCTTCTCTGTTCCAATGTCGAACGGCTTTCCAACTGGAATTGGATGTCCAGGAACTTGATGGAAGTCAAAGCAGTACAGTACACGCGCGATCAACAGGTGAAGGCTGTTACTAGCGATGACCCATCCGGGACATACTCGGCGACCTAGTAAAATAACTTGTTAGTCATATGATGTTTGGATGCATGCATGTCTTGACTCACCTGCTCCAAATGCTAAATGTCCCTTGATGGGCTTGTCTAGGTCCTCATTCATAAATCTCTCGGGCCAGAAGGTTTCCGGATTGTCATACTCCGAAACATCCATATGAACGCCCCAGCTATTCCAGATGACATTGGTTCCCGCTGGAATGTTGTATCCTTCGAAAGAGTCATCCTCAATCAAAGAATGGGCAATTTCTGGAAGCGAAATGCTAAAACTGGTCAGCCTATTTCACACAAGCGTGCGGCCTGCGCCATGGTTTCTTTCTTACTTACTTCCATCTAAGAACTTCTTTGCCGATGGCTTTGATGTAGGGCAAACTTGCAATGTCGCTCGCGGCTGGAAGTCTCTGCGCATCTGCACCACATACGTCGTCCAGGTCCTGACGTGCACGCTGCACAAAGTCAGGGAACAGCGCAGCACCAGCCATAAGCTGGTTCAAAGCCACGCGCGTGGTATCGGACCCTGCCTCAATGAGAGATCCAGCGAGGAAGACTGTCGACTCATAGTCAAGCATCTTATCTCTTCCAAGCCTTTTGAACTCAGAAACAAAGCACGTCACGTCCTTTCCTTGCCGTTGGCGCTCGGCAAGACTATCAAACTCTTCAGAAAAGTTTCTGCTTTGAAGTCAGTGGCCACCAGATATCACCAGCATTGAGGGATCGACGACATACTTCTTGGACTGTTCAAAGACACTGTCGCCCCACCACCTCCATGGCTGAATCGCGCGTGGGAGAGGAATATATGCCAGGAAGGGAAATGAATCGATCAAGCTGGAACCAGGTTCAAACATCTTCATGATCTCGTTGTTCGTCTCGATGATTCTGTCAACGTTTGGGTCTCCCATCCTTGTCCTTCGCCCGAACACCATGCTCATGATGAGAGAGCTGGCATATCGAGCGTTCGCCTGGTTCCACATATCAGGCTCCGTGAGGTAGTCGTACAACAGTGTTCGTGACTCGACATCCTGGAGGGGGGCAAAGACGTTACGGTTTCCGGGGCCGATGATCTCGTGTATGAGCTTGCGCTCCCACTTCCAGAGGTTGCCGTATGGCATGAAGACGACGCGTTTTCCACCAGAGGCAACATCTCCAGGCATAGGCAGATTCTGCCGTGAAATGTAGCGTGCCCCGCGTTTGTCGAGCAGCTCATTGGCAACGCGCTGAGAGTTCATGAATATCCAATAATTGGAGCCTACCTTGAGTGTGAACCTGGTGGGGAAAGTCTTGTAAGTGCTGGTTTTGTTGCGACTCTATTTGTGACACGTACATTTCGCCATATTTCCTAGCCAGTTTATGGAGATACAGACGCCGCCCGGCTGTATCGGTTGGTATCTGCAGCATATTCCCAAACAGAGGCACTCCGGGCACGAGATTAGGAAAATTGTACTTTCGATGGAATCTGAGCCAGAGAACCGTACGATGTAGGAGCCATAGCAATACCAGCGCAATACCAACCGGCACCACTTGGATATGTCGCCCAGCCAGCTTCATGGTGGTGTTAGGGATGGACTTTTTAGATGTGCACTCTCTAGCTTTTCCGCTGAGTGGTTCCAGATGTTACCGTGGATTACCAAGTGAACATCATTGGAGAGAGAAAACAATAAAGTATAGAGAACTTATAACCAACAAAGGTGGAACTACCAGGTGATGGGTATTCGGCTTCCCATCACCCACCTACTACAATACGGGTTGGTGGGCAAACTCCCCACCACATACCTCCCCACCCTATACTATGCCCGTTTGTGCCCGGCTGTGCATGCATTTGAGTGGCATAACGCTCGGCAGAGGTCAAAAGAGGCATCCACGGAAAGCACCAATCTATGCTTGTGCCATCAGTTAACCGCTAGAAGACTATATCGACTCGCTGTTTTGGGCTAAGTTCTTCTTGACTGTCTTTTCGTACACGGGGCTAGGTGAAGCGAGAGCAGGACTCAGAACGCGTATCCACCCTGATCAACAGAAGTAGCCATCGCTGGGTTCAGCCAGCTTGGACGCAGGAAAGGTTAAATACTCCATAGATACAACACACCTTGACCAACAACCAAATTCAAACAAATTCATTTCAGCTATTCTCATCCATCTATAGACAACCATGAGCTCAGGTGACAATGCAAACGGTTGGTCTGGTCAGGCCAGCGATACCGTCCCACTTATCATCAATGGGAAGGATGTCATCTCAAAAACATCGTTTCCTGTAAATAGCCCTTCCAACTCGGACAAGATCTGGAGTGGTTCATCTGCCTCGATCGGTGACGCAACCGGGGCCGTCGAGGCAGCCCAAGCGGCTTTCACGTCGTGGTCTCAGACAAAGCCGAGTATTAGAAGGGACATCATGTTCCGGGCCGCAGATCTCTTTGTCAGCAGAAAGGAAGAATTGTTTGCCTACCAGAGCCAGGAGACGGGTGCGGGGCGGCAATTTATGGAGATCAACATCAACGCTACGGCGCAGATCCTGAGGGACATCGGAGGAAGAATCGAAGCGGCAGTTGAAGGTTCGGTTCCTGCGACAGCTGACCAGGGGTCCCACGCCATTGTAGTCAAGGAACCATATGGCGTTGTTCTCGCAATTGCCCCATGGTATGTATGCAAGCACTCGCGTGCGGTTATCTGTTGACTGCCGTTGATACTGATGGTTTTCTTTCTTCTACCGCAGGAATGCCCCCTACGTGCTCGGGGCACGATCAATTGCGTTTGCCCTCGCAACGGGAAACACAACAGTTCTCAAGGGTTCCGAGCTAAGCCCGCGCGTCTTCTGGGCAATTGGCGACATTTTTCGACAGGCTGGCCTACCAGACGGTTGCCTCAACGTCATCTATCATCGAACGGCAGATGCGGCTGCCGTGACAGAAGCCTTGATTGCGCATCCCGCAATTAAAAAGATCAATTTTACTGGCAGTACTCTCGTCGGAAGCATCATCGCCAGTTTGGCGGGGAAGCACGTCAAGCCACTTTTGCTTGAGCTGGGTGGGAAAGCGAGTGCCATTGTCCTCAAGGACGCCGACGTGAAGAAGGCCGCGACAAGTTGCGCTGTGGGCGCATTTATCCACGTGAGTTTGACCCGTGATGCAATTCAAGGCAATGTATTTAATTGATGCTCATGATACCCAGGGCGGTCAGGTATGCATGTCGACGGAGCGCATTCTTGTGCACAGATCGATTAGTGACGAGTTCAGCGCGGCACTCAAAAAGGCCACGCAGGGGCTCTTCGGGCCCGAGAAGCCGCCGTTCGTGCTAGTAAATCCAGCGGCTGTACAGAAGAACAAGGGTCTCGTCGCCGACGCGCTCGCCAAGGGCGCGACGACCCTCTTGGGCAACGCGGAGTCTGTCGAGGACCAGCCTACCAAGATGAGACCCGTCATCGTCTCCAACGTGTCCAAGGAAATGGATATCTATCACACCGAGTCTTTCGGGCCTACCGTGTCCCTCATGACCTTCGACACGGAGGAGGAGGCTCTCGCGATCGCCAATGACACCGACTACGGGCTCTCGGGAGCTGTCTTCTCCGAAGACCTGAAAGCCGCCATGAGGGTCGCCAGGAAGTACGAATCTGGGGCGGTCCACATCAACTCCATGACCGTGCACGACGAGGCGTCGCTGGTGCACGGCGGGGCCAAGAAGAGTGGCTACGGTAGATTCAATGCCGCGCAAGGGCTAGCCGAGTTTCTGAGGTACAAGACAATCACTTGGAGGGAGTGAGTGAGTGGCAGAGGCGTCCAATGATGCCAGTCGTGTTTTTCAGCCATCTTTACCCCTCAGCAAATGGCGTGCTCTTTTATGCACAGCGGCGAGTACCATAGAGTACAATAGACAAACCTGCCTACACGTACTGTTATAGGATACGCAGACACCGAGCAAAGCCCGAAGCCCATCGAGTATGTCTATGCTGGCAGCATCTTGTGTATTTAGAAGACTACAAAGCTTTAGCAGGGATAGGTAGAGGCAGAAAAGGCCGTGCAGTGTAGCCGCGGGAATAAGCTGGTCTGGGTAGCTATTAGCCTTCTAAACCAAGCGACAATATGGCAGACCATCCCCAGTAGACCCTAGTGAAGGGTCACGCATATATACTTTCGTACCACCTCTTAGCTATACACACTCTAAACCCATCAATGCTAGGCTAGTCGATCTACCCCCGCAATCTCATCCCCCACATTTTCGGACTGGATTTGTCAACCCCAGAATCAATCAATCAATCATTCATTCATCCGTCCAAACCAAACCCGGAGCACGCACTTGTGACTCCCTCAATCTCCCTCATACCCACTCTCCATTGGCTTGCTGAAATGTCTTGTCAAACCAGCACCTCTACGCAGCAAGCTACTCGTGAAAATGCAGACAAATCTTCCAACCGACAAGGCTGCGGCTTCTCCTGCGATCAATGCAATGCCAGTTTCAACCGCCTAGCTCATCTACGACGCCACGAACTGACGCGCAAGTCGCTCCCTTTCTTTTTCTTGGAGAATCGGCCACGGCTGACCATTGTACTCATCTGCAGATGGAAGCGAGAAACCATACAACTGTATGTATTGCTCCCTAACATCCTCCAGAAAAGATGTCATCGTCCGCCATACCAGAAACTTTCATCACGGCCTTGGCAACAGAAAGTCGTCTGGCTTTCGAGGCAGGCGTCGCAACAATTCCCACCCTGGAGCTTCTCGTCCAAAGGCATCAAAGAACGGCTCTGCGCGAGCATCGCCTGCCACCACGACGGCCCGAGGACAGCAAAATCGTCACTCAGAAGGAGTCAACGACGCCATCGAGGAACGCGACGAGTCTCCGACCAACAATGAGGTAGACGGATCTCAGAGCAGTCAGGCCAACTCGCTGGACATCGCCATGCCCTCTCAACCTGACATTTTCCCTGCCTATCTTTCAGGGAGTCCTCTAGAATTCAATGCTTCCTTCATGGACCCCGAGCTCGTCAACCCCAACCTATCCGCCATGTTCGATCTCGACGCGCTTCTGGCGGATGCCCAAGGACTTTTTGGCGAAGTCCCAAGCTGCAATGCCCCGGAACTACCGATTCTAGCCTTGGAGCCACCGATGCCGAGGCCAGCCACTCTTGGCCAGGCAGACAAAACTTCTGCCCCGCGCAACCTAGTCCCCAACGACAACAAATGTGAGAATGCATGGGCCAACCTCACCAAATATCCGGTCCACATACTCGCTTCGCTTCGTTTTCCTTCCAAATATGCCGTGAGGCGGTTTGTCAAGGCCTTTCTCAAGCACATTGCTCCTCATATACCCATCATACACGAGCCGACCTTTGACATCGCTACAACGCCATGTAAGTAGTATACCATCATGGGTAATGCAATAGAGGCCCTGAACCAAGATTTGATACAGCTCCCCTTCTCCTTGCTGTAATGGCTTGCAGCGCCGCATATCTCGGTGAACACTCCACGTCTCAATCGATGCATGCGATCTCCGTACAACTTGTTTTCGAGGTAGGAGAGTCATCCCAGGCACTGCAATAATAAAGTTCGTTAACGCGAGGACCAGCATGAACGGATGATTGCATTCAGCAAGGCCGACCCCGAGACTCTGACCTGGATGCTACAGACATATTTGCTCCTGGCCTATTTTGAGATTCACTGCGGCTCGGAGGGCAAGAGAGCCCACGCGTTTCCTCATTGCGTCAAGGTAAAGTCCAACGACACGACATGTGGTCTGGCTATGGCTAACTCTCGTACGTTTTCAGCTTACACAAGAAGCACTCAGCGAGCTGCAGACGTGCCCGCCCACCACGTATAAGGATTGGGTGCGTTGGGAGAGTTTAAATAGGTACTCATACTCACTCCATGCACGCGTCATAGCTGTTCACACTATACCAGGTGTATCGCATCTACGATTCTCATAGGTGCCACTGTCTGCTCAAAGGAACAGGAAGCGTGGATTCCAACACCTATGGTCGAAGCCAGATTTGCCCTCCCGTCAAGCAATGCAGAGTGGCTAAAAGAAGAGTCCAGCTGGGGCATCCCCACTGAAGTTTTATACAGCAATGATGCGTTGGACAGCATCATTGCCGGCCAACCACCATCCATGCCAGTCAGCGAATTCGGTCTTGTAACCATCGTATCTGCCCTTCTCTACAGGATCTGCTCATTCGAGCTACTGACAGGCTCCCGTGACGGGGAACTCTATGCTAAATTCGGCAAGAAGATGGAACTGTCATTGCAGGTACTAGATGCAATCCTGAAGACTCGTACGGGCCAAGATGACGCTGGACTGGCCCCGAATCCCACCGTCCACTGCGCCAGATCCTTGCTGAACTCAGCTTTCTACCATCTTTACGCTAGCGTTCCGCTGTCTGCCATGAAGAAGTTACTCTGGTCGCCTGCCAGCCTCGATGATCCTGAGATCATGCACCTCTTAAACGAGGCGATCTCACCTGAACTCTACCGGGCACTCTTCAATGCAGCAGATCAGCTAAGATCCGACTGCCGCGTGGGTTTATCTTATATTAGAAAAATAGCACCGATAATATTCGGGCCTGAAAGTGCGGTCGGCGCCTTAGAGGGCTGTATGTCTTGGACTCCTTGCTCAACCTTTGTTCTGCAGCTGACTTGTAGACAGGCCTCCTCCTGTGCTGGTACCTTCAATTTGCGCAATCTCGTGTATCACAGATAGAGTCACGCGATCTTCTCAACGCGTTGATAAATGAGAGTTTTGCAGAAGTCACCGACCTGCAATTTGAGGATCATGGCCTACAATCAGTCTTACCGCTTGCCGTGTCAGCAGAGCTTCTCTCGGATGGCTCAATGTGGAAGTGTAAGCTTAAACCTCTGTCGCCAATAATTCTAAGAACATGCTAAATTAAACTGCTAATATACACAGGGCCTTCTTCTGTGTCACAAAAGCTGAAATCATTAATCAAGAAATTGGAGGATTCGGACACTACTATACACGTTGCAACGGCCTACCCTTGATAGAGACAGTTCAGGGACAAACAATGCTACCGTACATCTAATTGCAATGTACCATAAAATTTCGTCGATGAATTGGCCGTCTTGCTTTTGTCCGGATTATTCCGTATAAACGGGGAGCAGTGACGGTCAACATAACAACATATGGAATCTTTTGGGGTCCAAGTGGAGGAAGTCTTTTTGAGATGTTAAGAGCAAGAAGCACTCGATATCTTACACATATATATCATCATATTTTTTCTCTCCCATTGCCATGAACAAACTCGCTTCATTTCATTGACCATATCGTGAAAGGTGGGCGGGTATGGGTGGGTAGCTTCTGGGTGGGACGTCGGTGGTACTCAGCCCAACGATTGCCATTCTTGTTTCCCACCTATTTTGTATTGATCTACGACAGGTCATGAAGATTTCCATCTTTCTGACGCGTTTTTCTTTTCCAAGAAGAACAAAACAGCCGTTAGCAGAAAAGGCCAGAGTTGATGCCTACTGCCGACTTGAGCTTAACAAAATGACCACACGCAAGGAATACATTTTCAAAGTCATCAATGGAATCCCGATAGCCGCAGACGTATACTTCAGAAAGACGATGACATCTTCGAAGCTTCCAATAGGTGCGCAAACTACCCAGTCTACATCCTCTCTTAGTATCTAACGCGTTGAGCCACAGCATTACATTTTCATGGCGGGAATTTCACTGTCGGTTCGAAACAAATGCTCCCACGAGACCAATCTGAAAAGCTCTTGGACCTAGGCTTCGTGGTTGTATCCGCCAACTACCGACTGGCTCCCACCATTACAGTCTTTGAAGGACCGGTCAAAGATGCACTGGACGCATACGAATGGTCGCGGACCAAATTACCCGAGCTGCTCCTCGACGATGCTCATGTAAAAGCCGATGGCTCTCGGATTGTAGCCCTGGGTCATTCCTGCGGTGGCACCTTGGCCCTTCTGATGGTGAGCAGAGACCATAAATTCTGACACGGGTATGAGATGCTGATACGCGGACCGTCAAGGCCAGTTCACCCCAACCGCCTCGCGCAATTCTCGACATTTACGGCATCAAATACCTGACAGATCCGGCGTACCATACCCCCTTACCTGCACCTCCAGGTGCTCCTCAGATTGATCAAGATTTCACAAGCCAGATATGGAAAGATGACCCTCCCCCCACGTCAGCATCCCCTCCGATGGGGCCAGCAGGGCCTGAATTGGCCAACTATCGTGTTGCCTGGATGATTGATCAGCTCGGAAAGGGGACACAGTTGAAGACGGTTGTGGGAGACGGCGACTACGATCGCGTGGACCCCGTTTCGCTATTCTCCAAGGGTCACTTCCCTCCCACCTTTTTTATCCACGGCACCAAAGATGGGCTGGTGCCGGCAAGGCTATCGCAACGGGCACACGATGAGCTCAAGGGCCACGGTGTCGAGACGGAATTGGTCCTGGTGGAAGGAGGACAGCACGGCTTTGATGACATGGCGCAGCCTGAGAATGCACTTGAACTTTTGGGAAAGGGCTTTGAGTTCCTCAAAGCCCATGTCTGACATGATCCCATCCTGAAGAGAATAGGATATGAAAGGATAGCTACGACTAGGTACTCAATTGCTTAGATTTAACTATACGTGCCTTGCACAACTATGTATTCGTGCCTCGCGGCAAATCTTGAGCCGAGCAGACCGATTGCATACCTGATACATGTCGGTTTGAAATGTTGCTTGCTTTGGTGATACCTCACTACTGGGCATTATTAAATGTGCAAGACGTGTGACCTTGAGTGGTATTTAGTGGTGTGAAGTAGCACTTTACAGTAATTTTTGTGCTGGACGGGGCAGGTGGATCGACCGACGACAACTTAAAATTACCCACCGTAAGTGGGAATGACGATATATGTAGCGGGTATTTCAGCCGCTTGCAAGTCACAAGCCATTGCTTTAGATATTGAAACTGTTTAGCATAAAAGCTAATAGGCTAGGCCGCTCCCAGAACTTCACTTTCGCCAACATCCTCATCACCATTACAATCACAATGGACAAGCCCGCCAAACGCACAAGAGTCAACAAACACAAGCGAGTCTCAAGAGCCTGTAATTACTGCCGTGCTCGGAAGCACAGATGCGATGGCAGCCACCCAACCTGCTCGCGATGCTCTGCCATCCACTATCCATGCAGCTACGGCCCCGACTCCAAGAAACGCGGGCTGCCGACGGGATATGTGAGGGCTCTGGAGCTACTCTGGGCACTTGTCTTCACCGTCGTCCCTAATAGCAAGGTCATAGTCCAAGAGCTCTTGCCGGGTATCCAGTTTGCCCTCGATTCGCGTTCCAGACTGGTCTTGAACAGCAGGCTTGTCAGAGATTCCGAGACACTCAGAGAAGCTTGGGACGATAGTGACGTCCAAGAAGAATTGGATCAGCTCTTGTCAAATATTCAGCAAGGGAACGGCTCCGGTACAAATTCTGTGGCTTCCATCAAGGCCGAAACCTCTTCCGCCGACCTCTCCCTTCGTGCCAGGGCATTTGAGGCTATCAAATCTTCACCACCAGTCGACGACGCTCGACGAGCTTCGGGCCCCCTGGATGCTAATAGGGCCAGTACACCTCTCCCTCAACACGCGTCAGGGCTCCAAACAGCTCCATGGAACGACGTATCATCCGCCACATCTGCTCAGCAGGTACGGCGGCTGATCGATATATACTTTGCCCATACCAACTGTTGGCTCCCAATAGTACAAAAGCACAAGATGCTGGAGTTATTGTATTCGCCGTCACGAAATTCTCGGGCTGAAGAGGGAAACCTGGCCACTCTGTGGGCTGTTCTTGCTTATGCTTCACTTCAAGATACCCGTGACCCTACTGGACCGTCTGATGGCCGAGCCGCTCTTCCTACGCCCGAAGTAATCTATTCCAAGGCGAGACAACGGATACCCAACGAAGATGCGCGACTGCCAGGCTACGTTCAAGCTTTGCTTATCCTAGGCCTCTTTAAAATGGATCAGGGAGATCTTGTGTCTTCGTGGCACTTAATTGGCCAGGCAGTGAGGATCTGTCTTCATCTTGATACCGCGCCTTCTGCCAGCAACGGCTCGAACGTTGCAAATGTCGATGATGACAACCAGAAGCGGCTTCTCCTAAGTTGTTTTATACTCGATACTCTGGTATCATGTCGTTTGCGCAAGCCGCCCCATCTCAGGACAGGAGATTTGTGTTTCTCGCCAATGCTCGCAGAAACAGGTCCGAATGAATGGGAACCACAGAACCTAAACTCTGCAACTTTGGGCAACATCAACTCCATGAATCAGCCTTCTCGGGCATTAAGTATCTTCAACTGCTATGCCAGCTTGATGCGCATACTAAACGATGCCATGTCGGATCATCTATCCTCGGACAGGCCCTGCACCAAAAGTCTACTAGCACTGAATCGCTGGTATGACCGACTCCCGCAACATTGTCTAATTTCATCATTGTCTGGTCAGGGTCAGCCGGAAGCCACGCAGAATCTAACGCCACAACAGTTCAACCTTCACCTCGCCTTCACGAGCACTGAGATGTACCTCAGGTCACAACAGGCTCTTGTCTCCACAGAAGGGCTATCGAGCACACAAACTGTAGAATTAACAGGCTTGTCTATGGGATATCTCCTGTCAACTTTTGCGAAGGAGTTCGGTGTAGCTAGCATGCCTGCTATATTCAAGGTCTACCAAGCCATTGGCGAGAGAAGAGTCTTTAGGTCTGCGCGGCAGGGTCATTCTGCTGACTCACTGTTCTCGGCATTGAGCAGCGAGCCCTCTCCTAATTTGCTACCAACACCTCCGGAGCTCTCTGAAACCAGCGCTGCTAGTACTAATAGGTCAGGGTGGCTTTCCGCCATGTCATTACCTTGCCAAGTAGAGGGTAGGTCAACGACGATTCCTTTCTAGTTCGTACTGACAAAAGACGCAAATAGATTCGAGTACTCAGTCTTATTCACTGACATCAGATGCAATGCACGAATATGATATAGAAACTTGGGGTAAGATATTTGGCACCGCAGAGTTGGGTGAAGCAGGCATATCAACCCAGCAGGACAAGGAGAGCCTAAACTACTTGAATGGAATGGCATGGTGAGATAAAGAAAGTTAGAGCCTCACTATTGTGATCGGGTTCTTCTATTCTCATCAAGATCTGAAGCGCTGTAATGGCTACTGGGCAGGTTCCACTGTAGATTTCCGTAATACCGTCCAAGTACAATCACTATCTCTATCTATCAATTGACGGAATACGGCGAGCCTTGGGACGCCCACCAGTTTGTTTGGCTTTGCCCACTCTACGTTTTGTCAGACTTATCAAAGATCCTTCCAGAGTGGTGTTGATGGGTTGGCTGCATGGGTGGAGTTCTGTCATCGGGTGGGAATGAACTCCACCCGCTCTTTTGCGAGGCTGGCTTGAAAGTATCGGTAATAGTCGTTCGTGAGGTAGCTGGCTTGTCGCTCATGAGGACTAGTCAAGCATTTGTATTTAGTTACCAACAGCATCCTTTCAGAGCCTCCTTTCTCTGCTATCAGTTTCACCTTTCAATTCCATTCTACCTGCACCAACATGAGTCCCAGCTTGCCTGCAACTACGAATCGTGCCTTATGGCTCTCCTCATTCGACAAACCTTTGAAGCTCGTTGATCTCCCTGTTCCTGAGGCAACAGCTGGCTCAGTCGTTGTCAAAGTTCTGAACACAGTAGTATTCCCTTATGCCGAAGACATTCACCAGGGCAAGCTACCTGTGTTCAACCTGAGCCTTCCCCTGGTGCCGCATCCAAGCCACATCGGCCGGGTACACGCCGTCGGATCGGATGCCATACTCGCCAAGCCCGGTGACCTGGTCTTTTTCTCGGCCGCCATCTATGCGCGAGACGATCCCAGCGTCAGCATTATCCAGGGCCACCACGGCGGAGAGGGCCCGATCGGCCGCAAGCTCATGCAAGGAGAATGGCGGGACGGCGCCCTCCAACAGTATCAAAAGGTCCCCCTCGAGAATATCTTTGTATTAGACGAGGATCGACTATGCACTCAGCTTGGATACACGCCCGCTGACCTTCATGAGATCTCCTTCTACAGCATCTCTGCTGGAGCTTTATTCGATGCTGCTAATCTACTAGCAGGCGAGACGATTGTACTTGGGCCAGCCACTGGAACCTACGGAGGTATCACCTCTGATATGGCACTGGCTCTGGGTGCCAACGTCATTGCCATTGGTCGCAGTGAGGAAAAGCTCGCACACCTGAAGCAGCAGCTTGGGAACCACGAGCGATTCAGCTATGTTGTCATGAGCGGAGATGACGAGGCGGATGCGGCCGCAATCCAAAAGGCAAGCCCCGATGGACGCGGTGTCGAAGTTTACAATGACTGGGCATCAGGCAGCTTGGAGGGCTCTCCGTACTTCTCGGCCGCCATACAGGCTGTGCTACCAGAAGGGAGGGTTGTCCTCAGTGGGGCGCCATCTGGGTCTATTTCGGTTCCGTACACGCTCGTTATGCACAAAAACATCAAGATCCTTGGGAAGGTCATGGTCTCACGAGGAGGAATTGACTTGACTATCAAGATGGTGAATTCGGGGGTTCTCAAGCTCGGCAAGCGCGGGGGCTCGAGCCACAAGGTGTACAGCTTGGAGGAGCATCACGAGGCTTTCGAGGATGCAAAGCAGAATAGTGGCTTTAGAGTCTACACAGACATTGCTCCTAACCCATGGTAGAATTGGGAATAGTTGGCTCTGTACCTATATTTGCATTCGTTTTGCAACACGATATCATCATGTAGTCAGATGTATTGCTGTCATTGTGCACAACTTATCGAGCTAGAAAATGCAACCGAGGTGATGATAGCATATGAATGCTATGGAGCAACAAGTGCGCTGAATCATTGTGGTGCCACCCGACGAGACTCACTTTAAGCGAGTGGGTGCTAGACGTATGCCCAGATACCATATCAGGGACTTTATGGTGGGGATGCCCACCGGGACGGATGTTCGGAACCCCACACGGAAACAGTTGTGGTCTCAACTAAGCTTGATAAAGTGCAATCCTCACCAATTGGCATTTCAGTCGGTATCTCTAGTTGGTCAGTCTTGGATAAGTGACTAGCCCTCTTTTTGTGCTTCAAACCCAGCCGTCAACATCAAATCTTGTCTAAGCGAAATGCCGTGCGCTGATTGTTACCGAGGACACGACCATCCCGGCCCTGTTCACGGCCGTGAGACCAAACTTCATGGCCATGATGTGTACGTTGCAGAGCCCCAGACCAAAGAGGTTTCCACAAAGGGACTGATAGTCGTCCTTTCGGATGCGTTTGGGTGGAACACGACCAACCTACGTGGTGTGGCAGACAGATACGCAGAGCGAACTGGCTGCAGAGTATACCTTCCCGATTTCATGCATGGTAAGCTCATGGTTTCTTTCCATTTCCTCGGGGATTTTAAAGTTAATATGGTTTATTTTTAGGAACTGCTGCACCCGCATCCATCAAGGCCGTCATCGATAGTGTTCTTAATGAAGGAGGCTTCTGGGGATGGCTGGTAAAACCGTAAGTTAAACATATACCAAGCGACACTGTTATTCCTAACGCAAAGAATCAGGTGGAACTTCTTGAAGGCGGCGTTCGTCATGGTCCCCTTCAGTATTCGCAACAAGCCCGAGAAGCGCTATCCTGGTGTCCGCAAGTTCATGGACGACCTACGTTGCGCCGAGGCAGCTGATCTCAAAGTTGGCGTGGTGGGCTTCTGCTGGGGCGCATATGGTATCACGCATCTGGCCCACGGTGAGGTGGCTACGAATGGCAAGACAATCATCGACGCAGCCTTCACCGCTCACCCGAGTGAAATCAAGGTTCCGCAAGACATCGAACCTGTTAAGCTACCCTACAGCATGGTCATTGGCGATGTCGACTTTGCCTTGCCTTTGAAGGAGGTGCAGAGGGCAGCTGGGATTCTCGAAGCAAAGAGTGATGTAGACACTGAGGTTGTAATTATCCCTAATGCAAAGCACGGCTTTGCTGTTAGAGGCAACCCAAATGACAAGGAAGAGAAAGAAATGGCTGATCAAGCAGAAGATCAATTCGTTAGGTGGTTTACTAAATACCTGACTTGAACGAAGTGGAATAATAGTTCTATACCTATCTCTAGTCGCTTGGTAACTTGAAGGCTATCGACCCTATTGGGCTGATCTTCGCGTTTTGGGAGCTCTGATTGCACTTCGCTGAAGTAGAGAATCGCTTCATCAGCCCTGTCATCGAACAAAGGGCTTATGCCCTGCTCTTGATTAAAAGACTTTGTAGTACGGCCCAAAGTTATGGTGACAGTAAATAAATACATTATTCGGGATAAGCCATTGTTGTTACAGTGGCATGGCTGACGCGTCTTCTGTCGAGCCTTTAGAGAATTGTCGTCATGGTCATCGGATAGATTTCCATATTTTGAGGGATGGGATAGGTGCCACGATGAGCTCGTTGGGTAGGGAGGGCGATAGAAGAAGCTAGCTGTTTCAATGGGGCGTTTACTGTTATGATTTCAAGGATGAAAACTTTACTACCTCTACCTAAATATGTACTCGTCTTAACCAACGTCCCAGGTCTATTCGTTTGTGTAATTGAGCCCAATATATGCCAATATTCAACGCCGAAGCCTCTCAATCGAAGACGATGGATTGGGGATTGAGCCCCTTGAAAACTGGTAAATTCCTATCATTTGTAGACCAGGTATTAGGGATCGTAGTGATACTCTCTGACTCAAACGTCTCCCTAATGGCGACCCAGTCCTCATGCTTATAATATATCCTCTGCTATCTCTCTATACCTATAGTATACCTCTAGGATTATTAAAAAGTAAAGTAATAATATTTATTAAGGGTAAAGAATTAATAAATAAAGATAAGTAAGCTAAATATAATATAATTATTATAACCCCTGTTTATATTAATAGTATATTAATATTATAGCTAATTTATATATTTAATTATATAACTTATCTTATAACTTATTTAATCTTTTTTTATTACTAATATTAAATTTATAACTTTAAATCTTTAACTTTAGGTAATTAAACTTATATAAAACTTAATATATTTCTTTTAAACCTTATAATTACCTTACTTTTATTTATAGTAAATATTATATTATAAGTCTGTAGTTTTCTTTAATACCTTCTTAGCCTGCTATTAGATATCTTTAAGCTACTTATTATATATACTACTACTAAGGGCTTTAATAAACTTCCTCTCCCTTATATTTAGCTATATGTGACGGAATGGGTTTCAAACAGGTAAACTAGTCTGTACTAGGTTTAATGTTTGCAGAGTCATAGGGCGTTATACTAAGCAGTTACGAAGTATTACGTCTCTTAATAGTGAATAGAGCGGGTTAGGCGTATTTAGGTAAAGAAGTCTTATTAATAGCTAGTAAGCTAAGTTCTATAAAAGTGCTAATAAATATAGTCTATATACTAGAGGTATCCTTAAATAATTAGTAAGGTTATCGAGGGATTAGTAGTGATTTAAGCGGATTAGTACTGATTATAATAGATTAGCTCTGATTGTAGAGTCTTGGCGCTGATTGTCTTTAGCGGGGATTGTGGTGATTGGTGGAAAATGTGGGGTATATGTAATAGAACTGCTGGGGTCGTAACACGATCTCTCCCCTCCCTTGGGCCTTATCCTCGAGGCCTGGTTAATACATTTTTCTATTAGTCATTCTCTGTGAGTGTAATCCTAATCCTGTAACCCCTTAAGATGTCTAACCGTATATCTAAGACTAAGAAAACTTCTACCGAAAATCGCAATTCTCTTTATATCCTTATTGCGGCATTTAGGAATCCTATTATGCCTTATTCTAACTGCATCTATCGGAAGATGGAGGATTCCTGTATTCTCAATCTTGCGAAATCGAATTGTTGTGATCCTTATATCAAGTTAGGAATATCCTGTAATAGTTATAGTCTCTTTATAGCAGCAGGTATGTTTTCTTCTGTATAAAATTGTTTTATAGGTTCTGCTAACATAACATTAGCTAAAAAGATTATTAATAAAAAGCGTTGTTTAGAGCGTAAGGAAGAGGCTGCTAAGGATGAACTAATCGGTCTTTAAGCAGAGTCTACTTGTATTTATAATGCCATAAATGCTCAGTTTGCCAAGATTACTTATCTAAGGCGTCAGTATCGTTAAGTAGAGGTAAAGGGTTTGGACATAATCTAACGTAGTCTTAGTTTTATGGATAAACTGGAAAAGGCAGAGCACGACGAGCAGGCTGCTTTAGAAGGTGCTATAATTAATAGGTCTTTTTAGGACTGGTCTGCTATTGCCGAATAGTCTAAGTAGGACTTATTAGGTCTTAGTACTTTCCTTAATCCTTCTAGTTCTAGTAGAAGTTCTTTAGGAGTCGTTAGGTATTAGCAAGGTGTTTAGATAGTTCCTATATGTTTTTGTTTTCTAGGTAGTTCTTCTATTTAATAAGGTATTCCGTTCGCTTATTAATTCTCCTTATATCTCTAATTGCTTCTGCTTTATAGACTTCTAGTCCTTTAATTTCTTCTAGTTCATTACTAATCTTAATATATATTATATTAGCTGCTGATTTAAGTAGTGTAATATAAAAGATTAGATAGAGCCTAACTTTTAGTAGTAGGTCTAATTTGTAATTGTTCTTTGAGATTTTTCTTTTTATCTTATATAATCTAATATACTTGTAGTTTAGTTTATAACTTAGTTATTTTATTATAATGTTTTTTATAGCTAAGTAGATTATATCTCCCTTTAAGAAGGTTAGTCTCTTAATCCTTTTTATATTATAGTATTTTTTTATTTATTTTCTAACAAATTCTAATTTTTTCCTTAATTCCTTATATAAAGCTCTTAGGTCTTTGCTCTTAATTATGGCGGCTAGGTTAACTGTTTTTAGTTCTCGCGCCGTATAATATAGGTCTAGGGTGAATCTAAAGTTTGCTGCTAAAGGTATTATTTCTATACTTTCGTTATATGCTGTATTGTAGGCGAGTTAGGCACTTGGTAACTTTTCTACCTAATTATTTTATTTATAGTTAATATAATATTATAGGTATTATTCTAATACTTAGTTTATCTATTTAGTTTATCTATCTATTTATAGTCTAAATGCTATTAAGAGTTAGTAGTTTAGTCCTATATATAATATTAATGCCTGCTAAAATTTACTTACAAATGTTATTCCTCTATCTATTAAGATTTCGTGGGGTAGTCTATGTTCTCTAACTATCCTATTATAGAAGATATAAGAAAGTTACTCTGCATCTATATCTTCCCTATAGGGTATATAGCAAGAGAATTTAGTAAGTTAATCTACTACTACTAGGATATTATTATAAAAGATTCCGGTTAAGGGTTCTTCTAATAAGGGTAGCTTGGTTATGCAGTCTATTATAATTAAACTTTATAGTCTTTCTGCTACTTCTAGTAGTTATAGTAGGCCGTAAGGTTTATGTCGTTACGCTTTGGTTTTTATATATAAGTTATATTATTTAATAACCTTCTTTATTATTTTTCTAATTCCTTTCTAATTATAGTGCATCTAGATGCATTTTAGGGTTTTCTTAATACCTTAGTGGCCGTATAGGGGGTATCTATATATATCCTGTACTAGTTCTTCCCTGAATCGTTTAGGTACCTATAGTTTGTTATTATAGGTAGGCATTTCAGCTCCACTTCTAATAGGATCTTAAAGGTTATATCCTATAGTAGCATTTTAGATTTTATTTATCTATTCTTTCTAATTTATAGGTTTATAGTTATTTATAAGTCTTAGAGTTTCTGCTTATTATATAAATTAGTATTCTCCTTTATTATTCTTTTTTAGGAGTTATTTCTTTACTTTTGCTATGCTGGTATTATAATTCAGGTATTGACTAATAGTATCGGCTTATTTATTATCTAAACCCTTATAATAAATAATTATAAAGTCAAATTTGCATAAGTATTTAGTATAGTATAGTTATTATTAATTAAGTTCTTATATTATAGCGAAGTATAAAATATTCTAATAATTAGTATAGATTTTAATTTAGTATATACTTCCTATAAGGTAGTATTTAAACTCCTTAAAGTAGTTAATAATTGCTAGGAATTCTTTATTATAGATAGGGTAATTTAGTTCTGCCTTATATAGTTTATAGGAATAGAATGCAATTAGGTAAAGCTTTCTTTCTTTATCTTATTATCTAATTTGTCCTCTTAAAGCGAAATCCGATAAGTTGGTCTCTAGTTCTATCTCCTTATTAGGATCAAATATAACTAGTATAGGTTTACTAAGGATAGCTTATTATAGTGCTTTAAATACTGCTTATATATCTTATTTTTATATAAATTTCCTATCTTTCTTTATAAGTTCTATAAGTAGGTTTGCGATTTTGCTAAAGTCTTTAATAAATCTTTAGTAATAATTAGTAAATCCTAAGAAGCTTTAAACTTCTTTAACTATTATTAATAGGGGCTAATCTGCTACTGCTGAGATTTTCTTTTATTCTATTCTAATTTTACTAGGTATAATAGTATATCTTAAGAAGTCTACTTCTTTTATATAAAAGTAACTTTTTTCTAGTTTAACTAGTAAGTTAGTATCTTATAAGGCTTTTAAAACCTTATAGATATGTTCCTTATATTCTTTTTCATTATTTAAGAAAATTAGGATATTATCTAGGTAGTATATTATAAAGATATCTAAGTACTATTAAAGTATATTATTAATTATCTGCTAAAATGTTACAGGTACGTTAGTAAGTCTAAATAGTATTATTAAATACTTAAAGAGTCCAAATTTAGTTTTAAATACTATCTTCTATTTATCTCTTTTTTAATATAGATTAGGTTATAAGCTCCCTTAAAGTCTAAAGCAGTAAAGATCTATTTGCCTTATAGGCAGTCCTTAAGTTCTATAATAAGCAGAAGTAGGGTCCTATCCTTAGTTATAAGGGCATTTAACTTCCTATAGTCTATAATAAGTTATAGTTTCCTATTTTTCTTTAGGATGAATATTACTAGAAATCCTACTAATAAGTTAGATATCCTAATATTCCTTTTTGCTAGTTCTATATTTAGGTATTCTCTTAAGGTAGTAAGTTCTTTTTTAT